CTATTTCCTATATTTTGATAGAAACTTTTTGTATATTTTCTATACATATATCATTCTTTTATAAGTTTCTTTTGTAAAATAATATAGTTGTTTGTGATTGTGTCAAGTTCGCTCGTTTGATTTCATTAAAATTACCCATTATTTCTATTAGTTTCATTCATACAGTTTTACAGTCCATCGCTAATACCACTTGTTTTATAATATCATTTGATATTATACTTAATATAAATACGCAGTACGGTATATTTATATGTGTACCCCTCTTTCACACAATAATGAAAGATGCTGATTTGTCGATTTTATCTTATACTAAGTATCGTGATTATTAATATCTCAGTCAAATGAGCTTCAAAGCTTCAAAGAGAAGGTTCAAATTTTATTGGTAAATCGGGAATTGCCTTTTGTTTTGTGAAAATTGTGGCAAATAAGCATAAATATTCGCCTGGTTGCTACCAGGCCTTAGCATACAGAATTTTGGGATTACAAAAATATCAATTTCTCATTGCCTACCCAGATCCTATTTCGGTCCGCGGAGCAGTGGCAACTTTGCTCCCTTACATGAACACAACACTAAATGTAGTTGATACGTGAAGATTGATCAGTGGAAATTTCTAGAATAGATGAATATAATACTTAGGCCCCATAAGTAGTACACTCGATAATTCTTACGTCTTTTCGACAAAGCCTCTTCTCTCTATAAATTCGTTCCCAATAAATGTTCATAAAGATTGGTTATTGATAAATACTAAGATATACTTGTAATTAACCAAATGAATTGACCCGTTAACGTACGATATCAACATAAACATCTTCGGAAGGAATTAGCTAATTCTAATGAATCTAATATTAGAGGTAAGACGAAGGATAACGACGAAATAACCTTGCGTTTTTAATTCGTTATGTGAATACGACATTAAGGTGAGATTCTCAATCATCATCAGTCTAATAAAGTCTCCGCTCCTGGGACATAACCCTTTCTTATAACGTAACGACTGCAGTTACAGCCAGGACCAACGGCTTAGTCGAAGTGTGGAGGAGCTCGAGATGGTTTATTGTGGAAGTTGGATAACTTCCACGATTGCAAACCGAATGTGCTAATCATGCTATCGAGCTACTCCGTCTATATCTTAATCACTACGTAAAATTACTACATGGTTAATGTAACTTCTTTATGAATGTTACTTTGTTTTGTCGGGTCTGCGAAAATAACCATGGTGCGGTGGGTGAGACTTTTGTTTGTATTATCTGCCCACGCTTCGTAGACACTTGTGATCTTCCCACTATTATAACTTCACCATAGAACAAAATTAGAACATTATTTGTGAGTAAGGTAACTTATTTTGACGTCATTGTGGTAAACAAGCTCATAATAGTATTAAAGATTTACAAAGACTAAGTGTATTGTGAAACTAAAATTTCTTTTAGTAAATTTTTATTTTTTCATCTCTCGTTTAATTCAACTAGGTACTACAAATTTTGGAGTCGTCGTTCCATTAAAATTTAACAACTGCGTGAAGATGGCCTGATACCTACTGACTCATGACCAGGACCGTCTTTAACCTATTGGAGGCCCTGGGCATATTAGGATAATGGGGTCCCCATGACTTTGATGTAGATTGAAATGGAGCGAGTCATACTGATGAGTGTACTACTGATGATTTTTCTTTAAAATGTGTATGTGCTTCATCATCATCGACCCATACTCGTCCACTGCTAGACATAGGTCTCCCCTAATGCACGCCACTGCTCCCGATTTTCTGCCACTCTCATCCAGCCCACTCCAGCCAGCCTACGAATGTCATCATCCCATCTTGTCTCCGGGCGTCCCACAATACGTTTACCGAGTCGAGGTCTCCAATCAAGAACTTTACGGCTCCAGCGGCCGTACGTACATGTATGTGCTTAGTATACCATTATATGTATATTTAAACTCATCTAAGTCGGATCAGCTGAAGTCGGAAAGCCTAATTTTTGGGCGAGAGTAGAATAGCTTCGCTTATGTAAAAGCTCGTAAGTTGGTATTGAAGTCACTTAGTCAGTAATTTAGGTTCGATTTCATCGAATTATATAAGTTTTTTGATAATAAATATTGGTTATTGTTTGGTGATCTGACAGGAACTAGGGACTTTGTGTTTGATCTGAGGGGGGGCCCTATCGATTGCGAGGCCCTGGGCACTTGCCCAAAGTGCCTACTGGGAAAGAGGGGTATGCTCATGACTACTTATTTAATTACAATCGTATATTTACAGTCAGTTCTACACCAAAAGGTATACTGGTTAGAACGAAAATACTTATTACAGCTAAGCATATTGGAAACAATTTTGATATGACATTACATGGTAACATAACACACACTTTTTAAGACAATAATGGCCGCCTCCGGGCTCAACTACACCGATAGTGGCGATTGCTCTAGAAGTCGATGCGTATTATGTTCGTTGCGTACGTAGCCATTTAAAAACTCAGCAAAAAGTCTTGTCCGTCCTCGCGGCGCTATTACTTCGTGGGCCTGTCCTGTGTCTTCTAAAGCGACTAGTTATTTTATTATGCAATGCATTCAATAGCATAGCACATGAAATGCATTGAATCTCCTAATGCGTTATAGTATTTGTATTTTAAATGTTTGGAGTTGTATTGCATGGCAAATTTATATGCACTACAAAACGCACGCACGGAAGCACGCAGAGACACATACACACACTCGTACACATGCACATACATACAAACTAGTTGCGTTAAGTTAGTGCGTTATCAATTTAGGTCTATATATATTATTCTAGAGTTCCGTACATAAAGCGTAAAAATGTATCTATTGCTGCCGCTCTGTCGTCTGTCTGTCGGTCTATCTGTATGTCTGTTTTCCGTTTGTCCGTATGTCACGGGTCTCTAAATCGTAAACAGAATGAGTTACAGAACTAAAATTTTGATATTTTATGTAGAATGCTTGCTTAAAGTCAAATATATGTAGTTAAAAATTCAATTAAAACTTATATGAAAAGGAGACGAAAAAAAAATATTTTCTTTTTTACCCCAGCGTGTGACACATCATTGTCTAGAAGTTGTTGAGTAGGCTATAAATAAAGATTTATTGGTTTTTTGTTTCCAATAACAAAGAAATAGGGGAAGGTCAAAGTTGTCATTTTTAGATCATTTTTATTGCCGGGTCTATCTCAAAATTATAACTAGTTAGGAATGTGTAATTTTGGTATATGATATACCATAGGCTGTATTGTAACAACAAATGCTGAAAAATTTTTGGTTAGATTTTTGATGTCCTTTGTAAGTTGTGTCTCTCAATTGGCCAGTTTTTTATTATCTCGTATAAAAGTGATGACCGGCGTAGTAGGAGCCTTGCGATCTATAAGACAGGTTCACAGCCTAATCCAGACACCAGTCATGGGAATGGTTAATCTATTTGCTATTTTATACAATTGTACATTATCGTAAAATTTTGTAACCCGAAGTGACTTTTACATTCACATGTGGGAAATTCTAACGTGCGCCACAAACGCACTTTTGGCACGCACTCTGGAGTCCTCAGTGCATTTAAAGGGACCGGTGCAAGATTATTGTTTATGGTTTTGTTATTGTGTGCGTGTTCGTGGTAGGCATATTTAACTAAATTTACAGCCCTTTAATTCCATTAATAAAAAAAAATATACTTGTCATTCATTCAATACAATATAAAAAAATACATAAGTATGTTTTTTTATTAATGACCCTTCAGCGAGTAAAGGCCGCCTCCATTTAATCCAGGTTTTTACTTAGGATTTTTCTTTGGCCTTGGTGATCCAGTACGACTACCAGCTACGTCGTTAATTTCATCTGTCCATCTTTGTTTTGGTCTACCTTTATTTCTTTTATGTTGAAGTCCTTTCCGAGTAGTCACTTTGTGCGTCCATTTATTATAATTCATACGTACAATGCGTTCAGCCTAGCCAAATGCAAATGCCAATGTCAATTTAGTATATGGTCTAGTAAATCCCGATGCAATGTTGACCTACAAAACATGTCCACCCACAGCCTTTTACATATTTTATATCAATGAAACATTGATCATAGTCCGTCCACATCAAATGTATCATCATTTTTGACACCCAGTGTGTGATTTAGCGATTGCCTGACTCTATTCTCCAGCTGCCAACACCGAAAAATATGAAGCGCATTTTGATTTATGGTGCAAATAAAACTGTTAGGTACATTTGTTTGCCAAAAAATATTGCCTATACTGTGCTTTTAGCCTTTATCCTTGGAAACAACAATAACCTCAGTCGAATTCTTATTTGCTGGAATCAGAAGCATAACTTCGACAACGACCTAACTTATCCCTTATATTTTGAGGTATCCTTCAAGATTTCTAAGAGAGTTAGGTTCCAACGGATATTCTTTGGGAAATGTCAGGCCCGCCTAGGGTATACTATATATTAACTTTCAGAGAAGTGCAGAATAAGTTTTTTATCTCTTGATGATTTTTAACCTTGCAATATGTGATGTTACCAGAGCCATATGCCTATTTGTTACTAATTTTCTTGTGTTGGTTGGATAATCTCCACTAATCGCCATATACCAACGTTATAAAACCCTGATTTATCAAGATTTTTGCTGATGTCACACGATTTAATCATTAATAAATCATTATCGGTATACATTTTCAAAAAATCACCCAGTACGCCAGTAGAGTTCGGTCTTCCTTGTATTTTGTATAAATTTTAAAGTACCATCTCTATTCTCTCAACATCACTCATACCAATCACATTCAACTAGTCATGCCACTAAAAGCTTTACTTTCATAGTCGAAGACGATGTCTATGCTCAAACAAGCTCCTCGTGGCAAGGCAAGGCAACATAACTTATTAGCTTAGCGTACTATTGAGTAGAAAAAACTAAATGCATAAATAAGATCATTAATAAGTTTGTAACAATCCATCTATTAGATCAGCATCTATCTTCAGCGGAAAACACCTCTGCATCAGCGACGTCACGGTGACGAGTCCGTTATCCAACCGACGACGGCTGCAGCCGCCCACGCGCATACCGTGTCCCGCCCGCCCCGGCTGCCGGCCAAAATTTTCATAGTTTAGTTACGATTACGAAAACGACCCGACGCGTCCCGCCGCCGGCGACGAATCCGCCCGAATTCTCTAACGAATCCCAGTTTCGCAGGATCTTCGTCAAGTTCTCGATTATCCGCACTCAACTGTTTTAGTGTTGTGTCAAATTTTTCATTCAGTGTAACGTGCACGCAATTGGATTTTTCCATTTTCTTTTGGTATGTTATATTCTATCTTCCTATTTATCAGATATGATCTTTCTAGCTGTTGCGCAATACATCACTTTTCTTGAATAACCAATAACGTTGAATTAGAGCCTTAGTATGGAACCCTGAGAGATCCCTCCAGCGTATGCAATAGTTTTGCACTCAATTAATGAAGCGTTGAATGCAGAACTATTATTACTTGGTTTATTAAGTATACAATTATGGTGTGTATTGTTATTTGGTTAATGGAGTGGGCAAAAATTATTACACTATTTTAAGTTTTGCGGTATATAAAATCGTGTGAGATAAATGTTAGGTAATCATAGGAAGTAACAGACGATGCAAGTTATAAAATCTCAGCGCCGCAGAAACACGGGCCTTCACAGGATACAGAAATAGACCAAGACATTTCGTTCACACTTGAGAAAATTTTAACACAGGACACCCACTCGGTTACACTTCACCTTGCCCCGCCAGATGGCGCTGACCGCGGCGCGTGAGTCACTTGTACACCGAGAGCTTTCAGAACAAGTGGCTTCAGATAGTGATACTGTTATGATGTATTGACTCTACGTCAGCTTTTAGGCTTATCGATATCATTCTTGAATTCCACTTAGCTACTGAAACAAAACATGTGTCAGGTTAAAAAAAATACTTTTTTTTGGGACTTGACATTGTTTTTGATATTAATTTATTTGATGATATTTTCTAATACGTCACGATCCACGTCAAAAATAAACGTTTTTTATTAACATACTACTAGCTGTTCACAGGACGGAGTTCGCAGGGAATCTAGTTTATGACTTTGATTAAGCAATTAAATATTTATATTGAAAGGGATATTTATCACATTTTATAGTTAACCTGTGATAAGTATATTTTAAACATAATAACTGCTACATGTTTAAATCTTAAGGAAATTTACAAGATTAAAATCGAGTCAGTCCAGGTTTCAGTCGGAATATAACCTATGAGTTCATTTTTAATAGTAATGAAAATGTTCAAATTCCTACAAACTACATAATTTTTTTTCAAACTTTATAATCTTAGAAGTAGCAGTAGACACATATTATAGCAAATTTATAGGTACAAAAAAGTGGTAAAAAGTACAAAATTATTAGAGTTCCTGCTGATTGAAAAACAATAAAAAATACTAAATACAATAATATATATATATATATATAGGATCGTACTGAGGAAAGTAAAATATTTTATGTTTGATACAATTTTATGATGTGTTTGCGACGATTAGTTTAAGTTGGCAAAGTACCTAGCCTGCTTGAAGAACATTAGAAAAATTGCACCGAACTTTTTAGCTTTAAGAACTAATAGTTTTCAGTTCTTTGCTTACACGTAAGACATTATTTACAATTATTTGGGGCCAAATAACCTTAGCAGATTTACCTACTTCTGAAAGCCTAGTAGGTAATCCATATCATTATAATTATTTTAGAAATTTGAAAATATAATTGGAAAAGTATATAGCAAGAATTTTAATATACCTATTACATTTACGCTTAGGCAGGTTTTATTACATTTAGGTAGTTTCATTATGTGTTTCAAAAATTTAAATTAAAGAGGATTCAAATTGCAATTTTAATTTTCTTATTTAGATGCATAATAATGTTACTTACCATCAATATGGACCAATAATATTTATCCATTCCATCGAGTACCTCTAACACTTGATGAAAATATAATAGGGAATATGCATGATTTCTTTTTATATTTTTATTTGGTAGTTTACATCCCCTTTATACAGGTATACAAAAAATCAACGTCAAAAAAATAGTACTGTACCTACACTTTGAACGGGCAGTTAAAACGCGCGCTATATTGGAAAGCTTGAGTGTGACGTCACGATACATTAAAGTTACATGCAAAATTAATGACATTTTGACAAATTACAAGCTACTAGTGAACTCGCTGGCTTGTAGCTTGTAAACTCGCCCCGTATCATCGAGGCTTACGGATGGAAGTTGGTACCTACGACAATCCAATAGGCATTATGTTTCATACATTGCTAATAAAATATTAAATGTCATAGCGAAAAGTTGTACGCAGCTTTGACATCTACGCACTTGCACTATAATCTCGTTGACATTGGCATATCCTGTGAGCATCACGTTTGTTAGGTGTTAGATATATTTTTAGGTCACAAACGCTCTTGTCGCGTTTTAAATATTTGAATTTCCCAAAAGATTTTCACACATTTATATCATTAATTACTTGCTAATAATAAACACCCACCACGCGGGCCCAGTGCGGATTGGCGGGTGCTAACGACTGCAGATGCAACCGGGACCAACGGCTTAACGTGCTTTTTGAAGCACGGAGGAACTCGAGATAGAAATTTTTAGTCACCCATCCAATGACCGACCATTGCGAAAGTTGCTTTACAACGACCGCAGCCGAACGCGCTAACCACCTGCGACATCGAGCTTTTATTATATAGCTTAAGTTATATATTTATAGAGAAAAGTTTAATAGAAAAATATCCACGCGGACCAGGCAGCAGACGGAATCTGCCCGTCCCGTCTGCTGCCTGGTCCGTGTGGATTTTTTTCTTTTAAACTTTTCTTTAGATTTAAACATCTAGCAGTTAATGCTTAAAAAATAAAAATATAATTATTATATTTTCATTTCATAAAACTTGCTGGATTTGAATATTTTTTCTCATAAGTCAAAATTGAAATTAACTCTATGTCAATCTAGCTTCCAAGTAAGTGAACCTCCAGGTTGATTTTCGATATTAATAATGAGAATATAGTTAATAAACAATCTGATAAACAAAGTAGAAACATTAACCCAGTTGGCAATGCTCTCGCCATCTTGATCTTCTATAAAATTATTTGCTATTTGAAATAACTTTGTTTGTAATTTTCCTAGTGTTTAGAAAATCGTGTTGTTATGGTTAATCATTATACTGTCATTATGGATGTTTATAATCTTGGCTACTTGATTACATCGTAGGCCACTTTTATTACAATTTTAAGGATACATCTTGTGTCGTGACAACGCAACCTGGGGTTATTTTGTTTGTACTTACATCCCCACAGAAGGTATTGTAGGGCTTGTGTTATGGGTTACAAGAATGCATATAATGATATAGAGATAATAAGTAATTTCAAAGCGATTCATCTAAAGATCACAATATCCTACGTAATGTTGATGAATCAAACATTTGACTTGTTTGACAAACAGTCGATTTAATGAGGGTGTTATATGATTTGTGATTTAATAAAATGTTTTGCCAATTGGCATAGTGAACCCGCAATAAACAAGAGCAATGAATGTTATCATCATTCTTAGAGTATCCCTAAGCAATACCCTTAGCACGAACCAATATCGAATTCGAATAGTTTGCGAGTCCGAGATGTCGTTGTCAAATGTGTTCTGATTTTTATTACTGTTCAAGTTTCCATACAAAATTTGACAATGACATTTAGTACTCGCAAACAATACGAATTCGATATTGGTTCGTGTTAAAGGTACAGTTTCATGTTTTTAACCGACGAAAACAACGGCGTTCTCAATTCGACACGTATATTTTTTTTTGTATGATCACACATAACTTTTTACAGCGTAGTCCGATTTTGAAAATTCTTTTGTAATGGAATGGCTATACTCAGAATTTGGAAATAAAATTCGTACCTTAAGGGTAGGAAAACAGGGGATGTTTGATTAGTTAACTCACTGATCGTAATTAATTACCGCGCATAACATTCTACAGAGAAGTCCGATTTTGATGATATTTTTTATAAAAGTTGAATATTACAAAAATTATAGCCACAAAAAATTTGAAAATTAAAACTTTTTAACAAAAAAAATAAACCGCTGAGATTGTCAAAATAATAAACTTGTTTTACCTGTAGTCAACTTAATATTTGGAGTCGGTGCCATGCATGTCTGATAGATCTTAGTTCCCATTTACTACTTGGGTTGGCACCGACTCTAAATATTAATTAAAGTGACTAAATAAATTATTTGTTTTTGGTTTTCGGCGTTTTTGTTTAAAAGTTTTTGTGTTTCATAAAGAATTCATGGCAAATTGGTAGGAATTTATTAACATCATCAGAGCTTTAAAGATAGATTTAGAGATAAATATGAACAATATATTAAAAATTACGAGTTAGCTATTAATGTCAATAATTCTTTTTAAGCCAAATATTTATTAATATATCCGGCACTACAGTTCATTGCAGGCTTCTTAATAAATTTATTTAGAAAGATACTGAACTGTACCGTCAAACTTGGGCCATCTTACAAATTAGATGAGTTAGTGCGACTCCTGAAATACCAAAAATCCCAAGTATTAACCATTGCTATAAAAAATATGAAATAACGCAAATAAAATTAACAATAAAGTTTTAAGAGAATGCGTTCTGTTCTTTCTGTTTTGAATTTAAAGTAGGTAAATTAGCAGTGGCTTGTTTTTATTCTTTCTTAATTTGTCTTTACTTACGTTTGCCCATAAATACTCTATGGAGCTAAAGCCGAACGAGTGCGGTGGCCACAGCATAGCATTACTTTCAACGTATTCACTAACTATGATTATAGAGTGGAAATTAGTATTCAATCTTATATATCGTATTATATCTCGCAAATTGCCTAATATGCAGCATGGTTCTACCAACAATCGAACTACTACTTCAAACTTGTCCTTTTTTTTCAAATTGCGTGTTGGATAATATGGGCGGGTAGCCAGGTGGTCGTGCTAAATACTGACTTTCAGAAGGATAAAATGCCTCGCGCTAATCCTTCAATGCTTCTCACGGACACTTGCAGCGATATGCTAACTCTTATCTTATGTCAATCCAAGGCTGTTGTAGTCGCTGAATATCGCTGTAATTTTATATCAGTGCCATCTGGAGTGCCACAAGGGTGACAACTGGGACCCCTTTTCTTTAATGCCCAAAAATTGGCATCTCTAACTGTCTTACTCCCGTCAATCTCTTGCTGTAAGCTGACGACACGAAAAATATTTCTGAGAATCTGCAGATTCTCATTGCCGGATATACAACATGGTTTAAGAATGCTAATGAAAATTAGATACTAGATACTTTGGGGATTGGAAAATGTCAATTAATAAGTTTTATACGAAGTAAAATCCTTTTATTGTATGCTTGCAATGTTGACAACAGGTTAGTAGCGAGGGTTCGACTAGTTTAAAATATGTTTATTTCGATTACGTTTGTAGGATATTGCAATATGCCAGTCAAGTCAGATCTCCTGGTTACTAAGTGTATATTAGTCGCACTGAACGAATACAGAAAAAAATCGTAAACATCTAAATTTTAAGTTCAAAAGAGTGAACACATGTTACATTGCATAAAAAATACATAATAAATTGAAAAATTGGAAGCATAATATAGCTGATTGAATAAATTACACAAATTTCCTATCACGTGGAAAGAAATTCATCCAGCTGGTTAGAATAACAAAGGCAAGAAACCCAACACTATAAACGACATTGATTTAAACCCTATTAAATTTCCTCTGATACAAAAGGTAATCAAATAAACCAATATTGCTAAAACTTATTTATCGAGAGTAAAGATGGCAGGTATATCCAGGCTAAATACAAAACATCAAATTTCAACGTAAATTATCTTCTTTATAGATAAATCTATATTCTTAAATTTAGTAGTATTACAATGCATTCAAAGTTTAGAAATAGCCACAGATTTAGGTGTTTTTAATGTCACATTTTTTCATTATGATTTTATATGCGTATTAAATTCGACATATTGGAAAACCTTTATATACACACATCAAAAGTGTCTAGGGATCAACATATATTTTTGCAATAACTTTTCTCCTGATTGATATTAATTAAAATTTTCTTTAAGGATTCATCAAATAAAGTGTTTTCGTTTGTCACAGTAACGATAAACCAAGTCACCTTTGCATTAATAAAGAAATTTGCCATTTTCCTAATAAAGGGATTTTTGACATTTGAACCACTAACACAAAAGTTCGAAAAAGAGACTGAAATAACAGTTTTCTCTAAAATTTTATTGGGTAACTTAAACAATTAATAATCCGTATTTCTACCGCGAACACTAACAACACAAGAACATCGGTTTGGCATACTCAAAATGAGTTCATCCAAATCACGCTGTGGAATGGCCGCCCATGTTCGTTGCAACAACAAAAAAAGGTCTTCTTGCGACTGGATACCCTCCATATTCGGCAGAGCTCTTCTCTGTAGCATATCCCATGCATGCTCAATCGGGTTCAAGTCTGGCGACTGAGCAGGCCAGGGCAGGACATTGATGTTAGCTGCGGCGAGAGTCTGTCTTACAACTCTTGCGGTGTGCGGTCGTGCATTATCATGCATTAACTGAAATAAGGGACCGATTTGCACTTGTAGAGGAACGATGACGTCTGATACAATCGTCTCAGCATAAATTTGAGCGTTGAGGTTGCCTCTGATCCAAATCAACTCAGTTCTTCCGCCGATCCAAATACCCGCCCATACCATGATGGTTCCACCACTATAAGGATGGACTTCCTGGCAGGATTTTAATCGCTGTTGGCGTCCAGGGGTTCTCCAGTGTCGTATACGTCTTGTATCCGGTCTCATACCAAAACGAGACTCATCAGAAAAGCACACGAAACGCCATTGTTCTTCTGCCCAATTTCTGTGTTCAAGAGCCCATTGATATCGAATCCTACGATTGTGCATTGCTATAGGTGGTACCCGTAGCGGTCTTCGGGAATGAAGGTTCACTTCATGCAAGCGGTTTCTGACTGTTTGGTCGCTAATTAAGTTCCCTGAAGAGTGATGAAGCCTCACGGCTAACATCATGGCGGTTATTGTTGGAGCTCTTCGAGTTAAGATTTGAATGTATCGGTCTTGTCTCCGTGTGGTGCAGCGATACCGTCCTCCATGGCGCTCAGCCACGGTACCAGTGCTTCGGTATCGTGTCCAAAGTCGACTGATAACACTCTGACTTGTATTCAGAGCTAAAGCCACAGTACGTTGCCGGGAACCAGCTTCTATCATTCCCACGGCTCTGAGCATTTCTTCCCTGCTTAAATGACGTCGCCGCTCCATAATAACGTTGGTTTTAATCAGTAGTAGGGAAACAGTAGCACTAATAATGTCTTCAATGCGTTGTATGTTTTTATAGGGAAAATATTGACAGCTGATTTTCATCTTTTACTCGAATTTGATTCACAGTTCCTGATTCAAATTATGAAATGCACCAAAAAGGATCCATATAAATTTATAAAATCATAAATTTATTACAAAGCCACATCTCAATCTCAAGAAATCCGCATAAAAATGCTTGATCCCTAGACACTTTTGATGTGTGTAGTTTGTTTACCCTTTGTCTCAGAGGAAGTTGAATATAGTATACATAATGATTACCATATTAAACGGTGTAATAACGTACTTATAACGTTACTTTATTCTAAATTTATAAAATCAAGCGCGCCATTTCCCCCAAAGTCAAGTTTGGCACACTTTACAATAGTAAAGAAGGATGTAACACTATTTAAAGATTATAGTTTTTCTACGTCCAATATTAATACTTACCGCACCAACATAGCTTTAAGATGATTTCTTAATACCTACAAACTGGGATGATTTGTTAGGAATATATGTCTAATCATTAAATGACCTAAGGGTAGTACCTACATTACTAAAATGCTTATTTATCAATGTTGATTTTGCCTGCTTTTTTGATTATGTCCAATAAAATATTAGTAAGGGCCCATTGTTTGATACATAGTTGAATGCATGCAATGCATGAATGTGACAACAGTTAAAATACCTTAGTAAAAATAACTACTGGTCAAAGTTTTACACATATGACTATGTTTTTGAGGTGACATACAACGGTGCCTAAGTGTTAGTTGCATCGCAGAGCATGTGAATGTTAAATTTTACTATAAGTTTAACTGGCCTCGCTTGGCCAGTTCTTTTAAATATGCATCAAACCAACAAACAGGCCTAACTAAATAAGATTATTAGGACCTTGGCATCAAAGTACCTAAATCAAATTTGAAAGCTTAGCTTGCATATTCCTCATTCTATCTGTATTTACATTTAAACATTGGCAAAGATGGAATGATGTGTTGAACAGGATAAAGACTTTATTTGGTTTAAGAATGTTGCTAGAGTGACCCTGAATGTTTTGTATCAGCGGAGCGTCAAAACGATGAATAGTAAAGTGCTGTAAATAAAGTTTGTGCTAAGGAAAGTCTAAAATATAGGTCAAGGTTTGTGCCAAGGATAAAATAGAGGTCTAAAAGCATCAATCTCTTTCACAGTTTACCCATTGTCTTCGGGGGACAATTTCACCACAGTAATGACCAGCTAGCGGGATGGGGGTGACCGAAGATTTGGCACCGAGCTTCACTCAGAAGCCGCAGCTGCGCCAGGAGGACGATGGCAACAAGCTCGTCTTCGAGTGCCAGCTGATCGCTTCCCCAAAGCCGGAGATCAGCTGGTACCGCAGCGATGAGCTCCTTAAAGAGGACAATAGGACTAAATTTAAGTGAGTACCTACAATTCTCAGTTCTTTTTGATATTAAGAGCCCTTTTACAAAATTGCGCCGCTGCCGTACTGATCGGCGCGTAGGTAGATTTGCACTAGTATAATATTGCATTTTACGAGCGATGTTTCGAGTCTTTAAAATAACTAGCAAACCAAAACCAAATGTTCACCAAAACCTGATTTAAAAAAAAATGTATTTAATTAATTGAGAACTTCGGAGATTTTGTGTGGTTTCGTTTGAAATTCGTGATTTCTCGAAAACCGGAAGTGCTACGTTACTCAAATCCGGTTTGTAGTCTTGACTATTCTTAACTTATAACTTAAATATTCTCTTTATCTATCTCTTACGGTTTGGCCGCTGAAACAGCACCACAGACAGACAGACGGAAGGACTTGTCTAATAGATAAGAGATTATTACTGAACTAATTATAAAAATATTTACCTACTTCAGTAGTTTAATGATGATAGATTAGTTTTATAAAAGTTTTTGATAGTAATTCCATTTAATTCAATATCAAAATACGAGGTAAACCTGCATTATTTTTTGGAAAAACTCACGGATGTCGTAGTAATTAATTTGAACATTATTGAGAGATTGAGGCGTTCGAAGTTGTGCATCGTTTTTTCCGTAAACTAGCTGCAGTAGAATTTATCAGTACAAAAAAGGGAAATAGTATTTGCAAATATTCCACTTTGACTTACAAAAAGAAGAACAAATCAACTGTTTACTTCTATTGGTAATACTCAAAATCTTATCTAAGGGGCTAAACGAGGCGCTCAAAAAATACATTTTTTTGCAAAAAATGTAAAAGGGCTCAGTTAATCTCTACTTATTATTTATAAAGAGGAAAGATTTGATTGTTTTGTTTGTATTGAATACGCTCGAAACTACTGGACCGATTTGATAAATTCTTTCACATTTAGAATCCAACATTATCCCTGATGAACTTATGCTATAGAATATTTACAAAAAGTTAGGGTTCCGTATGTAAACTTCGATAGTGTAAGCCAATGTATAAAAAATACCAAAAAATGACCTTATATCGCGTATGCTGCGGAAGTCATTGACAAGAGAGCAAAGTGATGTACTAAAATTTTATAGAGGACATGAATATTTACAAGAAAGTTCGCAATACCATATTATTACAGTTATGTCATAACTAGAACTCTAGTTGTGACATAACTGTAATACCCCCTGCGGTTTTACCTGCGTTAATTTGAGGAAATAGGTTATACATAATGAGTCCAACTTAAAAGATGCTGTCGATGACCGTTTACCCAGCGCACGCAACAAAAGCTCACAAATGGAATATTTTACCCGTTTTTGCAACCTTTTTCATGAAACTAATTTCTATGATCAGAATCACATTAAAACATCTGACGCGACGATCAGTGCAATAATTTTGAGTGATAAAAGTGATGGGTGTGTACAAACCAATGCGTCACTAGCGTACATTTAATAATAAGGGCATGGAACAATGGTAAGTGGACACGCTTTTTTTAACAGCAGAGCAATGGGGAATTCTGTACAAAGGGTCCTAAACTACGCAACAAAATTTTCACTATCAGTTAAAAAAAAACACGCAAGTTTTATAATTATATGAAGAAAGTCATTGTGTATAATACAAGCCTGAGAACAAAAACTATAGTCATCACTACAGCTCTACACCTAAGCGAAGAATAAAATATAAGGACCTAAAAGGAAATACCAAAGACCATTTAGCTATAGAGCACTGAAATAGTTATTTATGATATTAGTGTGGAAAGTTGGTTATATATATATATATATATATAAAGTATGATTATATATTCCTACATAGTCACGAGTTTGTAAATATCAATTATGCACGAATGTTGTACAACGTTTTTCAACACATTGCGAGAAAACAGTACTTATAAGTACCAAATTTAAGTGATGATGATGAAGCAAACTTTTTCTAATAGGAAAATGGCGCGCGTTTCCAAATGGCGCCACTTGCTGCGGGTGGTAAAAATTAGAACTACTTCTTTGGTCTTTTTTCTTTTTAGTATCAAAGTGTGACACAGGTAAAGATTAAAAGCTTCCAAGAAGGTTAGACCGAAATTAAAATAAAACCTTATTATTTTTAACTGTAACCGATTTTTCAATAAATTGCTCAAAAATACTTTACGGAGGTTGTATACATTGTTCATATGTTCAAAATTACGGGCTATATAACGGAGCGTGCGATAATAGTAAATGCGGTAAGTTGAGAATTACAGCCGAGGCGATATTGTTAGCCCGAGCCACAGGTGAGGGCTATAAGAAGGCAGAGGCTGTAATTATTAAACCGCACGTATATCATACGACGTTTTATAACACATTTGCGAGGAAATAATACTACCTAGTATACGTACTTTCTGAAAATGAATTTGCACCTTTGTTTGTTTTCCATAAGATGAAATTTTGATATGCTTGACTGTAAGTATCTATCCGTGGATTTTTCGGGCAAGAGGCTTAGCGTAGCATTTTTCGACTTCTGGCGGTGTCAAATTAATAAATTCGTTACTACTTAACAATATTTTCAAATAAAAACAATACAGCGAAAAGAAAAAGAAATAACTTTTTCTCAGATTAGCGATGTGCGCGCAACAACGTTTTTTTAGACAAAGGAATTACTAAAAAAGTAAATTAATATATTTGTGAATTTGTTACCGATACATGGTTGTAATTTATAGTCAAAATGAATCAAATTAAAGAAGTTAATTTTATCAAGAAAATGTTGGCTACCTTTCTGACATAAAAACTCTTTGCTAAGATTTAAAAAAGTATCGTTCGTTTTTAGACGGAACATAATAAGCCGTGCGTTTTACTATACATTACATTACATTAGTGTAATAAAACATTTTACTGCAAGCTCCCAGACATTGCACCGTGCTTATCCTTTATGTTTTTTTTTATTTCGTACGATTTTTTTTTGCTGTTGCTGCAATTGGTCGCAGATGACCTTTACAGCGTCACCGGGTTTGGGGACGGCGAGATCCTAAGAGGACCTCAAGCCGAGAATTGGCGAGTGCCTCTAGAGGTATTCCAGACGGATGGCATCTCTCCGTCTGGAGGCTCTAGATCACTCGAATCTGAGGGGTTCGGCTCTACTAGATAGCGTCTCTGAGACTCAGAGCTAGTTAGCCGTTGTCGTGGGGGGCGGGGAAAAACGCCCAGGTACGTGTACCTGGTATAGCGTGTCGTGTGTATACCGGGTCTTCGCACTCTTATCCTACGAGTGCGGTGTCTGCCTAGTGCTAAGCTAATGTGCAAGTATGCTAGCTTTATAGTGTTGGTGTTTGTGGCCTGTATGGGAGGAGTCGGAGGCGCGTTGGCGCGGGTGATCTCGCCGTCGTCGGGGTACTCTAAGACGTGCCTAGGCTGATTGAATCCTGCACGCGGCGCCATTTGGAAATGCGTGCCATTTTATTATGAGAAAACAGTTTGCTTCACATAAATGAGGTATAAGTTCTTTTTCTCGCAAAAGTGTTGAAAAACGTTGTATGACATTCATCATTATCATCATCATCAGCCTATTAATGTCACCACTGCTGGGGCACAGGCCTTCCCTAATGGATGGAATAGGGAGATTGGGCCATGACCCACCGCGAGGGCCCCGTGCGAATTGGTGGGTGCTAACGACTGCAGATGCAGCCGGGACCAACGGCTTAACGTGCCTTCCGAAGCACGGAGGAGCTCGAGTAAATTTTTGGTCACCCATCCAAGGACCAACCACTGCGAAAGTTGCTTAAATTCAACGATCGCAGCCGAACGCGTTAACCAAATATGCCATCGGGCTCCTCATGACATGACATTCATGCAGATTGGTATTTACAAACTCGTGACTATAGTAAGCCTTGTATTCGTCTACTCGTTTGTAATAACCAACTTACCGCACTAATATTATAAATAAACTAGCAAACCAGTGAACCAAATGTTCACCAAAAAAAAATGTATTTAAATAAAATTAAAAAAAAATGTATTTAATTAATTGAGAACTTCGGAGATTTTGTGTGGTTTCGTTTGAAATAGAAATCACGTGATTTCTCGAAAACCGGAAGTGCTACGTTACTCAGATCCGGTTTGTGGTCTTATCAGACTATTCTTAACTTATAACTTAAACATTCTCTATATCTATCTCTTACGGTTTGGCCGCTGAAACAGCACCACGGACGGACGGACTTGTCTATTAGATAAGAGATATTACATGTCGACTAGTTCCAGTAGTGTAATATACGCTTGAGCTATTTCTACACTATAAAAGCGTTATGTTTTTATTATTTTAAGCATTTAACTCCTACATGTTTAAATCTAAAGAAAAGTTTTACTTCTTACTTCATTTCTGTACTATAAAGCCTAAGGTTTTTCTAGTAAAACTTTCTTTAGATATAAAAGCGTTACTCAAAATTTTAGTAAACCTAATGCTTTATAGTACAGAAATGAAGTAAGAAGTAAAACTTTTCTTTAGATTTAAACATCTAGGAGTTAAATGCTTAAAATAATAAATATTTTTATAACAGTAAAATAGATTTTTCATTAAAAGGAAATCTTTATTTGATGCTTTTGATATTAGTGATGTTGGAGTTAAATCAGACTGAAAGTGGTTACCAAGAGCTTATACGTAAATACTTGCGTTAGATTTCTTGCAGGATTTTGAAGCCTTATTTTAAGGTGGTTTCGGTGAATCTATCCCAGGTGCCTTAAGAGTATAACCACTACCAAAGACTTCATCATCATCATCAGCCTATTATTGTCTTCCCTATGGATAGAATAGGGAGATTGGGACATGACTCACCACGTGGGCCCAATGCGGATTGGCGGGTGCTCACGACTGCAGATGCAGGCTTAACGTGCTTCCCAAAGCACGGAGGAACTCGAGATACAAAATTTTTGGCCACCCATCCAATGACCGACCATTGTAAAAGTTGCTTAACTTCAACGATCGCAGCCGAACGCGCTTACCACCCCCGCCATCGAGCTCCTCGGCGTCACCTTGGTTCAGTCTAGTTTGTTCTTTTACTTCCTTTGAAGGACCAAAGACTTACCGCTTCCTTATGAATAACAGCAGTCAATGCGATTAAACCTGTAATATATTATGTTATCTTGAAAATCGTTAATTGTGCTTTGCTTATCCGATGTTGCCATCTGGCGTTCTATAGATTCTCCTCTCCTATTTCTCTTCCCTATTTCTTACCACGAAAATCCCCCTGTTCCCAATAGTCTTGCCGAGTCGTGATTGTGTGCAGTGTGCAGCAGTGTTTTTGTTGCCCGTGTCTTTTACTTGGCAGCATATTGAATTCTGAGCGAACTGAAAGCTTCTTGATTTAGCTTGGGTCATAGATTCAAGTTCACAAACTATGCAGGTATTCTATCAATTACCTTGATCTACATAAGAGCAGGACTATAGGGAGTTTTATTTTACTGGTAAGTCTACTGGGTACAAATTTCCCAGTTGTCTTACTAGTCAGTCCATTGGGAAGGAAATTCCCAGTAGTTTAACTGGTAAGACTACTCGGTATAACAACTGGGGACATGGGGTAAAGTCATTATACTGACATAATAGTCAGAATCTGTTTCGGTAGTTACATGTACGAAAATTTATTACTTGTAAGAAAAAATATTAATTTGTTTCTTAAAAACAGTGATGTTCACACAATTAATACAAGAAACAAAAATAAACTAACTTTACCTGCTACTAGGCTTCACAAAATTAATAATTCATTTAAAGGTCTTTGTGTTCGCTTATACAATAAAGTCCCAAGCAATATCCAAGAGTTAGCCATAAATAAATTTAAAGATATTATAAAAAAAACACTTATTAAAAAAGCTTATTACAAAGTGTCTGATTATATTACAGACAAAAATGCTTGGGTTTGAACTGTTCCAATCATTCCAACAGGTTTTCTATATTAAATAAATCATAATTGTATTAACGTTGTAACAACATAATGATTTGTAAATGTTGTTACATTAGACTTTTAATGTTGTGGAGTTTTTTTCGCTCGTTATTCTCCGCAGCAAAAAAATATGTCCATAACGAGTGGTAGGGAAAAAAAATTTGGACGATTCAAAAGCGTTGTACCTATATACACCCAATTTGTATAAAGATATATTGATTTCTGACTGGCAATGTTGTACCTACATTATGTATAATATATAAATTCAGATCTCGCATTAGTCATAGTGTGACCAACACTTGGAATTAGACTGTGAAATAGGCAACCAACAATTTATATGTGGTTCGTTTGATTTTAGGTCAACGATCGGCGTCACCTTGGTTCAGTCTTGTTTGTTCTTTTACTTCCTTTGAAGTACCAGGATCAACGTCGACATACTTGGCAACGGGTAGTGGTTTAATGATAGTGGGTAGACATTATTATGGGGGACATGGTGGAAATTTATGAACAGATAAACGTAAACAAGCAGTAAATCGTATGGGATTAAGATAATGTTTCTTTTAGTTGGTGTTTTATTAATACTTGGAACAGATTAATTGTTATTACACAAGTGACGCAATGCATATTTCTAATATTTTCTTCTTTCTTTTTGTACATGACATTTTGACCTTGGCTATTGGAATTGAATACTTTTTCAACGGAATAAATGAAAATATTTTAACATTGTATTTTTGCAAAATATTTTGTTTACTTGTTTCTACAGTGATTAATAGACATTGTAATGAAATTAGTCATTTTAATTTTCGTAATCATTATTATCAATTGAATTAACAACATTCAACAGTGTCACAAAGGCAAACTTAATTTTCAAATCAAGTTACAAATGATTTCAAATAAAATGAATCAAATGCAGAATTATATTTCTTATAAAATAATTTTACGATTCAATTTCACTAGTTAAATATTATTTTATAGCATATTTACTAAAATCTTTGAGATACAGAGCTAGTTAAAATAAAATTTTACTATAACTGTAAGGGCTTGGACAGTTATTGTCACTGTCAAATTATGACCTTCTTTTTGACTACTTTCAAATGGTGCAACCCTTTTTTTACCCAGCCGGTACTTTAACTGAGCAGTTAAAGATAAAGAAAGATGTTGAAGCACACAGTTTATTTGTTAAAAATTATTACTGACTTTGAGAAAATTTACATCCTAGGATCCAGAGTATCGCCAACAACAAGTTCCTGGTGGTACTCGAGCTGGACGACGTGATCGAGACCGACGCGGGGCTGTACAAAGTCAAGGCTAAGAACAAGATGGGCGAGGTGGCCGCTTCCATCAACCTTAACTTCAGCCGTGAGTATAAGGATACTTTTAATATATGATATCATGATCAGCCTATTAATGTCCCCGCTGCTGAAGCACAGGCATTCATTATAAATGGAATGGGAGAGTATGGGCTATAACAAATTACGCCCGCCCAGTACATAGGTGCTAAAGAATGCAATTGCCAGAGCCAACCGTTTAACATGATTTCCGAAGCACGGCGAAGCTCGAGATAATATAAATTTTCGGACACCCAACCGATGACCGGTCATTGCCATAGTTGCTTAACTTCCATAATGGCAGACTGAAAGCGCTAACCACTTGCGCTGTCTAGCTTCTTTTAGTATAATAAATTTATGACTGCAATAAATAAATAAATTTGTTTAAATTTATATCAGCCGATTTTAGTCTTCTTCTCGCTGTTTTTGTGCTTACTATCAGTAAGTTACATCTTGAAACTTCGTTATAACCCCTGAAAAAGACAAGATAAGAGACCATCGAGCTCATCATTGTATTTTTTATACAAGGCACAGAAAATTTCAAACCCATTGCATCTGATGTTAAGTGTAAGTGTGTCGCTCCAGCCACCCACACCTTGCTAGCCTGAATTAACATTTATTTGTTAATACAGGAGAATAAACTGAGGATGGATTAACAAAAAAGAACAATCTCAGTCTCAGTGCGACATATTGCGGTGCGACCGATTGTTACATGAAAATATGTAAAACAAAAAAATATGTATCATTTAAATATCTAACACAGATCAAAAATACATATTTATATCTATGTATATAAGTTTTGTGAATTTATTTATTTATTTGGAAATTCTTGGATAGTTTTTCCTCATATCTCCTTATTTCGCTACAGCCTTTCTCAATAGAACACCTATTGAGAAAGGTAGTTTGCAATCAACAATTATGAAATGATAATTTATGTTATTTCGTTATATTTTGAAGATCTCATTTTCATGCACACGGTTCTGATATTTCATCGATCCGTTGGTATTAATTAGAGAGTGATGATTATACCAATACAACTTCAATTACCCTATATTCACCCACGAAAAAATAAAATTTTTGAGTTGGCAACCGATTTCAAATCACTAATGTACAATAGTAAAGTTGATGTCGCTATTAATGAAACCACACGAGAACTCGATACATTAGTTCTGAAACTGTTTCCCCCGCAGATCCCGAACATTTGTCATAATATTCAGTCGTAATCCAATACTGTGCCAATAAAAATACCTACACAAATAACCGAATTAGTCACAGGCAGAAATAAATGTCTGACGAAAATTGTGTTGAACTGTTACCCACGCTGTCAGCGGTGAGCCAAAAGCGATGTGCTACTACGCTGGCAGCTTGAATGTCACAATCCAAACTAATGTCAGCTGACGACAGTCCACTGACCAAAATCCAGACTTTGTAAACATCATGACGATAGTACACAACTAAAGATTTATTAGTCATTACATTGGCATCTGTGAGTAAGTTACTGATACGCATATAGGTAACGATGATATTTTAGTTCTTCGCAAAAAATAACAAGTCTACGAGTGTGCGATTCTGGACTGCTACAGCGAATGATTTAATGAAAATTTCAATGATTTGGATTACAGACATCACTAAGATTTTATTTAAAGAGCTTTCATTTGTAGCAAGAATATTGTGAACTGATAGATAAAGTAAGTCCAGTTCCTAGAATTATCACTGGTCTTAATTTCGGTGCTTACGTCTGGCTCGTGAAATTCGAATTATAAACACACGAAATCAACTGTTTGGTTTCTGTTCTCGATCCATCCAACAAATTCTCCAGTTATAAAATATTCTCTGAAGCTGGAGTGTTTATATTTAACATGACCTACATACACAAATTTCAAACATTTAACTTTTAACCATTCCTAAACAAATTCTTGACCTTTTCTTGAATGGTTAAAAACTTGCTCGTACATTGTAAAATTACATTTATGTATATTTTCAAGTATCATTAACACTAATAGTGAGTATTTAACGTTTCAGCCGCCGACGAGGAAAAACAGAAGTGAGTACAGATTTAACATTTTTTTCTAGCTTCTCAAATTCATAGTTAGGAAGTAGATATTTAGTGGTTTTAATAGAATTAAAAGTTTTGATCCACAATTATTCTTCTCCAAGGCTCATTGTTATATAGACTCTTTTATTCAGTTAAAAATGAAGATAAGGGAGAATATTTTAAGAAACAATAAATAAAATTTTGACCAGTAGTTCTATTAGTCCAGGCAACGTATTTCGAAACCGCTTGAATTTAGAATTAAACCTCTCTGAACATATATATATTTATGTCGAATAATTATTTTAGTAAAGTGTTTTCTAGATACCTTGAATGAATTCGAATGAAATTGTCATCGTATAGATAATGTGCTGAATGAAAATCGTAAACTAATCTGCTATACTTTCTTTCCAGACAAGTGGACGGTAAAGCGCCTACGTTCGCGCGCAAGCCGGCCATCAGGCAAGAAGATGATGGCAAGCGGCTTATATTCGAGTGCCGCATCGAAGCCGAGCCTGTACCCAGTGTCTCCTGGTTCCACAACACGATGGAAGTTCAACCTGGAGCTAGGCATAAGGTAAATCGCATATATCTCGAAGTACTAGATATAAAAGATGCACCCATGAATTTACTATTTCAATTCCAAAAAGTAAGGTAAAGGAATACATGTTATTACCAAAAGAATCAATACAGTCTAAAATAAAGAAAATAAAAGTAGTTGCTGAAGATCTTGTTTTAAAAGTACTCAGAGATGGCCTTGACCCCGTTCTACTTGGCTAAGAGCAACGCCAGGTGCTCTAAGAATGGCACAACGACCTTTTGTCCTAGATTTGAATTCGTATATTAATATTGTCATCAGTTCATCGTTCCGATTTATATTTCCAACAAAATTAAGCTAAGATATGTTTAAATGATAAGAAAATTTCTTCAGACAAATCAACGAATTCCAGAGGAAGACTTTTTAACACTTGTCTATTACATATTTGTAATAGATATGTTTTATTCATCTCGTTAGTTAAGTTTGGTTGCTTAATACATTCCCAAACCTTCTTTTTATAATTGTTTTGATAATTTTATTTTTTATCTTCAAAATAACCATTGGGTTTGACTTATCTTATACCTTACATTTTTTAGCTAACAGTTAGCAAAGATGGAAAATCATATTATGCCTCGCTCGAGATCAACAACGTTACTGTGGAGGATGCTGGCAAGTACAGAGTGACGGCTAAGAACGAACTCGGCGAAAGTAACGCCACAATCAGCTTAAACTTCGACAGTGAGTATAGACAATTCATAATTTTTTTACCAATCCCGCCTAGACGTTTGTAAAGAACTTTGTTATCCACCGAAAGGATATCGCCATTGTTATGTAGTTACAAATACTATATTAAAATTTTTGAGATACCTCAGGGTACTCTAATTGGTGTGAAAGTTTTGTCAGAATTCGATAATCTAAGTTAACACACTTGAATAAGATAAATTGTTACGATAAATTAAGTCAGTGTGTCTACTTTTGACAATATTGCTTTGTACCTTTTTAACATTTGCGCAATTGTTTTGTGTGGTTCTAATCCTTCATTTTAGAAATTGTATTTATTTTCTGTATTATGAAAGTTGATTTTGCAGCAAAGCTTTAGTAATCATCGACTAATTTTATCAGTTACTCTACATAATACACTAGAATGATTTGTCAGTTTTATACATTCTGTTTTTAAACAAGTGTTATCTTGATTTAAGATGTTTTCTTAATATCTCATTTACCTAATTGTTTTCTATAAAATAATTTATGAATGATTAACAAAACACTTTTTTTATAATATAATGCAACTTCTCTGAAAACCTATCATTTCACAACATCTTTGACACTCACAAACACACTTTAATAAATTTATGTTTTTATATAACAGTAACTATTTTGTATCTATTACTTTACTTAAATATACTTTTGTATGTCTGATAGTTTTATTGCTATTATGCTTTTATTAACATTATTACTTCCCCCGCAGATAGTATTGTATCAGCTGTAGTTAGACATAACATTGCAAGATGTGCTTTAGCAAACGCACTTAATATGAATATAATAACAGAGGCAACTGTGATGCGTACTGTTCTTATGATTGAAATTAGAATATAAAATTTCACATACCTTTTTCATAAATCAGGATTACATTTATATATTATTTATTTATTATGATTACCTGTATCTATTTTTCTCATAATACTCCTAAATTAACTTTAATAAAAATTCAAACTTCATTATGAACTTTGATTAATACTACACAAAATAAAAGAAAACATCTTAAATTCAATAACGAGGAAGTGGAATCTGCTGTCTATATTAATGGTAACATGACGCAAAATATTTAAAGAAAATATTACTAATCCATGGATTCATAACATAGGCGACGAAGCGCCCGTACCTGAGGACTCGATCAAACCAACATTTACGGAGAGACCCGTCATCAGGCAATCGGAAGATGGTACCAAAATCACATTCGAATGTAGATGTGTTGGCAAACCGAAACCAACCGTTACATGGTAAGATTATGATGAACTGGAAAATATCCGAATCAAATTGATAAGATACTTATTAATTTTAAAATAAATAATGCAGGTATCATGGAAAAAAGTTAATAAAAGAAAGTAGTAGGTACAAAATTACATTAGAAGAGGACCAAACGTTATACCATATGGCGCGACTCGAAATTATAGGCGTAGATAATACTGACAAAGGAGAATACAGGGCTGTGGCAAAAAACAAACAAGGTGAAGGCGTAGCAAAGATAAATCTAAACTTTGAAAGTGGAGATAAACCAAAGTAAGAATTAAATATTTTTGCTTAACTTAATTTACTATATAAGTTGGGCTTTTTATTTAAAATTTGTCTTTTAAACAGAATTCCTGACGGTAAGGCACCAAGGTTTCCCAAAAAACCGACAATTAGACAGGAAGGGGATGTATTAATAATGGAATGTGTCTTAGAAGCATACCCACTACCAGATATAACATGGTTCCACGGGGATAAAGAAATCCAAGATGGAGCTAAAATGAAAATGTCCAGGAAAGCTATTGCAAAAGATACATTTAATTTAACTTTAGAAATATTGAGCCCCACTAGAGAAGATGGTGGCAATTATAGATGTAACGCTTTCAACTTGTTTGGCGAGAGTAACGCAAATATTGCTCTCAATTTCCAAGGTAACCTAGAAGCTAAATCTAATTCTTATAAGTACGCATACAGTAGCAGAAGCATGTAAGGCTTAAAGCTTAAGAGCTGCATGAAGCTTTTTGTTGGATTGTGAAACGATGATATTAATTTATTTGATTTTTGTTAGGTGGGGATGACGAAAATGGTTTCGCACCATCATTTATTGAGAAACCTCGAATCATTCCCAATGAAGATGGCTCGCTTATCACAATGCGTTGTGTATGTAAGGCCAAGCCGGCGGCTGAAGTCACGTGGTATCGAGGCACAACAGTTGTTAAGGCTAGCAGTAAAATTGAACTTAAATCGACTGTAATTAGTGAAGATGTGTACGAATTGGTATTGCTTTTGTCTAATCCTACGGCAGCGGATGGTGGCGCTTACCGCTGTCACGTTAAGAATGAATATGGTGAAAGTAATGCGAATTTGAATCTTAACATTGAGGCTGAACCAGAACCAGAAGGCGAAGGACCAACATTTGTTGAAAAACCTACAATTCAGTCCAAAGATAATGGTAAATTAGTAATAATGGGTTGCAAAGTCAAAGCTAGTCCGAAACCTACGATAGTGTGGTACCACGAAGGCAAGGAAATCAGGGACTCGTCAAAAATAAAGACCAGGGTCGAAGTAAAAGAAGACATTTACACAATCATTTTGGAACTAATTGATCCTGGTATTGAAGACTCCGGATTGTATAAATGCAATATTAAAAATGAACTTGGAGAGCTCAATGCGAATCTCACGCTCAATATAGAAAGTAAGTGAAGATGTTTTTGGTAATACTGTCATTTATTTGTGTTCGACATATGAAGTATTTCTAAATCAAATTTGTATTTTGCAGTCATTCCAGTTATCAAAGAGAAACCAAAGATCATTAAGATAGTTAAAAAGAAGACTGTTATTGTTGAATGTAAAGTATTAAGTAAATTCGCACCCTCGTGCACTTGGTTCAAGGAAGCAAGCGCTGTCAAGGAGGACTCAAGACATACTGTGTTAATAGAGCCCCTTAGAGAAGTATGTATAACTGCAACACTTATGGTGCGATTGCACTTGGTCGTTAGCCCGAGTGCCTATGGAATTCGGACAAACTGTACTATTGGACTAAGTGTTTATGAACAGAGTAGAGTATGCCCGTATTCATTTTGTTGCAACTTGAACGGGAGTGCAGGGTTATTTGCCCGTGTTCCAATACCCAAAAACAATAGTCACTTATTATTGCTTCGGGTGCTCGACGGGCTATCGAACAAATGTAATTGCGCCATTGGCTTAAAACAGTGCCCGGCCGACGGTCTGCACTGATTTCGATCGGTCGTAGCTATATCTATGCAAATATCTTACGCGAATACTGCTACGCTGATGATTTGCTGTGCGCGTACAGCTACGTCACGCTGGCAGAAACGGTCGGTCGGACTCGTCGGTCTGGTGTACGTCGGCCGACCAATGAGCTATTAGAATGTATGTATGCCTTAAGTGATTCGCTAATGGAGCAAGGGTGCGCACGCACGTATGTATGAACTTCTGAACTGTACACACGCGTCTCAATTCGTAGTTAGCGTAGCACTAAATGCATTTTCACAATCATTGGTCGGCGCTGGTGCTTAGGACGTACATACCACCGCTTGTCAGCAGAGCACTAACTGCAGCCTTACATTTGAGAAAAAATATTGTAAAATTTTAACCAAAACCTTAATATTCTTTACGTTTTTTGTAGGGTGAATTCACAGTCAAGTTGGAAATTTCCAACGTTTCCCAACACGACAAAGGTTCATACAAGCTTGTTGCAAAGAACGAAAAAGGTGAAGCGACATCGCAACAGGTCGAAATTACGGAAATACCTGAGGAGAAGGGCGACAAACCACAAATTGTCAAACATTTCAGAAGCTTGGTGAGATATTTCAATCGTAATATTATATGTAAATGTACTTCTAGATTAGTACCTTGCCATTAAAATATAAATGTTCTCAAAATTTTGTTAATATAACTTTAATATTTAACCAATAGGCTAAAAAAGAAAACCAAGAAGCTGAATTTATTGCCGTTCTCAAGACCTCGGATCAATCATGTAGATGCACGTGGTACAAAAACAATACCGTTATTAGAGATTCTTCAGAAGTAAATACGTCTTTTGATGGTACTAATGCAAGATTAATAATTAGAAAAGTATCATCGAAATACGTAGCTAACTACAGAGTGGTTATTAAAAACGAGTTTGGTGAAGATGAATCCAGCGCCGACTTGACTCTGGAAGAAGACAAGGTACATCACATTACATTCATCCTAGACTAATTAATTAGAATTACAGATATTACTCAATTTTAATTATAATTACAGAAAAAGAAAAAGGAAGAGAAGGAAAAAGAGGAAGAAGAAGAAGAAAAAACGGTTATTGAAGAATCCGAAGAGGAAATGTCTATCGTTGAAGAAAAGTCGGTAATCGAAGAAAATCATGTTGAAGAGAAAAAGAGAGTAAGTGTATTTAAGGGGTTGTTTAAGTAGTCGTATATCAATAAAATTTTTAGGTAAGGCAAAAAACAACTATTGCAACCGTATTTAATCCACCAACTCAAAAACTTGCGCAAATAGCTGACTATACATAATTTATGAACAAAAATTATTTTTGATACATGTGGTGCAGGACCATGTTTCGTTTGCACTTAGAGCAGCAATTATATTTTTTTGCTATGAATTTTCTATTTTTGTGGTTATATAAATTCTTCGGTTTTCATAATCACAATCAGTAACTGGTTTTTGTGACACAAGAATCAATATCTTCTTTTCATTCGGTTCAGTCATCAGAGTGGTCGTGACTATGATGAGGTATCTGGAGAGGGGGCAGATGTAGCTCACCTTACGATATAATAAACAATATAATATTACGAAATATTTTATATATTTTCATTCTTATCAGCAATTTTGATAAAGGTTAGCTAAAGCTCATATTAACATACTTTAAAATGTTCATTTAGGAGGAGAAAAAGAAAACTACTGCTAAGAAGATTGTGAAGAAAGATGACATGGAAGTTGATGAAGAGCACGATGAAGAAGATACTGAATCTACAGAAACAAAAACTAAAATTGAAGCTAAGAAGGTTTCAAAGAAAGAAGAAATCATTTCAAAGAAACAAGAACAAGAGATAGAAGAGGCTAAAAAGATTCTTGAAAAGAAAACAGCTAAAACCGAAGAAGAAAAGAAAGCACTTCTTGAAAAGATTGAGAAGAAGAAAACTGAACCTGAACCAGAGGCCAAGATTGAAGGCATTCCAAAACTGAAACCAGTCAAACCAAAAGAAGAGCCGGTAGAAGAGAAGAAAGAGGCTGCTAAAAAGACTGAAAAGACCGAAAAGAAGGTCGTCAAGAAAAAAGTGGTTGCAAAGAAAGATGAGGTAAGTAATAATTGTGTCTTTCTGATACGCAATGTATAAACGCTTAAAGTAAAGATGTTAACGAAACTATATACACCTTATTACAATACGTTAACTAAAGTTAAATCCGGTCTAAAACTGATGCTGTCACTTTTTTTGCTAAAAAGAAGATAAAGACCGCATTAGGTTTAAGCCACGACCTAATTTAGTCCGCATTTTGGAATAAGGAGGTAAAAGTTTATGTGAAAACTTTCAAAAATAAATCGGTTGAAAAATCTATGCATCTGTTAGTAGTCCGTAGTTGTAATGGTGACCGATCAATGCTACAAAAAAGCATACATTTTCTGTACAATATGTCGAATAACTTAATGATAATAACTTAATAATACATAGATTTATGTTGTTTGTGTCTGTATTAACAATCATGTGCTAAACTATATTTGAAAATAGGAGGAAATCGAGTTTGTCGACGATTACGAGCGACCAGTTTTGGAGAAATACGAAAAGATTACACCTACGCCACTTGATAAAAAATCTAAAGAGGATACCACACCAAAGGTAACCACATCATTATACACTGCACAATTTACACCTCATTAAATATTAGATACATTATTTTATTAAAGCATTAATGATGCTCTTCAAACTTTATTTTTAATATAAAAAATATACTCTTATCAGGCTAAGCGCCCATCTGTATCAGAAAGCGTTAAAAGCGAACAAGAAAGTGAAGAAGAACCATCTGTAGCTACGTCTATACCAGAGAAAAAAGCGAAAATTACAAAAGATAAGGTAAATATTTTTTTAACGCAATCCTAAAATAATATACTTAAACATACAAAAAGGAGTATAATAATAATCAATCTTGTAACTCATGCTAATCAATGACTTAGGTTGAGGAGGAAAAACCTGAACAAAAAAGGCCAAGCATCAAAAAAGGTCTCCCCAAACCGGAGGAACCTGTTGATGAAATATCTCAAGTCAAATTATCTAAAACACCAACGAAGCCTACTGAACAAGCAGCTGAGGAATCACAAGTCGCTAAAACTAAAAAACCCGTTAAAAAGGTAAATCGCATAAAAGTTTACTAGTTATGCGTGAGTTGTTTTTCCGAGAAATAGGCATTATAATAAAGTTATTGATTCTGTTTATATAGCCTGAGCAGCAAGATGAGTTCGTGGATGATTATGAAAGGCCTGAATTAGAAAGATATGACAAAATGACACCCACTCCCACAGATAAGACTAAAAAACAAAACGGTATCCAAGAGGTATAATATTATTTTATTTAATAAATAGGAAATTGCAGTAAAGTCTGACGTATTATATGAACAAAATGTATATTTATTATTAATAATAATAATCTTGCTCGTGTGTAACACCGCAAAAATAAAACCGACAAAAAAATTTACAGAGTGACAAAACACTTAATTTACATCGAAATTATTGAATTTAATTATTTATAATTATATGCATTGTAGCCTGAACCCGAATTCATCGACGATTATGAGAAACCTGAACTCGAGAAATACGAAAAAATTTCTCCTACTCCCAAAGACAAACGTCGTCCTAGTGACACGAAGGTAATTGTTATCTCAATAGCACAGCTAGTCTTAAATCTTACCTATCAAATTAAAATAATTAATAATAATAGTAATAGACTAAACAAATTCAAAACTAATTCTTATCTTTAGGATGAAACTGAAATGATGAAAGGTAAAATAAAACCAAAACAGAAAGAAGATGAACCTGAAATGCCTACTCTTCGAAAACGTTCTGTTCCAAAGGACAAGGTATTTTTTATTGAATCATTTAAGCAAACACTTTATACAACTGCAAGTTTTCATAAAATTTTCCAATAATATAATTGTTTGATTAGGAGGAAGACAAAAAGTCAGAGGACAAACCAAAACCTAAAACTAAAAAACCTGATGAACCTCAAGCTAAAAAACGACCATCACTCAAAGAAAAAGAGGTACTTAAAAAGCTCAGGCACACTATACACATTGAGTTTGACTATAACACATAGTAGTTTTCAAATCTATACTTACCTCTTACCAATAACACCACACTAAATTTCAGTGATACTTGAGCTTCAGAACACACTTTCATGCGGTAATCCTCTTTCGCGGTACTTTGTTCTTTAATTTTAGCAGACAAGTAAGTATAGCTTCTTTCGCATGATAAAAGCTGTAAAACGCTTTGCTTCAATCTTTTTCAGCGTTGCAGTCTGATTCGAGATATAATCGAATTGTATTTAGAACTATTGAAATGAAAATTTAAATTTATGAGGTTTTATATTATAAAGTGTCTTAATATGCACTGTTATAATCATTTAGATTTATTATTATCGTTTTATTATTGTTTAAATTATATTTTAACAATTTTTACATTCACACTTATACCAAATCATCCTAAAAGGTTGCAGAGGAAGAATTCATCGACGATTATGAGAGGCCCGTCCTCGAGAAATATGAGAAAATATCACCTACACCTACCGAGAAAAAGAAGAAGGTACATACATACATATACACAGATGCTTTTACTTTAACATTGCTTCATATTAATAATGAATATTAGTTTACTTTACGATACGAAATATTAGAATTTATTAATTTCACTTAGGACGACAAACCCGCGGAAGAAGTGCCTTCAGCTACTGCGACTGCGAAACGTCGTTCTGTAAAAGATAAGGATAAACCAGAGGTATTACTAAAAATCAAAATACATAATTGAAGATTACTTACTTACTTCCTTATAGTTTTTAAACTAATAAAACATCATAAATTTCTTTAGCCAATGGACGTAGACGAAGAAGTAAATCTATCGAAACCAAAAACACCTGCTAAGCCAGGTAAAGAACCGGAAGACGTTTCTCTTACACACAAAACTCCAGCTGATATTAAACCTACGGTTGGTAGAAAAATATTCGCTTGTTTTTTTATATATTTGCTTTTAATAAAAAAGTGATGAACAGCAATTATAGAATCTAAAATGCTTTAGGAAGATGAAGCTGAGGCTAAACTTAGCATAAAAAAACCTGAAATCGTCGAAGAGAAAACACTTAAGAGACCGGCACCTAAAGACAAAGAACCCCAGGTACAGTTTTGAATTTTCACAACTATTATAAATATTTATAAGAGTATAAAAGAAGCCAAAAAGGAGATCTTTTAAAATGTCTACGCTTTGTTTAAAGAAAACGCATCAAATTATTCACAGACCGAAATGTTGCCTATCGACGATAATGTACCAACATTACCAACTGCACCTGCCATTAAGAGAGTTTTAATTCTTGTAAAGGTACCATTAAGTGCATATACCTATATATAGCTTTTTATAATTAAAGAATTGTAGAGCTATAAATCGGCACTTAGAAATCGCAAAATTATATACACTGAATAAGCACCGCACATTTTATTCAAAACACTTAGTAGATTACACAGTAAGCACGAAAAACTTATTTTTGTTTGTAAATTAAACGTAGTAAAACATTGAGGAAATGTTATTCCATCCATTTATGTACTTTTATCTCCCCTTTTGACTCCATCTTCTCCATTCTTTGATTCTCTACTTTGATTAAGACCATTTTCCTCGTAATTGAACCAGGGCGAAGACACCGAGGAGGCTTTCAGTCTCTCTAAACCCAAAAGTAAGACAAGCACTACAGCTCCTGAAGAAGCTTCCCTTACCCAAAAGACACCTGCCAAGAAAAAGCCAACGGTATTGATCCTTTGAATTTTTAATTATCTCAGAAATTTCACAATTTTGCTAAGTAAATATCATCATTAAATATAAAATCATTTTTGTGATAATTATTACTATGAAGATTTTAAAGTTTTCATTATATTTATTTTGAATAACTATTACAATACAAACGACTATTTCTAATAGGAAGGATCAGAGGCTGCACAACTTAAAGTCAAAAAGCCAGCTGTTGTCAAAAAAGGAGATGAGGTAGAAAAAACGTTTGACAAGCTTTATTTATGCTTTAACGTAGTTATTTCAAAGAGCTTGGCATATGTAGCTGAGATAATTAAAAAATATCACGATTGTGACTAATCTTTTTGTTTTATAGTCTAGTTTAATATCAACATAAACTTGCACAGATAATGCACCACCGGATTTTGAGCGCACATTGACTAACTCTCGAGTAAGCGTCTAATTATGAGGCTTTTAGAAAATCCATTAAATGCTTTCTATGATTCCTTAGGCACCTCTGGTAGTACAAGATGGTAAATTTGAGAAACCGCAACTGAAGAAAGTTATAAAGAAGCCGTCAGAAAAACCTAAACAAGCTCAAGTCGACGAAAGAGAAGACGATTTTAATTATAACAATGATGGGGTAACCGAATTTAGATTTATGACGCTCCTTCGTGTCGTCTTTTATTCTATTCTTTCTCTTATTTTGTGCCCCATAAAGTTCACATTCTTATGTTTCGCCGCACACTCAACACTTCTTATTCTATCAACAGAAATCTTCACTAAAATTACGTTAAGACTAATGATAATTAGAAAATAATTTAATTTTTAGTATTTTCTTATTTTGTGCCACTTAAAGTTAACAGTGTTATGTTTCTCAGCACACTCTACACTTTTTCTTTTATCAACAGAAATCTTCATTAAAATTACCCTAACACTAATGAAAATGAGAAAATAATTTTATTTCCAATTTTAGTTGTTCTTTAAAATGTCCTGCGTTGTACTTCTGTCCGTCCACGTTTGTGTAGGTATTGGATCGCCAGTCGCATGTTGCTTGTTCTATGTTTTCATGTTGAGTGTGATAAAAGTAAGTAGACAACTATTTAGGCTATGTACATGTGGAATTAAAAAAACCTACTCAGCCTCAGCACTACTAAGTAAGCTACAAATCGGAAGGAAGATTTTTTTAAATTAAAATAACGGTGTTACTGTTTTCATCTTTGAATATGTAATGAATTTTGAAATCATTAACATTTCTGTAATTTTTTTAGCTTGAATTGGACTTCGTTGACGATTACGAAAGACCAGTGCTTGAGAAATACGAAAAGATCACACCCACACCTACAGCCAAGAAAGAAAAAGAAACAAAGGTAAATAAACCTTCGAAATATTCAAGCATGCTCTATATTTAACATAGTAATTCAGTTCAGCGAACAGATTTCATGATAAAATCAAATTTAAGAAGGTAGTTTAATAACTACCAGTACCAGTGCATACATAATTAATAATCGAATTATAAATATAATTGTATTCTAGTCCCACTTGCGCCAAAGCTCCTAGACTTGCAATTTATTTCTCTCTCTCATAAGCGCGTTATTATCGGTCGCTATTTTCGGATGCGTTTTTGCGATATTTCGTCATAATTTTATTGCGTCGTTATTATTGCAGCAGTGTGTAACTAAAACATAAATTACAATAACGTATAATTATTATCGACCGATAATAATGCGCCTAAGCGAGGCCTTAAAATAAGACCTATTTCTACCTACTTCGAATAGTAGACATGCATAGATTGATGCTTCTTAAATTAAAGTTTTGTGTTTATTTTTGTAAGCATTAAACTGCTTAAGAATTGTGGTGTAAGTAGCCCTTATAATTGTATTATTAAAAACAAAAATAGACTTATATAAATTGCAGTCTAGGCTATATTCTGTAGATCTAGTAAGCACTGCTATATAAAAATATATGTATGAAAATGAAACAGGTATCGATGGTAGCTCAACATCAACGACTAGAAGTAAAGGTAGATTACATTATTTTGAAAGCATGAAAATCCCTTGTTATATTTTAAGTCTTTTGTGTGACTTCCTTTTCGTCTTCACCTGTGTTCGAAAGTTGTAAATATTTTTTCCCAAATTACTCCTTAGTGCAAGTCTTTGTACCCTTATCGACATCCACGTCTTAGAAATCTACCACCGTGCGTCGTTTGAATGAATATCATGCCCCTTGTTTATATTATGTTTCTAATCCCAAAATCTCTTCGTGGTAATAATTTTTGTGTAATTTTCTGTGTAGACCGAAAGTCGAAGGACGTCAGTTCAAAATGAGGTGAGTTATAAAGTTAATAATAACAGGACATAATAATAAATTTAATAATTCATAAGAGTCAGTCAGATGTGTATTTGTGATACAAACACTTTTACCAATTTCACGGGATCAAAGTTACGTACGTTTCTGTGCTATTCAAAATATGCACACAAGCATTAGGTCAGAAGTCAAAAATTTATTTGAATAATCTTTTATTCCATTTAAGGATTTAAATTATATGAAATCTTTATCAAATTCACTTACAGGTCAAGGAAGAAGTGAAAATTGAAAGCAGAAAGTCTTCTATCGCCGAAGATAAGTCTGTTAAAAAGGTGAGCAAGATAAAAAAAAAATAATAAGAATACTGAATGAATTTGGTGGCGGTGATGTTGAAATCAAAATATTTTACAGTTCACGAAAGAAAGTGCAGAGAGCAGGAAGTCTTCAATTTCCGTTGCTGAGAAACAGGAAGTGGGAACTGTTAAGAAAACGACTTTGCAAAAAGTAAGTATTACAGTTTTGTTAACGCCAATCAAAATCGTTCGTGAAATTTCGCGCGGATTATTTCCACGTCAATTTCTACTATATTTCATGATTCTTAAAAATATGATAGGCATATAATTTAAGATTCAGTTATGGCCAACACCTTGCTTAAGCAATAGCGAACACCCTTACATGCTTTGTAAATTAGTTGCAAAATTAAGCTCCCATCGCTCAAGTATATTTGCAGTAGTGTTATTAGTATCCCAAAGTATGGTTTTTAGATTGCATTCAGTTTTTTTTTTGTATATGTTTGGTGAATACACTAAGTAGTTAGATATACCAAGAAATCCTGAGTGCATTATTTATAATTAATATAACAAGTTGGTAAACAGTTATTAAATCGACAAACTGCGAATTAGGTAAATAAAGATAAGAAATTTACATTTTATGCGTGTTCTTATTTTTTATTAACTTGTGATTTTAGCCGACCATAAAGGAACCAGAAAAGAATGAGTTAGACCAAATTAAACTAAAGGTAAGTTCACAAATTGGAAATCGTATGCATGGACAAAATTTTGTTATATATAGTATTTCTTCAAAAACGTTACTATTATTGTTACGTTTTGTTCACTTCTATAGAAAATAGAAACTGCAATTTATATATTTTTCTTCTGTAAATAATATTTTTTTCTTTGCGGTTATTTCTTTCATTGTCAAACAATATAGAGTTTGATTAAACTTATTCCTGTGTTCGGTCAATAACAACTTTGTGATTAATAAAATAAGTAATAAGTACTCAATCCTTTAAGACAGGTTTCAAATGAATAAAAAACTAAAGCAAAATAACATTTTATTTTTGTAAATAGGATGTCACTGTAGAAAAGGTAGAAGAAAAGGTAGCAACAGATTCTGTAGATAAGCCGTCAGAAAAATCATATCCTAGGCGACCTACAAAAACAAACACTCAGGTATTACACCATCACCACACTACATTCACATTCACAAACATACAAAAATTACAGTTATTGCCATAAACCTAACATTAAAATGATATATTTGGTTATACGAATCGTGAATTGTTTAGGAGGCCACTGAAACATCGGAGCCTGAACGTAAAACTAATTTAGAAAAACCAGCTGAATCTAAATACCCATGGCGACAACCTAGTAAAACTAAGGTATGTTATAAAGAACAGCATTCTTCTTACATAAATTATTACTGATTATTAAATAAAAATTGTGATATTACTTGAAAATACGTTTTGAAACAGGAAAGCGAAGAAGTTGACGAAACTAACATTAAAGAAACAAATGAAGTAAAGACAAAAGTTTCCACGAAAAAGGGCAAAGAACCAACAACCAAAGCATCGCCCGATAAAACAAAAGAGGTTGCTTATTTAGTATTTTTAATGCAATTTTGCTTTTTTGTAAATTTGACAGCACTCTCTCCTTCACAATATGTATCTTAATGTATATAATTATGTATAGAGCATGATACGAATATAATGATAAAATGCTGTCAAAATTACTGATACTTATTCAAATTACAATCAGTTAAATGAAACGCTAGCAGAATGAAGCTTCTATAGTGTATATTTTAAAGTCAATTATGTTCTAAACAGGAAATCACGGTCAATAAAGATATGGAAAAAACCAAAACTGATAAAAAACAGAATAAACCTTCTGTTGAAGAGTCTGAGCAACATGCTTATCCTTGGCGTAAATCTAGCAAAACTGTAGAGGTATGTTAGAACATAAAAATTTAAATAAATTATTATAATTCTCATATACAATAGTAGAGTTATTAAAATAGCTTTCTAGTTACAATACCGTTCAATCAGCTTCATACAAAATGTTTATTATTTAGTTGAATATTAACACAAAATCTTAATTTAGGAGCCCGAGGCAAAAGTGGAAAATATAATATCAGAGCCAAATAAAGAGGTTTCGCAATCTTCTGTGGTAATATTTAAATATATATTATTTTAATAAATTTATGAGACACTTAACCAGATTACTCATTGACTTAAAATTGTTTGACTAGGAAACTGAAGAAGAGAATTTGACAACACCTAAACAATCACCTTTCTTAGCGTGGTTGAGAAAGCCTAGCATAGAGATAGAGGTTTGTATCTTAATATTATCGACAAATGACAGAAATATTTTACACTTTTAATGTACAAACCAACAAACAACACACTTTATTATTACTAGGACTCGGATTGGCTTGAAACACCAACAGAAAAACCCACGCAAGACACTACATATCCCTGGAGAAAACCTAAAACTGAGGTACAAACCAATAATAATCAATATAAAATCTTGTTTATTTGTCCTTTATTAAACAAGCATCAGATAATTACTGCAACTCTCAACAAAACTCAACTGCATAAATTTATATAAAAACACCTACATACAGCTTCGCACAATTACCATTAACAAATTCACATGAAAACTGCACACTTGCATGACTTCAAAAAGCCAGCCACACACATCTGAAATTCATAAGTAACACCGAAACATAAACTTATAAATAAATAAACTTTGATTAGGTACCAACACAAGAAGCACCAGAAAAACAACACAAGCCAAACGAGGTACCTTTCTCCTGGGACGTGATCCCTGAGATACCTCAGGTAGAGAAAATCTATTACTACTTTAAAATTCTCTATTATGACCTATGAGCACAATGATAATTACGTTAATTTCGACCAGGCTGAACAAACACCAGAGCTAGAGGATAAATTTAAACCGACACTCCTAGAAAATACACCTGAAATTGTTCCACCATGGAGAAGAACACGTTCTCCTCAGGTATACACAATACACACATTATTTAAGCACACAGATAATTATGCTATAGTCATTCACCGAACATTTATTCTTCCACAATACATTCATCATAACACAAACTTCTTAGAAAACGGTAGAAGGTCATTAATTTTATGAGATTGTTTAAGCAATTTAAGTGAAAATTTTTGAAATTTCACGTTGCTTTTATGCCGTTTTCTATTAAGTCAATCAAAATACACATTTTCACATTGTATGGTCGCCATAATGGATTTTAACTATATAGGCTGACGTGACGGAGGACAAATCAAAAGCAAGCACGCTAGAAATACCACAACTCGCTTTTAGCAGCAAACCTGACGAGGTATAGACTTCGCCACAATTGGTCACAAGCACAAAAAATTATCGTTTTGCACATAATTTCATTCCTTCACAGATTTTATTTGTTGCCAGAGCACCTGTCTGCACTATTTTAGCATTGGCACCGATTTTTAATTATCGTACTTGTATGCACTTATTCTATTAATGGCTATGAATAATGCCAGTATTATTTTTAGCCTTTAATGGTGATGGTTGCACCTTAAAGTTATGAGTAGACATGAGTATATAGGATTGGGCATGTTTTAAAGCATATTGGATTAAATAAATATTATTAACAAGTTAATACCTAATTTGTATCCTCGTAATGAGATAATAATAAACACTGTAAAATGTAGTAAATGCACAAATAATATATATATATGTGTATAATATACCAATGCAATATCTACACTATTTGATTTAACAGAATTTATTTCTTCTTTTCTGTACCTACTAAAATTTCCTGCTTATGCTTTGCTTATTAATTATTCGTTACCGATATGTCGTATTATATTTAATTATGTATTTATTTGTAAAACTATTATCGAATGGTAAGTTTCTAACTTGGATTTTTAATTATAAGTAAATCTTCTTTTTTACTTAAGTCATTTGTTTGTTATTTCAGTAAAAACAGACTTTTGTAAGAAAAATATGCTATATAATTATTTGCACTATAAAATTTTCGAAAAATAGTTATCATATTAATAAAATTACAGAAAACAGCGATAAAGGAAGAGCAAGTAGAAGAAGAAGTCAAAAAAGCTAAAGTTACTTCAGTCAAGAAGAAGGCCGAAGATCTTCCTGAAATTGCTGACTATGACAGACCTGACTTGGAGAAATATGAAAAGATTTCACCGACGCCAACGGTTCGTGACAAGCCAGAAAAAGACAAGGTAAATTTCTTGAGATCACAGGTAATTAATCTTATTCTCATATGTAATAAACATAATCAAAAATGTTATTTCATGCAGCCAACCCCGATAGTACCTGAAATCAAGGCGCCTGAGGAGAAACCAGCAGCACCTAAGATAGAAGTTATTCGCGAGAAATCACCAAAACCAGAAATGCCAAGGAAACCTTCCTTAGTGCCAGGAGCTCCAGTTGCCAGACGTGGTTCCCTTATACCGCCTCCAGAAGAAATGGGAAGGCGTCCTTCACTTATTATTAGCGATGAGGTATGTATCATTATATTTCTTCGATGAAACAGAAAAAAAATACCTATCAATAAATAATCTGATAATATTTTTTATATTGAAATTTAAATCTTTTATAAAGGTATGTTTTTTATATTGATATATTATTTTGTTTAAAGTACTTTTTAAGGTAGATGCAAATGTTATTTACCATATAAAAAGACTCGAAAATTTTCGCTGCTTTCCCTTCCTTTTGTTTAACTTATTTAGTTGGAAGGCTATTGAATATAATAATGTTTGCAGATACCAAACTGTTTTACCCCTTCTATGTAGTCTAGATACCCTACTCTCTCAAGCCGAACCCATAACATAAGCTCTCTCAGTACTATTGATATTATTTCCTTTTCAATACACAGCCAATAATCATCTATAAAACGATGCAGCTTCGGACATTACCACCATGAAATGCTTGTGTAGTACCTATTTGCATTTTATTAGGAGTAACATTAGAATATTAGTTCCCCCAATCCTTGCTTCTAGAATAGTAGAGTTAGCGTACACTTTTCAAACACATGATACACATTTTATTAGAACCGTTTATGTAGTTATTTTAAATATAGTACAAAACAATCCACAGGAGAATAGAAAACTAAGACCTGGTGAGGTGGTCGAAGACAAGAAGGTAAAACCAAAAAACGCTACCGACTATTACGTGAATGCTGTCCGTTATATTGCCGTGATGAAAATTTTAACTGTTTCTCTAAGAAGTCACATTAATGCGTTTGCATCCGACGCGGTTTACAACGCTATCAGAACTGGATAATCACATAAGCCAGTAAAACATTTAGTAATTATTAAATGAATTTATTTATTGCCATATTCACGTATTATGTTATTATCCAAAAGTTCTATAAAACTATCGTAAGAAGCTCATAAAATGCACACAATTGTGGAGGCCGCGCACAAAATTGCACAGCTTGTCAGCACGTATCGCACACAAATAACGGTTACGAAGATTTTTCGTGTCTTTAAAATCGATACTTTTGGCAGGAATTAACTTGGGTAAATGGTGTGTCTCAGGAGACTTTTGATACACATCATGGAACGGACACTAACAAAATTGATTGATTTAACACGAATATGATGCAAAATGTAACGTAATAACTCTTGCACACGCTGTTAGGTATTTGCACCAAATAATAAATAAACTTGAATAGGTAGGCGGCGTAGGTTCGGCGAAGGAGATGTTAGGTAGGCAGAATGGTTTTTATGGGGATATTATCAATATTTTTTAACAACAGGTCACCAAATTACGCCCTGGAGAAGTTTTAGACGACAAAAAGGTGAGATCGACTGGGTCTGGTCAGTTTTAGGTGGACGCTGCTCGCTTTTGCAAAGCATTTTGTTTTATTAGATGTTTTCTTTATTTTCTTTTGTTATTTCATATTCACGACATTAAGGACAAATATTTCGTATAATAACAAAATGTTAAATTTGCAATGGATATCGATTTTTTTTTACTACAGAGACATACTTTTCAGATGAGCTTTGACACAATTATTGATATCTTCATTTTATACTTACACAGTACTAAATGATGAAATTTTTTGTGCACTTTTTCTATTATAAGTTTACGATTTCCACACAAATAAAAAAAAAACATTGCAACACGCTACATTAAAAATACCTATAATTCAAAAATGAGATCTTCATACCCATAGACCGGTACCTTTATTTATTTTCTTTAGATTTTCCTTTTAGATGTTCAAGTCTTAGTTTTTGAACCACTGACCTTATTTCTGCTTTGCTGTCCAGCGAAAATTGGTACTGAAATGCTGGCACAGAGTGATTCACTTTTTTGTTGTTAATAGAACCGATGGCTAGGAATATTCACGTGTTCCTTCCTACAATCTGGGGTCCTTTAAGAGAGGCGTGCAGAAGCATTTTTGCAGGCAGGCATGGTGAGGATGGTTGGTGTGACAGTTTATAACTGCTGTACCAGCTATCTTCACGTTTGGACTTTATCACCACTTAACATTAAGTGGGGTAGAGTCATTTGCCTACCTGGCTATATAAAAAAAATGTTTTTGATACTTATTTACTATTGGTTCTCTTAACAACCGGCTTGGTAGTTCACTAAAAAGAATGGCTTTAGTTTTCCGAATTCCCATTAACTGGTGTTTAGTTTTAATTTTACTCTAATACTTTTTTATTTCTTATTTCAAACTTTTTATACAAAATGACGATATCTTTAATGATATAATTTATTGTACATATGACACCAAAATATAAAATTAATAAACCCACATCCTCATATTACATACTTGCCAGACACATATTGATTTATCTCACAAAACACAGATTTTAACATTCACCTCATACATATCTTTACACACATTTTTACACCCATTTAACACACGTTAATTTTATAAATGCACATGATAAATTGGAATTTTTAGTATAATGGTTTAATTCAATGCACAAATTAACAGAGAATGTTTTACTAAAAAGAATATTTTTTTCCTAAAAAGAAACGCAGCAGGCCCGGTGAACTCGCGGATGAGGTATATAATGTGTGAAAATTATATGTTTAGATAAATGTCTAGAAAAAACCTTAGAAACGTGGCTAACATAGGATTACAAAGTGAATAATTCGTCAGTCACTAAAAGAAATGTAAATCTTGAATCATTTATCACAAATATGTTTGAAAAGATGATAAAGAATCTGATATCGGAAGTTAGTTATAAAGAAATATAACTAATCTCTAAAACTAAGTTAGCTATATATATTGAAGAAGATATAAATGTTATTGCTAATTTTGTATATTTAATCATAGTGCTCCTAACCTTGTGTCATGCTAACAAAAATCTTAACCATAAACAAAGTTGTAGATGAATGCTTGTTATAAATAACGAGGAAGGTAAAATTTTAGTCCAGCCCCTCTAGCATGACCACCAAAACGGGATATGATAAAGCGATATATCGGCATTAACTGTCAGACTACTGTCAAGCTCCACTGTAGTCTGACAGTTAATGCCGATATATCGCTTTATCATATCCCGTTTGGGCGATCATGCTAGAGGGGCATAGCTATGCATGTGATAAAAACCAATCCATAATTATTGAAATTGCCAATATTGGTATTAAATTATATTCATTCTGTACAAGAAGTAGTACCAAGAAGTACGACATAAATTTTATTATTTAATGTAATCGCATGATCCTACTAAATTATAATAACCACACCAAAGCTAATAACAATAAATTTTATACAAAATGTTTAAGATCACCTTGAGAAATCACAAATACACAGTTAAGGTACTTCATTTGTCAAAAGTTATTATACTGAATATATTGTGATCTTAAACATTTACTTGCATCAATATGCCATAAAACTATCAAATAATGTGAATAGAAAATATATATTGAATCTAATTATGTCACACACATAATAAATAGAAATCAAAATTATGGAAGTGGAATCAAAACATGATTCTATATTATCGTAAATAGGTTTCAGTTTAGAGCCAAATATGTGTGGTTATGTACTTATGTAATGCAAATATTACAAAATCCACTCTTTATATAGCTATAGAAATATTTATGAAAAAAGGGACTCATAATTATCCAGTTAAAAAAAGATTAATATAATAAAAATAAATATTTCCAACACTCACACCTAATACGTAGATATTCGTTGAATGGATAAGTTACGTCAGTTAATAATGTTTCGTTTATTTATAAAGCATAATTTATTTTATTATAATAATCTCAATGCGGTCGCAATTAAAAACAATCAAATTATTATTGAAATTACAACGTCCACTACCATTGCTAAATATAAAAAAGTACAAATGCATAACAAAATAATTCGCAATTCAATAAACATTGAAAAATATCAATATACACCAAAATAAAAAACTATAAAAGATGGTTCGTGGTAAAGATAAAACGGTTGTAGAAGAGGTTAAGTAGGTAATCATTAAAAATAAATGTATTAATAGATACAATTTGAAAGAAATTGATCCCGAAATTAGAGCACTAGTGACTATTAGAAATGAAGAAGTGCACGCACCTGCCTATAGCGGTAACACATGCGGTGACGTTGGTCCGTTTAATGAAGCAAATGAACCATCGCGGCTGCGCCAGCGCCGTCCTGGTGAACACGTTATGATGGATTGTTATTCTTATAAATATGACTATAGGAACTAGGCCAAGAGCACACCGGTGATATTGCGTTCTCGCCCTTAACTGCCGCGTGCTGCCAGATATAGTGAATTATGATCGCGGGACTTCATATTGTTAAAAACTTATAAGTCATCGGCATCTCAGTCAATTGACACGATTTTATTGACGTATATGAAAAACTTTGTTTCCAAAAAGTACAAGCTGAAGGCTGTAGGCTAAAATAATATGCAATTAAAACATAGTATATAATTTATATTATATAGGATCCTCTAAGGAAAAAAAAATAAAGCAAATCGTTTGGTCACCAAAAAGTACAATTTCATATGCTTCTTATGGTAAGCGGCCTTATATTATTTAAACAATTGCGATATAAAAAATATTACACATGCGTTGCCTACGCTCGTGCCCACTATCGTTTGCTACTCAGTGGATCCCTGGAAACTTTACTAGCCGAGAGAAATACAACATCACCAAAAGGTACTATTATTTTCACTTCGATAAAGTGAGAGTTACTTCTCCAGGCACGCGATCCAATCCAAAAGGAAAGCCGCTATACTCTACCTCTTGCAAGAAACAGTACAAATAAAACCATACACGGAGCTAATATAGAACTAAGAACATTTCAACATGGGCAAAATTTAAACAAAGGTGAACCACACTAGAAATAGTACTAATTATAAGTAGGTTTGATTGACATATTAATGTGGAAGTATACCTGTTAGGACGCGCGTAGGCCGCCGCTCGCCCTGCGGTTACACTGCTAGTAGTAACAACGAACACTGATCGAAAAAATCTTGGCAATGCAGCCAAAGTTCACGATGATGTTGAGGATGTTTTGGCCCCTAACAGCTTCCATCAATCAACCTATCGGCAGGTGGTCCTTTTCTGGATATTTTGTATATATATTTTTTTAATTGTGAATGTGCTGCCCTGTCTATGTTGAGTTAAAATTTAATCAACAAAAATCGTCACCAGTTAAATCCTATAGTGTGTTCTTTAAATAACGAAGTTGACAGTGACAAAATCTTAGTATTTGTCGCCTTGTTAGTAATTTGTGTACCTATTTGAAGATACGTGCTCTTTGCCAGCGATGACAATCGCTTGAATAATTAGCGTTTCTAAAAGGTGCCAATCAATCTCTCGATGCTCTTACGCAAACCTTCAATCTCATATAATTTATTAATCTTGACAATCATAAACCACCCACGTATAGCTTTTTCAGATAGCTGGCTTCGATTTCAATATAAAGGCTAGAACAAATTGAAAGGGACGTCGGAATCTTTTTCAAAATTGATTTGACATGAAAGATTCTTTAGATTCAAAATTTCTATACGGATTTCTTTAAAAAACACATTGGTAGTGCTACCGAAGAGTTCAATAATAGGAGTACAACATGGAATGGTCGTAATATTATGATTATTCTCTAAAAGCGGTTGTTCCAATGACGTCTCCGGAATCATGTCAGTTATCAGGCGATGACAACTTCACGCATTTATTAACACTTGCGTCCAAGAGCACGATGGCTCACCTTAATCTGATAATTAATTGAAATGGTCTGCTGATTTGTGCTGTGCACAAATAGAAGCCCGCGCTCCCCGCTCCCCACAACATTGCTGGCGACCATTTCTGCACGACCCCATCTTCAGTCTTTTGACATTCGCGCCCATTTTTAGATGGAACGATACTAACGAATTGTCCCAAATCGAAAATTTACGAGTATACAAATAAAAAAAAAATACAAAAATAGGGTGTAACACTTAAATTTAAAATAATATTAAATAATTCTTATGTAAATTAAGCATTTATAGGAAAGCTTTTTTTGTAATAATAATGAATCATTCAAGTTTCGGACACCGGAAAAATATTGAAGATGTACTTAAGGACATTGCTGTTAATATAGTGTGACATAATTATGTATCTGTGATAGGAGTTTTTTTCTAATTTTAAGTGACTCTGGTTGTGTTGTGGCATTATAATTTTATGTTACTAACAATATGGCAGCAGTGGCGAAAAAACCACTTGCTCCGCCTAAATCTAAGGCTGATCCGGTAAGTACAAAACTTTCAAGTTAAACTTTGAGTAATTAAATATTGTACATTTATAGGTCATTAAAATGTTTCGAATACTAGTGCATTATAAATACTTATTAGTTATGTATTGATTTTATATTATATATATATATATATATCTTAATATATATAATTCTTCTGTGAGTGTGTATGTCACTGAACTTCTCTTAAACGACTGGACCGATTTTGATGAAATTTTTTGTGTGTGTTCAAGGGGATCTGAGAATGGTTTAGATTCACAATTTTGTCCGCTGGACAACCCCTATTTTTTTAGGGCGGTACGAAGTTCGCTGGGTCAGCTAGTATATATATATATATATATTTATATTATTTTAGGAAGTATTATTATTACTGTGTAGATAGGACTTTTTGAAAGATTGAGGAGAAAAATTCAAATCAAATTGATGAGATGGATCTATATTAATTTTCACTAAAAGCTGAACAGGCTTTTGGAGTTACAGCAGCTAACTTTTTGGGTTGAAATTTACATACAAGTTATTTCATGGAACCTCGTTCCACACACATATGCTAACTTTCGAAATTCGAAATTTCAGTAAATTTCCAATATTCCCGGAAAAAGCGCTACATTATTAACGACTATTTCACTATTTCGCAGAGGAAGATAAAGATAGACAAAATAATGATTTTGATTTGCAACAGTCCGGAAGTCGGATTTATTCGATTATTATCTATAGTAATACTAGCTGTTCCAGCGAAGTTCGTACCGCCATAAAAAAATAGAGGTTGGTAGTAGAAGGGTGAAAATTTTGGGTTGTATGTATTTTTGTATGATGTATCATAAAAAAATAAAAACAAAAAATTTTGTCCAAAAAAAAAAAAAAATATCAGTTTTCACGAAAATCGGTCGAGCCGTTTCGGAGTAGTTCAATTACGGACACCGTGACACGAGAATTTTATATATTAGATTATAAAGAGGAAAGTTTTTTTATGTTTGCTTTGAATAGGCTACAGAACCGATTTGAAAAATTCATTCATATTTAGGATCCTACTTTATCCCTGATAAAGCGGTAAAGCTAGGCGGTAGAATATACTAAAAAAAGTTAGGATTCCGGATGAAAAATTAGATAATTTAACCCAACGTGTGAAAATACCCAAAAAATCTTAAATCGCTTACGCTGCGGAAATTATTGACAATGAGCATAGTAATGTAGCAACATTTTATATAGGACAGAGCACATCAATATCTACAAAAATCCTGAATCCTCCTGTCCTGAATAATATATATATGTCTGTTGTGTCACAATCACAATAACTACTTTTTCATGTTAAAATATGCAATAGCAACGCCAGTACAAACTAGGCCACGTGTACCTGGTGTCAATCCTCATCCAAATAATTCACTTCGTATTCAAAGCTATATCAGTACCTGTAAATTACTTTTGAATCAAACCATTCCAAAATTCCATACTATACAAAAGTTATGAAGGTATTATGTCACTAGATAGTACGTTTAATAAGGGCATGAACTAATGGTAAGGGGGACAAAGTTTTTTTTAACAGGAATGTAATAGCGCATTTGTAACAATGGGCCCCAAAATTTTCACTTTCAGTCAGATAATTTTTCATGGAAGGTTACATAATACTAGCTGTCCCAGCAAACTTCGCACCGCCATAAAAAATAGGGGTTGGTGGTAGAAGAGTGAAAATTTAGGGTTGTATGTATTTTTGTATGATGTATCATAAAAAAATAAAAACAAAATAATTTGCTCAAAAAAAAATATTGTTTTACTCTTAACATTTAGGGGGATGAGAAATAGATGTTGTCCTATTCTCAGACCTACTGAATATCTATGCATATAAAATTTCACAAAAATCAGAGGAGCCGCTTCGGAGTAGTTCAATTACGCACATCGTGACACGAGAATTTTATATATTAGAAATAATATTTACAAGCCTGAGCAAAAAAAACTATTATCTACACCGAAGAGAAGCGAGGGAAAGCCACTAATATTATTAATAATTGATAAAATTTAAATTGAAATGTAGCAGATGTGCTATATTTGTCAGGAAGTCCAGACCCTCTTTGTCATGGCATTTGGCTAACGCTCGTAATGTAGCACATTAGTGAACAATTAATCATAGAAACATAACTAATATTGTAAATGAGAAAATTAAAATGTAGTATCAGATAAATTCTGTATAGCTTGATAATTATGGCTACAATATTTTAATGACCTTGAAAGTACATGCATTTTTATGGTGAAATCTATGACTCTCTTATCTAGCCTCAAGTTAATGAAAAACTCAACCTATTTATGTTCCCCTGTTATATTTTTTATTTATCTTAAATCCAGTCTTTTGTAGGTAGGTATGTGTTTATGATCAATGTCGGTTTTAAAGTGATTAACCTAATACCTTTCATTCTAAAGTTCGAGTTGTCACTAATTTGTTTTTGATGATGTAGCGACGAAAGTCCGCCGATGCCAGGAGACCTTCTATCCAGGACTTGGAAGATCTCATCAACAAACCTTCAGTTCCTCTGAAGCCTCTAGGCAATGAGGGTCCACCAGTCATTGTAGACGTACAAGAGAGCTACTCGGCTGTTGAAGGTACAACATCCATTATAATACTGTGACTTAAAATTAGACTAGCACATATCAAATATTTTAAATATACACCTCAAAAGTGTCTAGGAATCAAGTCAATTTTATTAAAATAAGAAATTATCAATTATGTCATTACTAAATCTAGTTTTGTATACATAATATGTAGATAACATAGTGTGCCTTGGGCAGTTATCTACATAATATGTAGATACTACGTACTTAATTGATGCCAAGGTGGCATCAATTAAGTACGTAAGTACATGCATTCTATTCCGTCCGGGAGGAAGGCCTGTGCTCCAAAAATGGGAGAAATAATAGAATGGTGATGACGTACACTTGTATTAATCAAGTGAGACCATCTTAAAAAAGATACCTATACTCAGGTTAAGGAAAATAGCTCGTATACAAATTATATGACTGGATATTTCCATTATCTCCAACCATTCTAATTAGGAACTTGTTGTAATTAATACTTAATTTTAAAGAATCAGCCAATAATTCGTTATATAAAGGCTATATTTTAGCATTTTATAATTTTTATTTGAATAAAATTTATTTTTTGACTAATAGAATAATTGCATTTCATACTTTTATTGATAACAGATCAAACTGGCTACATCACAGTACAAGTAGAGGGTAATCCTCCACCAACATTCAAGTTCTACAAAGGTGTCACAGAAATCATCGAAGGTGGCCGTTTCAAATTTGTCACGGATGGTGAAACCGGTCTTATCACACTTTGCATGAGAAAGGTCAAGCCTAACGATGAAGGAAAATACAAGGTTGTGGTCAGCAACATCCATGGAGAAGACTCAGCTGAGACGCAGCTCTATGTATCAGGTGGGATATATATATACCAAAATAAAAACATACAAAATCAAATAATATGATATTGCTAATAAGCTTCCCCTAACAGAGAGGGTAACACGTATTCATTATCACGCTAGAGAGACCTCTTCAGCGTGATAATGAATATTTATCTAATAAAGGATATTACTCTTAAAGCAACACTTTAATTAATATACAGCATTAATAATATTTATTATACTTTTCAAGAGGACTTACTTTTTTTGAGGAGCTCGATGGCGCAGGTGGTTAGTGCGTTCGGCTGCGATCGTTGTAGTTAAGCAACTTTCGCAGTGATCGGTCATTGGATGGGTGACCAAAAATTTCTATCTCGAGTTCCTCCGTGCTTCGGAAGGCACGATAAGCCGTTGGTCCCGGTTGCATCTGCAATCGTTAGAACCCACCAATCCGCACTGGGCCCGCGTGGTTGGTCATGGCCCAATCTCCATTCCATCCATAGGGAAGGCCTGTGCCCCAGCAGTGGGGACATAAAGAGGCTGATGATGATGATGATGATGATGATGATACTTTTCAAAATCAATAATGACTGGTTTACGAAACTATTAACAATCCGGCATCAATCAAGAAGATGACAAACAAAGTAGGATGCAAAATCCAACATCCCCCTAATTGTAACGTTTTCTACAGACTCTAGTGGCATGGACTTCCGTGCTATGCTCAAGAAGAGGAAATACGCTAAATGGGGTGAAAAGAAAGAGGACCCAGACTGGGGAGATCTCAAGGAAGTTGAAAAGCCTATCCCACCACTCAAGAAAGTGGAAAAGGTAAGGACAACTTATTTAAAGTTACTTTTTGTATGAAGGAAACGTGAGAGTACATTTCGTAACAACAGCCGTCTAATGGGGTGATATAAAATATTATAATTTATTAAAATTTAAATCACTACTTTATAAATGTTCCGAAATCAATATGAATAACTTATAAACTAAAACTTAATATATAACTTACTGGTTGAACGTCTTATTTTATACTTATTTTATAAATGTTACCGTCCTCCAAGCAGAATTAAATAGAAATTCGTGATCTTAAGAGTGTTTAAGAGATGTAAAAAGTAAAATAATAAAACGTTCAACCACTAAAAATTTAAATATTTAAAAATATGAAACTGTTAAATACTAATAAAGCCAGCAGCTCCATCAGGCCATTTAATATACCGAAGATAAAAATTGTCTAGTATGAAAATAACTTGTTCATACGAAATAGTAGGAACAGTATCTAATAATATCAACTAGTATGAAAATAAATTTCAATGTTTGAAACTTAAATATGACATCGAATGCATGTCGTCATTTGATTCATAGGGACTAGAAACTGGATATTTCGAGGAGGATGGTTACCTTGTGGTAGTCTCCGAGGGTGTGGAGATGCTTAGATTCCCAGCTGAAAGACGCAGGAACTCTTCAAACTGGTCCTGGGTTAAGGTCATCAATATTCTTGAATATATATTATCATCAGTCATTCCATGTTACATTTTGGTCCTTTTCTCGTATATATGAACTCTGTACGAACATTCATTCATTCAACTCATTTTGATCAAAGCAGTTACTTTAAATTGGATTATATTGTTAACAAGCATCCTAGATTAACTCATTCGCATAATATCATTTGAAACCCTGTTCTAAATAGTCAAATAGTCTCTTTGTCAATGCATCGCACAAGTCAATGTCACTGTCTCGATGTCAGTTAAGTCAAAGTGTTGATAAATGCGTTTGTATTATTCACATAATAACTTTGTAATTATTCAAAAACTGTTCAATAAACCATGGCTGGACGATTACTTAAGAAAATGCTCGATGCTTTTAGAATTTTTGACTCGAATGTAAGTTTATTTACTAGGAAAAAAAAACATTTCTTAAAGTAAGTTTATTTGTATGTAAGTGTATTGTATTGTTATCGAAATCTTCAGTGGAACTCTCTTTCATTTTCATCAGTGCGTGTTATCCATGTTCTACTCCTAGTTCGTAATCTTCATCTTCATCTTGAATATCGTTGCTTCAGCAGTTGGCTACAAATGATATCGCTTTAAAAGTACCTATGCGTTCACATTTTCTGTAACTTTGTTATCAATTCTAGGGTATCTATGAAATAAGGAGACGCATGTCTCTCTCAGAAATAATACCTGATTGGCCATCTTTGATGGAAGCTGTTAAAATAAAGGTTCGATAATAAGGACGGCTAAAAGTAAAGATAAAAATCTGGAGCTGTCTTTTCTTTCTGAAATTTTGTCTTCTCACGGCCTTATCATTAAAATTTAATATTTAGTAAAACTTAAATAAGCTTATGTTACATTTATTTTTTTACGTTTTTAATTTCGGAAAGAAAAGAGACACTCTTTAAAATAAAAAAATAAAAAAAATTGTGATTGGTAAACTAAACATGAACTTAAATTTTCCTCTGTAACCAAAGCTTCCTACTAAACACAAAAATAAATATAGCTTCTTGTAATGTAACGTTACAAAATGTTGTTGTTTCCTTAAGTGTAACGAATCCTTTATATAGTCGATAAATGTAGTAAATTAGGGAGGCTGTGGTTACTGAGCGATTTAAATAAAAAATGCATTAAAATGGAATTTAAATAACTTGCACAAAGGTTTTTTGTATCACCACCTCACGTTTCTTTAACGTCTCAGGGAATGTAAGTGGAATGAATTTGATGATAATATTTTTTGTTTTTGAGAATTTCTCCATATTAAGTGTATGTTTTTCCAGGATTTTGAATTGACGTCGGATTGAAGGGCTTCTGTCACGTCATTATTATATTTTTGACCAGTTTTTTCACTTATTAATATTAATTTCAGCTGATGCATCGGTGTTTGCAGATGTTGGAATTTGTTTTTCAAAAAACTGTCGTGTGCAATACAATTGCTAATTTTTTATAAATTAAAAACTTAATTTTTTTGAAGTAATTCGATTTTATAGCTGATGTAATTAGTTTGTGAAAAATGTTGGTGTAAAGATTTGACTAAGGATGAATGGATTTTTATAGAGATCGTATAACCGAAGACCGTCACTTGCGGAACTGATTCCCGACTGGCCTGTTCTACACTCGTTCAAAAAAGACGAGGTTTGGTTGAAGACGAAAATAATTCATAGTCGGCACTGTGCACCATGTATTAAATATCACTCAATGCAAATTTCTGTCGCACAATCGATTATGCAATCGTTATAAAGGTACTCCCATATTTATCAACGGTGATGACTCTCGATAAATCTGGGACGGTATTTAACAAAAGCTATACATTACTGGATTCAATTATAACAATAAGTACTTTTCACTATTGCCAGCACAGGTTGTATCGAGAGTTTTCCTTTATTACTATGGGAGTATCGTTCCTCTGAAGAAGGCCACTAGACGATGTAGCCAGCACATCTATATCTTTATAAATACAATTTGTCTTCTTCACTTTCTCTTTTAAATTTAGCAATTCTTCAACGCACTCCTTCGTCAACATCTTTATTAGCAGCACAATGCACAAAAATGTCAAATGCACAATGATATCGATGTTTCCTAAAATGTTTTAGCAAATAAGAACTACTGTTGTCGATTCATTCCGTTACATTCGAATTAATATTAAAAAAAACAAAGTAATAATATCCGAACGAAATGAAACGATAATACACAAGAGCGAATATTAAAATTTATATTAATTATTTAAATACACCACCTGGAAGCTTAGTCAATGTTTTGTCAATAAGCACAATGAAATTCCAATTTCTGTACAAAAGCATGTAGTTTGTGGGTGATGATGATGAATGAATGGCTGTTCATCTTAACGCCTCGGCTGATGATAATGGTTTCTACGATTTCACTTGTTTCCGATGATTTGCATCTGACCTAACTCGCCGAGTGGCGTTGACAGCGTTGGGATGAATCTCAGGGTGTCTTCATTAGCACTTCAAAAGCTTTGTATGAAGAGCACCTTTTTGTGATTGCACCTTGTAATCATATTTAAGTAAATTTTATCCCTAGTAATTAGCACTGGACACCTTTTTCAGAAACAAGAATCATTCTTAAAGCCTCTCGTAGATCAGTTTGCGAAGGAAGGAAAGGATAAAAAGGTGGTGTTTGAAGCCATCTTTACTAAGCAAAATGCCAAGCCTAAATGGCTCTTCCGTAAAGATGTAAGTAACAATGCGTTTATTTAAATTAATTTTCGAGTCTGATGATGTGTTTGTGATGTTAAATTGCTTTTATTACATCCTTTAGGAAATATTCGCAAGCTCTAAGTACAAGATGACAAATGAACAAGATTCATACAAATTGATTATCATGAATCCTAAAGTGGAAGATACGGGTAAGATCACGATTGAGATCGGCGGAATTTCTAGCACTGCATTCTTGCAAGTAGACGAACCTGATCCCACATACACCTTCATTAAGCAACTCAAGAAGACTACAAGTGGGTACACAAAACACGAGGTACTCCTCGAGTGTGCTGTTTCCAACAGCCTCGCTATCGTTTCATGGTGGAAAGACGAAACAAAGCTCGAGGATGGAGAAGAGTTCCAAATATCCAAGGATCTTTCTGGTGTTTGTCGGCTTCTTATCAAGAGCGCGAAACTTGAAGATGCCGGCAAATATTCTTGTAAATTAGAAAAACAACCTGATAAAACTGAAACTGACGTTAAGATTGTCGGTAAGAAAACAAATTTAAGTTAAAGATAATATATTTTTAAGGCAAACCCATTTTTTTTTACTATAATCTATGTCTTCTTGTCTGCAGAATATCCTTACAAATTTACAAAGGTTCTTAAATCCCAACAAGCTATTGAAAAAGACACAATCACATTACTTTGTGAACTTGATGATGCCGGTGGTGATGTAAAATGGTTCAAGAACGATGAGCCTGTGAAGGCAGACAAACGTATATCTATCGTCAAGGAAGGTCGTAAACGCAAGATCGTCATCAAAGATGCCAAGGTCACTGATGCCGGCAACTATAAATGTGTCAGTAATGCTGACGAGACGAAATGCGAGTTGATTGTCAATTGTGAGTATTGAATATTCAAAACTTATAATCAAAGTATACATAAATTATTTAAAATTTGTTTTAAATAAATCAATTTCCTTGTAAAGAATTTTGACATCGGACTTTGTATATAATTATCCTTAAAATGCTTGTTTATATATTTTGTTTAAAAAAATGTGTTTATTAATTTTCCCATGTACCTAATTTTAAAAAATACTGATGACTACAAAAAATAATTACATTGTTGTGTCTAAGCAACTTAATTCAAGTTTTATACCTATTTCGATTCGATATATTTAAATGAACTAACCAAACCTATAAATCAAGGTGGGACTTAGTTATTGTCTGTACTAATAGACCCAAACGGTAGATAATAAGCGATCATTTCGTAAGCGATCGTTAAAACGTACCTGCAGTTAATCTGAATCTAGAATCCTGCCAAGAAACATCCTAATTAAATATATTAATTTATTTCAGACTCGAATCGCTTCAACAAAAAGTTGAAGGACACCGAGGCAGTTGAAAGGGAAAAGGTTGTATTGGAAGTGGAACTTCAAGATCAGACTGCAGAAGCGGTCTGGTCTTTCAATGGAGAGCCTATTGTACCAAATGAAAGGTATGTTTGGACCAATATAAAATTATGAAACTTAGTTATGAAAACAATAATTCTTCTTGTTTCTATTCAGACTCGGCTATCATGAATGATGCTTTAATCTTTTTAAAATTAATTAAATCCGCAGAATTGAAATCAAGAACTTGGGTGGTGGCAAACACCAGCTTATATTCAATAAGCTAGAAATGGAGGATGATGGTGAAATCCTCTGCGAGTCTGGTAAGCTGAGCTCGTCTTGTAAGCTCAGTGTAAAGAAGGGAGAGTCAAAGCCTGCTATCGAATGCCCTGAAGATTTCTACGGACCAGCAGGCCAGCCTTTCGTTATTGAGGTGCCTTATAAAGGTGATAAATTACTTTTTGTTTATATTTGTTTCTTAAGTATTCACGCACACCATTTTTTAATTAAAACAAGTTTCAGCGGTATACATGCACTGATTTATTAATTTAATGACGCTTTATTTATTTAATAATTCTGAGGACGCATCCTGACAAGGATGCGAAACGTCAATTAGTAAATCAGTGCATCTGTACCGTTGAAACATGTTTTATTTTTTGTTTATTCTTAGCTATTGGCAACTTTGATTCTAATTAACATTTATTTCACAATTTTGTAGTTACTGGCACCCGACAGACGCCAATCGAAGCAAAATTGTGGAAAGATGGAAAGGCTCTTCCTATAAAGGAAGTCGAAGCTGTTGTTGAGCAGGAAAAAGTACTGTTTAAAATCAAGAAGCCAACAAGAGAAGGATCTGGTAAATACCAGATTAAACTTTCCAACGGCCAAGGCGAGGATTCCAAGGATGTTACAATTACAATGCAGAGTGTACCCACACCTCCTCAAAATGTGGAGGTAGCTGACGTATTCCAGACATCTTGTGTTGTTTCTTGGAAAGCTCCAGAGGATGATGGTGGCAGTCCTATCGTGAAATATATTATTGAAAGACAGGTTAGTACCTTTCTTTGAATACAGATTCTATTGAAAATGAATAAGGGTAAGCAATGTAACTAATAACAAGCATGTTCTTATAGGATTTGTCACTGAAAGCTGGATGGGATAATGTGGCAGAAGTAGCAGTCGGCCAACCTACCAAATTCAAAGTCGAAGATCTCATTGCTAAGAAGACTTATAAATTCAGAATACGTGCCATCAACAAGATTGGCTCCAGCGAGCCTGGTCTTTTCGCCAAACCAGTTCTCGCAAAAGATCCTTGGGGTATGTTATAGTACTTAAACAGGTTAATTGTGTTGTCTTGATTTATATTATTTTACAGATACATCAGTGTGCTCAACTAAACAGTTCAGATTTGCTTTAGTATCAATTCTCTTTCGTCTTGGATGTGTTAATCCATGTTATGTTCTTGTGAACTGCAGCTGTAAGAGTAAGGGAGTACTAATAGGTCTAAGAGCACGATTTTTAACGTGCGTCGATATTTTTCCATCTGCATCGAGCCTTATCAAAACTGTATCTACTTGACCCAATGATTTATTTGAGTGTGTTGTTTTCAGACGAGCCATCAAAACCCAAAAATGTCGAACTTGTCGACTGGGATAAAGATCATGCTGATCTCAAATGGCAAAAGCCAGAAAACGATGGTGGTGCACCAATCACTGGATACGTTATTGAATATAAGGTAATTTTTATTCATGCCCAATTTTGTGACCCAAAATTATGTAAATTGCACTAGTAAGAAAAATATTATTTGGATCGATTCGCAGGAGAAATTCGGAAAGGACTGGGTAACCGGTAAAGAAGTACCCGGTGATTGCTTATCGGCTACTCAGGATGGTTTGAAAGAGGGCTGCACATACGAGTTCAGAGTGCGTGCCATCAACAAGGCAGGTCCTGGTGAACCTAGCGACAGCACTAAACCTATTGTTGCCAAGTGTAGATTTGGTAAGTACATAAAGATTTTCTTTGAAACTACCGGAAACTGTTGAAACCAATTCAAAAATTTAATAACAACTGCTTCTGTCTTTTTCTTTATGTTAAAAGGGTGGCAAACAAGCGTAAGGCCCACCTGGTGGTAAGCGGCAACCATAACCTAAATAATGTACTAAAAATACCACTCGCAGCGTGGAGGCCTTGGAGCCTTACTTATTGACAAATGATAGTGTTATTTAACTGATAGATTCTGTAAGGTGGAGGTTACTTCCTCATTAGGACCAATTTGAGCGGAGAATCCGCACCAAAATGAGCGGAGAATCCGCTATGGCCTACCTCTCTTAAGTTTTCTAATTATGCATTCTGTTGACAAGATAATGAAGAATAAAGGGCACATATTTGTTTGCAGTCAAACCGTTCATTATCGGAAATGGTCTTCAGAACTTGATCATCAAGAAGGGACAGGTTATCACCTTCGATATTAAATACGGTGGTGAGCCTGAACCCGAAGTCAAATGGATGAAGGGTGAAGAGGTAAATACTAGACTCCATTTTCTTTTCTTCTTTTAAAAGTTAATATATACCTATGCTGCTTTACCATACATGGACTTGCGATTGTTCGAGTATTACCTTTTTCTTCAATCACAATAAAAATATAAAGTATTCCAGTATTTTCAAAATAGAATTTTGGTATTAATGTTTATTTTACGTTTTTTCCAAAAAAAGAAACGAGGAAAGGCGTACACCGAGAAGGTCAGAGGGTGAAACTAGATGTTGTGTTGTATCTATAAAATTATATGTTTTAATATCTACTGATACACATTACTGTCTACATATATGTGGCTAACCAAACTACACTACAATTATGAAAGTAACATAAAAAATATAGTGCATTGAAATTTTCTAATTGATTTAGAATATGTTATGTTTCTAATTGACTTATGCTATAAACGAAGTGTTAAAAACGTATAATCATAGAAATATTGTAATAGCTGTTGAAAATTTCAGTGTGGTTATGATGAATTGCGACGATGTCGAAATATATACTTGTCATATGAATGTTGTGTACTTAACTTAAAAAAAGTTGCTCGAACATTTAAAAACCATTTTAAAATAAAAACGTTAACTATACAATTGAAAAATGTAATAAATTTATGCATTTCGACATCGTAGGTATTATGAAAGTGGAATCGCTAAGGAACGCGATATCTATCTTTATCTAAGTTACTACACATAAAAACCTGGAAATGACTCAGATTTTTTACTTTCATAAAAACAGTAAGAATGTGCTATTTGCTTTTATAACTGAATTAAAAGCAAAATTTGACCTATGAGATTATAATTAAAGTATATACGAAATAAAGCAACAATATAAATAAAAAATATATGAAAATGCACAATATTAAAGTTCGCTTACGTTACATAAAATAAAGCAACATTATCAATTCAACATAAATGAAAATGAATAATACATTACTTCATAATATTAAAGTTCACGTAAATTACATGATATAGTTGTTGTAATTTAAAATAACAAAAGTACCTAACTCGACAGTTTACAAACTCCTCTACGGCACTGTTACTGTCAGTACATTAAGTTCATAACACTGTAACATTGTACTCACCGTAAATAAAACACTCAAAAACCCCATAACACTCAACCAAGGTAATAACTTTAACTTTTTCAGTTAACGGGATTGAATCTGATCTGTTAATTGTCAACGCATAGATACTCCTCCTACACCACATCTCCATATTATCACATTTTTTAATATATTTATTTGAAAAATTTAATTTTACTATTTGATAGTCTATCAACTCCTAGTTCTTGCTTTGCCTAACTTGAATCCTGATTTGATTACAACTTCTATTTTAGCTTCCTTTATGGTTAGTTCATCCAAATTATTTTGAAAATCAGGATGAGTAACGAAACTAACGTTCACAAAGTTATTTTTCTTTGATAATAAAAATCTTAACTTTCTTGTCTTAAAAAAGCACAATAAGCATCCATGATCCTCCAAATTTCTCACTACAAAGAAACCCCAACATTCAAACATCTAGCCCTCATTAATACCGCACTGAGATCAGATCCAATCCCCCAATACCTTCGCTTACACAATCATCTCGATACAGGAGATACACGACGATGGCGATCGCATCACCATCGACAAATACGAGAGGAACACGGTGCTGACAGTGAGGAAGACCACCAGACCTGACAGCGGGAAATACAAGCTTGTCCTCACCAACTCGTCGGGAACATGCGAAAGCATTGCCGACGTTGTTGTGTTGGGTGAGTTGACGTACTTCTATATATATGAAACTCAAAGGTGACTGACTGACATAGTGATCTATCAACGCACAGCCCAAACCACTGGACGGATCGGGCTGAAATTTGGCATGCAGGTAGATGTTATGACGTAGGCTTCCGCTAAGAAAGGATTTTGATCAATTCTACCCCCAAGGGGATAAAATAAAGCGAAACGAGTGCGGCCACTAGTATTTTCATAAGATTTTGTTTTTAAGGGGAGTATACGCCTGAAGAGGTTGTTGACATATATGGTAAGCGCAGTCGGTCTGTGGTCGTGAAAGTAAAGCAACTTTCGCAATAGTCAGTCATTGGATGGGTGACCAAAAACTTATTATTTCGAGCTCCTCTATGCTTTGGAAGGCACGTTAAGCTGTAGGTCCCGGCTGCATCTGCAGTCGTTAGCACTCACTAATCGACACTGGGCCCGCGTGGTGGGTCACGGCACAGGATCCATGTTCTATCCATAGGGAAGACCTGTGCCTCTGCAGTGGGGACATTAACAGGTTGATGATGATACACCCGTTTTGCGGTTGAAAAAGTTTTATCTACAGATTATCAATGTCGCTGCTTGGGCTCAAGCCTTTCATATATGTATACATGCTTGCCATTGGAATAACTTGTCACAGCTTACTGCATAGACCCAATGCGGATTGGCGAGTGTAAACGACTGCAGTAGCAGCCTGAATCAACAGTTTAGCGTGTCCAAAGCACGGAGGATCATCACACCTGCCATAGCGAAAGTTACTTCACATTCAAAATAGTTTGATAACTTCTGTGGCCGAGTGGTATGCACGCAGGGTTTCATTATGTCGCGTTCTCGGGAGGACCCGGGTGGGGACAGATATTTGTGTGAAGAATACGAGCATTTGTACTCCAGCCATGGATGTTTAATAATATGTATATATAAATATACTTATATTTGTATCAGTATATTGTATCCGTTACCTTAGTATCCCATAACACAAGGCTACAGTGCTTACATTGGGGCTAGGCTAATTGGTGTGTTGGGAAAAAATGTTTCGATAATAATACCTACTTGTTATATTTTATTTTATTATATTAATAGGAGCTCGATGGCGCTCGAGTGGTTAGCGCGTTCGGCTGTGATCGTTGAACTTAAGCAACTTTCACAGGGGTCGGTCATTGGATGGGTGACCAAAAATTACTATCTCGAGCTCCTCCGTGCTTCGGAAGGCACGTTAAGCCGTTGGTCCCGGCTGCATGTGCAGTCGTTAGCACCCACCAATCCGCACTGGGCCGGCGTGGTGGGTCATGGCCCAACCTCCCTAATCCATCTATAGGGAAGGCCTGTGCCCCAGCAGTGGGGACATTAATAGTCTGATGATGATATTAATAAACCTAATTCATTTGTTTGCTGTATTTCATAGACAAACCAAACCGCCCGAACGGCCCCATCGAAGTCACCGAAATTCGTGCAGAAAAGGCGACAGTCAAATGGCAGAAGCCGGACGACTGGCAGGGATCCGATATCACCGGCTACACCCTGGAGAAAATGGACATGGTAAGACTTTGTATCAAGCAGCCCCCCTGCACAGATGCATTCAGTATCTACCACAGAATATATAGTAGTCAGAAGTCAATCAGTTAGAAGTAGGTAGATACAGTTCCCGCCATCCCCTTATACACCTTAAAGTTACCGCTATTGACGTTAGCAACACGTGTCTGAGAATAAATTCTGCTCGTACGTATCTGCCTGGAGCATAGATATGATACTATGTCTGTGGCCTTTAGAATGCCTGTAACCGTAACATCAATGTCTGCGTGACAGAAAATGATGATTTATTCTTTGCTTACGGGCTGGCTACAGGCACGCGAGGCCAGCCAGCGGCGGCGCGATGAATGAAATGCTAACTCATAGGTAGCTCTTTTTTCACAAATGTAATCTACTACAGTGGCGGGAGCGTAATGTACAAGTAATTGGCCAGCCCGATACCCAGCGCGTGGTACAATCATTAGCGATATCTAAAGCACTCTTTACTCATCTATACAATTTATGTATTGTTAATAATCGCTACGAACCCAATATCTTACAGGATACCGGAAACTGGGTGCCATGCGGTGAAACAGGCGCAGAGCCAACCGAGTTTACAGTCAAAGGCCTCACCCCGAACCACAAGTACAAATTCAGGGTGCGCGCCGTCAACAAGGAGGGAGAGTCCGAGCCGTTGGAGACTGATGGATTTATTGTTGCTAAGAATCCTTACGGTAAGTTACGACAGTTTGTCAGTGTTTATTGTGCAATACAAATAGTGTTTTAAAGCGCTTATTCCACCTAACTAAATTCAGACGTCCTAGTTAGGATCCAAAAAAGAAAGGTAATTAGAAACTTCTGATTACACTTGACTAAATCAGTTACTGATTCAGTCAGTTGCAAGCGCGCGGTATTTTTTATCGTTTTTATTCCAAAGATACGGCATATCTTTTTACAATTCGATTAAGTTACTCATAATTTCTTTTTCTTTTGCCGCCGACATCGCATACTCGCGTAATTCGTTATCGTAGACACAATAACGCAGTGACGCCTGCTGTGCGACTGAAGCATCTGTACCCTTAGCACGCACCAATATCGAATTCGTATCGTTTGCGAGTCCGAAATCCGAAATATCATTGTCAAATGTGTACTGATTTTTAGTTCTCATTACGTCCGTTGTGGCGCTGCTGTTCAAGTTTCCATACAAAATTTGACAATGACATTTCGGTTTCCAAACTATTCGAATTCGATAATGGTTCGTGCTAGGGGTATTGAACCCTAAAGCGGCCTACTGACATCCCTGCCGCAGGGACAATTTGTATTTACACACATGCCTGCTATTTGTATTGATGATGATCTCAAGGTTCTCAAAAAATCAGTAGAGTGGTTCACAAAAAGTCGGTAGGTAGAGTCTCGGCTTTTCTATAGTGTTACCCCAAAAAAGAAAATACTGGGTGAAGAATTGGTAACAGAGAGAAATGTATTGTAAATAAATAATGTTTAGATTACTAGAAAAAAATCCACACGGACCTGACAGAAGACGGGACTCGAACCCACACCCTTCGCTATCCGGGCGAATGCACTGACCAATTATGCTACCGCGGCCCTGATGGCCGTATCGAATTCTCTCGAGCCTTTCTTAAGCTGCAAGGCAGCGCCATCTCTTCCCATTGTAGGTAACCCACAATGTCAAATGAATACCTTTACAAGTATTAAACATTTGAAAGAAGAAATAGCAATTAAAGTTATAATTTTAATAAGCATGTTACTGCTCGATGTTTGAATCTATAGAAAATATTACAAGAATAAATAAAAAAATTATTTCTATTTTTCTACTAATATTTTCTTTAGATTTAAACATCGAGTAGTTACAAGCTTAAAAAAAATATAGGTATAAAATAAAATGTTTGGTTTTTAATCCCACATGTGGGGGCGGGCTTTATATACTTCTATCACTCGAGACCAAATTTCATGTCTATTATGATCCGCCGCCATTTTGATCGAAATTTGAGGAATTGCCCCAATCGCGCTACACACATGCCAACATGCAGGGCGGCAGGGACAATCTAGGGACCAAGGGTTCTCCTGCCGCCCTGCCGCAGGCCCGATTTAGGAAATTGCCCCTGCTTGCCTACACACATCACAATTAAGGGTCATCTTATAGTGGTAGGTAGGAACTCTCACACCCTAGATTGCCTCTGTGGCAGGGATATCAGTAGTCCGCTTAAATCGCTTTCTAATTAGGATATTAAATGATTATCAGTCAGAAAGTGAGAAGCCACACTTCTTCCGATTTAGGATGCTAATTAGGATCCTAACTTCCTAAATGCTACTTCACTTGACTGAATTAGTTACTGAATGATTTAGAACGTCTGAATTTAGTCAGGTGAAATACGCGCTTAACTAAAGAATAAAGTATATACCTACATTTTTGCTTATTGTAAAACGAAATAGCAGAATTTCACATTGACCACATCCGTTACCCACTTTTGGGTGCCAAGGGATTTGTATGAGTATAAATAAATATTTTCTAGTACGAATTTTATATATACTATAATATAGATAGGTATATAGGTTTCTTTTTCTTACTGGATGTTATTTTTCACTGAATGCAACGAAGATTGTGTTATGTCCGACATCAGGTGTTGGACGAATAACGGAACGCAACCTTGGCATATGACATTGACAGTGACAGAGATTTGTATGTAAACAAAAACTTAAAACACCAAACAAGTTCGTGTCCTTCGAGTTTTTCTTCAAAGTTTTCAATGAAAATGATGTTCAACAGACCCACCGAAGGCACCTGGCAAGCCAAACATCATCGACTACGACAATATGTCGGTGACCCTGCAATGGGAGCCACCAACAGACGATGGCGGCAGACCGGTATTAGGCTACGTTGTCGAGAGGAAAGACAAATTCTCACCTGATTGGATTGAGGTAAGAAAGTTATTTTATTATTCAAATATTACTGGAACATATATAGGTACTAAGTTGCCGATAAAAGTATGTATGGAGAGATATACCTCCCCTTTTAAGCTAAGTAACTTTTGTATTTGTAAACTGCAAAAAGAGCGACATTAAAAAATCTATTTACTAGCCTAGAGACTTTTACCTTCCTCTAGGAAGTTTAATAAGTGCCAGTACATAGATGTAGTCAGTTAAAGTTTCAATAAACTTAGCGATGCGACATTACAGTGTATTGGAATTATTTCGTTAAACTTCATGTGACAATTTGCAATTCATCAAGATGTCAAATGAAATTATTTCTTTAAATAGCTATTATTCCATGTCAGTTTTTCAACTATCTTTAACTTTGGTATGCATAACCTTTGCTAACATAAAAAATGTGTTGAATAAAGGTTGTTAAAACGGAAGATACAAAGACAGAATACAAGGTGGAAGGTCTCAAAGAGAAGATGGTTTACCAGTTCCGTGTGAAAGCTTACAATAAGGCTGGAGTCGGTGACGCATCGCAGCCCACCGACAACCATCTCTGCAAACACAAGAACTGTGAGTACCTACTCGAATGTGACATTTTGATTATTTTCTAACATGTTATGAGTCAAATAATTGTTTGTTCTTTTGATGCTATTGAAATTTGACAAAGTACATAGTTACATAGTATAAAAAGATTTTCATATAAGACATGGTGTTCAATTTTGAGCTTTGTGTTAAATAACTTTGTTTTCACACAACAGTGAAGCCACGCATTGAACGCAGCACATTCAAGTCTGTGATTATCAAAGCTGGTCGTACACACAAGTGGTCGGTGGACGTCACTGGTGAACCAGCACCTGAGATGTCATGGTTAGTATTTTATTATTTCAATTTGTATACAACCCAGCAAACTTTTTAAACAATGACCATAGATGTAGAAGCAATTTGACATATAGAAATGTCTACTGCGCAAGTTTATTTGTCTGTGGGTTTGCTCAAGAAGTTTGTAGCTAGGTAGCAATGTCATTTTATAAAGGTTAAATATGATAACTTATAGGTTAAGTTATCACATTATTTTAACCTTTCTAAAATGACAACAAGGACCAAAGAGTCTGGCGTTAACTAATTAATTAACACTGGCATTTAGAGATTTTAATGTTTAATTAAATTTAATATTGCTTCTTACTTTGTGGTAGCTATAGAATAACACACTCAACACATGCACTGGTGAAGCATTAACTATATTTGATTTAATAAGTACCTATTATAGTAGGTAAGTTTTAAAATAATTAGATTTTTAAGTTTTCAGACATTAAGTAGTTTTAAGCTTTTGTAATTTAATATTTTCTATGTAAATAACCAAATAAATAACAATACTACTACCTACTTATTTAGTTTATGTTTCCTGTGAATGTCAAAGTTGCAAAAAGTTTAATGAACAAAGAAATCATAAAATTGCAAAACAAAATTAAACTTTCTATCTAGAAGTTTAACTGAGTATTTAGACTTTGACATCCATTTTACATGAAGTTTTATTATGTATTGGTCAGTAATAATTATGTACTCTAAGACTGGCTACTCACATTCCTGCCACAAGCAATCTAGGGGTAAGGGTGGGGATGACCCTTAAATGTGACAGGGGCCATTTTCCACATTTGAATTGCCCCTGCTTGCCTTCACACATCACAATTAAGGGTCATCCCCATTATTATGGCTCAATTACACTTGGTCGCTGGCCCGAATACGATTGCTCATAGAATTCAGATAAACGAGTAAGTGTAAATGAACGGATTCCAGTACGTCCATATTTGTATTCTAGTGTAAATTTTGCTTCTTTTGTCCGAATTCAAGTAATCTCTTTCACGCACGCGGATACAGGGTAACCAAGGGTAATTGAGCTATTACACCCTAGATTGCCAGCGGTAGGAATGTGAGTCGCGTGCCGCTTAATCAATTTTTGCAATTAAATTGTGCATATATAATGAAGTTTATGCCAATTGTATAACATACAAATTGAATACGCACCAAAAGGAAGAGAAATTTAAAACGCGTCTTCCGCGCATTTAAAATTCCCTTTCATTTCATGTCGCGGCGGTATAAATTGAGTCTGAGAAACTTCCAAACAAATACTTTCTATGGCTGAGCGAGCATTGAGCAGCGCGCACCATCCCTTCAACACATCCGTATACTTATTGCCGCAATCGTAACATAGATGGTGCTTTATAAATAACTAGTGGCCCGCCCTCGCTTCGCTTCGGGGTAGGATTGATCAAAATCCTTTCTTAGCGGATGCCTACGTCATAACATCTACCTGCATGCCAAATTTCAGCCCGATCCGTCCAGTGGTTTAGGCTGTGCGTTGATAGATCACTATGTCAGTCAGTCACCTTTGAGTTTTAAATATATAGAAGATTCTTTTTTATATTTATTTAATAATCATATATTGAAGTAAGAGAAACAAAATAAATTGTAATTAAATTTTACAGTAGTTATTCAAATAAAGTCCTATTCCCCCCTTATTAATAAACGAAGAATAAACTTGGATTAGTTACTCCATGTGTTGTCTTTATTTATTGAATTACAAATCACATTTGAGTGATATGAACAAAACATGGCGTAACTGGTCTTAACTTAATCCTAGCTTATTATTCTACATTAAAGGGCAGTGTTTACATAAACTTAATACTCCAGTAATTACACAGATGGCGCTGCATATTTGTGTAACTTTGCTGACTCGCGGTGTCAAAATTTGTACCGGTAGAAAGACTAGCGCCGCATGGTCTAGTAAATTCATACTTACCTGGCGTAGGGGACACCGTGATCAGCAAGGCGGTTCCCCCAGGGCGAGGCCCCTCCATTGCACTGCGGTGGGGTTGACCCTTGCGATTATCCCTAATGTGGATAACTCGGACGCGTAATTTTTGATAGTGGGGACTGCGTACGCGCTGTCCCCCTCTTAATCCTACATAAATGTCATTATTGCCGGATTGCTGACCGACGGCCTGTGTTGTCGCGGGCGCGGCCGCTACGGTTGCCAAACGTATGAGAACTCTTAACGTTTGAGATTTAGCAGTCTCTTACATGATAGAGGTAAATAAGAAATCGTACACTAATATGAGATTTTAACAATGTTGACTGTTTATGTCATGTACATTACACAAAGGATCGACTATAATTAAGTATAGCTTCATTATGCCATCACAAAGTGTACGAGATTTCTATTTACCTCGTTTCATGTATCATCACGTTGCGTAAACCTGCGCGGCGCGGCCGCGCCTATGATAACACAAGCCGTCACACAGTACCTCAAGGAGATTTAAATTGATTAACTTTCATCGATACAATTTATTTTCTTCAATTTCTTTAATTGAAAGTCGGTTCAGACGGTTCAAATCGTATGCGACTTAGCAGTTTATCGACTAAAATAGCCTCTTGTTAACCCGTTATTAGTGGAATTAAAACATCGCATTAATCTATAAAGTTGAATGAAACGTTCTACAATTTGTTGTTGATTAGGTATCAATTGATCAGACACAAGTCGCTCATCGCTTAATTTCTTCAAAGAAGTTGATAGAAAGGTGAATATAAATCTATCTATAGTATAGATAGATTTATTCTTACTGATGTTATGAATACTGATAACTAAATTTAATTTCATTAGAAGAACTCTGTGTACTCACTTTACTAGCACTTGAAAATGAGCTGCCTAATATCGATACCTATTTGCGCTATCGGTTCACAGTTATTTCAGAGACGGTAAGGTCATTAAACAAGAAGAAAGCAAGAAAGAAGCTTATCAAGGTCTTTTTTAGCGTATTTTTTTTGGGATTAAGGGGGCTTTATCTCCAAAAAAATACCTACAAATCTTATCAAAAAACAGGTCATGGCGCGAGAACATCAAGCTGGTGAACACCGAACGAATCAAGATCGAAAACAAGGAGTACCACACCGACTTCACCATTGTGAATGCGGTGCGTCGCGACACCGGCAAATATACGCTGCGTGCGGAGAACTGCAACGGCTTCGATGAGGAGACCGTCGAGTTGACTGTGCTGAGCAAGCCCAGCTCGCCCAAGGGTCAGTATTCATATTAAATTCTTAGATCCTGTCCAGATAAATACGCGCAATTTACACGCGTTTTAATATCGCGTCGCGATACCGGCAAATATACACTGCGTGCGGCTTGAACAGCAGCGTCATAACGAAACTAAAAAAAAAACGGTTGTCTGTAAAGTCGGTTTACTGATCATAGTTGAACGTGACAACGTTTTTTTACAATGTACATAGTTCTTTTCAATATTAATTAAATGTCACGAAATAGTTCTGTTAACTTATTGCTATAGTTTTGTCAATTATAGCATAACCTACAATCGCTGCACTAGCGGACCGATGCTATTTATTTTAATGAAGAAAGCACGAATATTTGACAATATATCACTGAATATATGTTATATAGCAGCTGTCCACGCGGACGCATCGCTCACTCAAGTAGGAGAGAGACAGATGTCGAACGCTGCGGAACGCGGAGGCCGATTGTGCCTCTTTGTCTTTCGTTGCGCGCTCTCGCTTGCACTTCAAGCCTTAAATAGAACGCCTCAGAGCGAGGTAACGCCGCATGAGTCAGTTTTTTTCGTGCGTGAAGCCGGCTCCATCGAATTATAAAACGTTGTCACGTCAAAAACAGGTCACATTTGAAGTAGATCGAAATCTACTATTCGAATTCGATAAATGGTTCGTGCCAAGGGTACAATGGGTTCGATGAAGAGACCGTCAAGCTCACTGTGCTGCGCAAGCGCAGCTCGCCCAAGGGTCAGTATCAACTGAAGATACAGCGAATAGTGAGACACTGTCATGAAATAGATAACTCCCTAAGAAGAAAGAATGCAATATGAACCATTGGCCGCACGATCGATTCGTCTCTCACACTTATCTGCCCAGTTTTACATTAGAGCTGGACATGGAAAAGAACGTTCATTCACAAAGATTTTTTTACTTATGGTAACTTTACGTATGACTGTTTCTAAATTAATCTGGTTGCTAAAGTGATTCTTTTTCTATTTCACAGGCCCGTTGGAAGTATCGGATGTACACGCAAATGGCTGCAAGGTGAAATGGGAGAAGCCAGAAGACGATGGTGGCTCACCGGTCAAGGAATACGAGATCGAGAAAATGGATATGGCCACCGGAAAATGGGTGCGCGTCGGCAGGTATGAATCGAAGTTGTTATATTTGAAGTATTTAATTATTTACCTATATTTAAAGGGATCGAAATTAAACCAGGTCAAATAGACTGCGCGACTAGTCGGAAACGGTTCTTTGGGGACTTCGGTCCTCACAATGCGTGTCGGGTGACCGGTGCAGGAGTATTGTCAGTTTTTAGTGGCCCTGTTCAGGGTGTTAGGTTGAGCAGGAAGGAGTCTCACATACCTTCTTCTAGCTCTTCCGGTAGTTGAAGGATGCGTAAGGCATTTCCCAGAAAAAAGAAAGGTAGACTTGCCTCAGAAATATTTAATACGAGAGTCGAACCTGTGCCCGGAAACTCAGTCAGTGCCCGAGCGATTGCTATCCTAATTAAACTTCCAAGCCTTAACAGACTTGTGCAACTTTTTCATATAAGGCTCATTATTTGAAGGAGTCCAAAAATACTAAACGGGCGGAAAAAAATCAATTCCATAGATCTCAAACCTACTCTTCATTTTTATCGTAATTAAATGTAGAAAGAATATGTGGAAAACTTGAAATATTATTGTCTAATGCGTTAACTAGATGGCGCTGAACGCATAGAAGTATTCATTCATCTACAAAACTGAAACCATAGCGCGATTAAGTTTGTGTACAGTGCCATCCAGTAATTACCATAATAGGTTGACCGCACGACTTTTTGCGGAAAGTCTATTTGAGCTTTTAACTTTATTTTGTTGTATTGAGAATTTAAACTTTATTATTATTATATAGGTATTATATTTTTATTTTAAGCATTGAACTGGTAAATTTATTCCGCTATCCAGGCAGGTGCAGGAGCGAATCCTGTCTAATTTTTTTAGTAAAATTTTCTTTAGTATTGTCAGTCTAAATGGTTTATTTTACCTTCTATCAGAGTGGCTGGCGACAAAAAGCCCTTGGAGATGGAAATCACAGGCCTGGAGCCTGGTCACCAGTACAAGTTCAGGGTGACCGCCTGCAACGACGAGGGTGACTCCGAGCCCTTGGAAACTGAAAGGGCTACGTTAGCTAAGAATCCGTTCGGTGAGTTGTGATGGTTTTTGCTTTAAAATCTATGTCATGTTTATGTGTCGAAGATTATGTTTTATTAGGAATTAAAAAGAATCTGAGAGATAATTTCATCTAAATTTATTTTTTTCTGCATTGCCTTTAATGTTATAACGAATTTCAATATGATAAAAGAGCCAACTTCTTTCCCAAATGTGAAAGAAACGGGATCGCTAAGAAGTACATTTATTAAACTATTTTGTTTTTGAAGAGTTAGTAAAACATATTATGGTACGAAACACAAATCGTGTGCACGTATCCGACTCGCTCTAAGCCGCTTTTCTTTTATTTCAAACACATTATTATGATGGGGCACTTAACTTACCCACTGCTGGGGCATAGGTATTTCCTAAGGATGAAAAAGGCCCTGTGCGGATTTGAGAGTGCTAATGACTGCAGATGGATACGAGATCAACAACTTAACCTGCCTTAACCTAACTAGGATTGGTCGAAAGTTGCTTATCTTTAACTCGCTCGTTCGCATTCTGAGCTCGTTCTGTAATTAAGTTAGTCAGTTATTTCCTTTTCCAACTTTGAATCTCACCTCTTTCTTGTCTCTCTCTTTGGATATATCTATTGCATTTATCATTATTATTTTCCGGGTTCGAATCCCGGCGCCATATGTTTTTTTTATGCTTAATAGGCAAGGCGTTTGCCTACAATCTCGCCTAATGGAAAGCGATGATGAGGCCTAGGATGGTACACGCCTGCCCAGAAGATGCTTGTTCACTCTGGCCTTGAAGATGTAAAAAATATTTGTTTGATGTACTCGCATAGCATTTGTAATCCAGTCATGGATGTTTAATATGTATTTTTATATAAATATACTGGTTACCCTAGTATCACATACACAAGCCTACAGTGCTTACTTTGGAGCTAAGTTTGGTAATTGGTGTGCTCAAAAAGTATATTAACATAGAAATACATTTTAAATACCCATGACTGGAGTACAAATGCTTGTATTCATCACACACATCTGCCCCCACCGGGATTCGAAACGGGGACTTCGCGAGTAGGCGGCAACTTTGAATCCGGCGTATATCCCCATTCGGCCACGGAAATCGTCATCATTATCAGCCTATTAATGTCCCCACTGTTGGGGCACAGGCCTTCCCTATGGATATTATAGGGAGATTGGGCCATGACCCACCACGCGGGCCCAGTACGGATTGGTGGGTGCTAACGGCTGCAGATGCAGCAAGGACCAACGGCTGAACGTGCCTTCCGAAGCACGGAGGAGCTCGAGATAGAAGATTTTTGGTTACCCATCCAATGACCGACCACTGCGAAAGTTTCTTAACTTCAACGATAGACGCAACCGAATGCGCTAACCACCCGCGTCATTGTAATGTTAATTTGTTTATTAAAAATATAACTCATTTTTTCGATCAGATGTGTCGGACAAGCCCGGAAACGTGGAAGTCGCCGACCATGACAACCAAAGCGCGGAGATCAAATGGGACCCGCCCAAGTCGGACGGTGGCGCCCCCATACAGAAGTACATCATACAGAAGAAGCCCAAGGGCGGTGAATGGGAGAACGCCGCTGAGGTCAGTTTATGGTTTATTATCACACTATATTTTTTTCTATATATAGCCAGGTAGGCAAATGAGTCTACCCCACCTGATGTTAAGTGGTGATCAGTGCCGTTTTTGACCTATTGGAGGCCCTGGGCATATAAGGATAATGGGGCCCCTATGAACCCCGTTTGGTGATCTAACAAGAACTAGGGACTTTGTATATGTGATCTGAGGTAGCCTACCTATCGATCACGGGGCCCTGGGCGCTTGCCCAAAGTGCCCACTGGGAAAGACGGGTCTGGTGGTGATAAAGTCCAAACGCGAAGATAGTTGGTACAGCACTTATAAACTGATACACCAACCACCCTCACATTGCTGGCCCGCAAAAATGCTTCTTCACGCCTCTCTTAAAGAACCCTAGATTGTAGGAAGGAGGGAACACGTTCGCGGTCTTGGTCTATTGATTGATATTGATGGTCTTTGTAGATATTGATGACGTAACGTATCAAATACAGCAAGTTGCCGTGTTTTTTGTGTGATTTTTATTTCTGAGTTACTTTTCTATTACTCAGCCCAAGGCTGGAAAGCTGATATTTAATTGAATGGGGTTCAATCAAAAGTTTTATTTGTCATTTAAGCTATTTGAAATTGTTGCGGTTTTCTTTTATATGAGTTTGCTAATTTAAAAATATACCATCATCATCAGCCTCTTAATATCCCCACTGCTGGGGCACAGGCCTTCCCTATGGAATAGGGAGATTGGGCCATGACTCACCACGCGGGCCCAGTGCGGATTGGCGGGTGCTAACGACTGCAGATGCAGCCGGGACCAACGGCTTAACGTGCCTTCCGAAGCACGGAGGAACCCGAGATAGAAGATTTTTGGTCACCCATCCAATGACCGATCACTGCGAAAGTTGCTTAACTTCAACGATCGCAGCCGAACGCGCTAACCACCTGCGCCATGGAGGTCCTCATTTAAAAATATATAGTTATGTTTATTTTTTAAGCATTTAACTGCTAGATGTTTAAATCTAAAGAAAAGTTTACTAGAAAAAAATCCACGCGGACCAGGCAACAGACGGGACTCGAAACGGGACGGGAAGCGAAGGGTGCGGGTTCGAGTACCATCTGTTGCCTGGTCCGCGTGGATTTTTATCTAGTACACTTTTGTTTAGATTTAAAAATATACATATAACAATTTTTGTTTCAATACTTTGTTTTTTGTTGCTATTACCTAGTACTCTAGTTTAATACGTTATTTTTCTCAAGTTAATATCTAGAAATATTAGTAGCAAATGATGCGTAGTCTTCAACACCCAAACAAATACAACCCCACAACACTAAAACGACAACTTTGTAATAAAATACCACTTCGAAAGGGTAATTCATACATATTATGATTAATTCCCTTTACGATTTCTTTCCTTCCCAACAGGTGCCCGGAACTCAGAACTCCGGTAAAGTCGAAGGTCTTCCGGAAGGAAGCGAATACCAGTTCCGCGTGATCGCCGTTAACAAGGCCGGACCGTCTGAAGCTTCGGAGCCGACCAAGATGACTACCATCAGGCATAAATCATGTAAGTTGGAAAGTTCGCCTCAGTATAGAAATAAATACCCCAACAAATGTATATTTTTAATAAGTGGGCTCCAGTGACTTTATCTGCGTGGTAAAATTGAATTGTAAATAAACTTCCATCCCCTCTTTGCGCCCCTTAAGAGGGGTGGGGGAGGGGGAGGCGGGCAATGTATTTTCCATACAAACGTTCTCGACTGATTCCTGCTTGATTTTTATCATTTAAGAAAAGATTTTCATACATAAAATATAATTTAACTCATTCTATGCTTCTATGTGTTCCTTTTTTCGATAACTTGTGTTTCAATGAAACTAGAAGCCCTCAAAAATGACAAAAATAAACAAATTTTACCACCACTAAAGACGCCTACTGTGGAGATTCAATAAACATTTACAAAAAAGCAAAACATAGGGGGGCTATAATAACTACTCATTATTCTATGGGTAAAATTTATTTTACATATGTCTAATTTTCGAGGAGGAAATCGTCGAGAGCCAAACCTCGAATTTTGCATTAGGAATTGCTGGATTAAGGTCCTTTCTCCTTATCTGTACAAAACACTATCCTGTGTCTCAGTTTTGAAAAAAAAAAACGAGCGAGCCATACAGTAGTCGCGTATGATGTTTAACATTTGAAACCTCACATTATATTAGTAAAAAAAGAAATAAAACCATTTGAACATTATGTTTTAAAATCAAATCAAATAGCGCGCGCTTCCCAAACCTCCTGTTACACACTTCCGTCCCACTTCACGTAATCACTCCCACAAAAAGCACTAAAACGAAAATAAAGACATTACCCATCAAAAATTGTGTGCACGGGACAAACACCTGAAGTGAAACTTCTTTTCTTAAATAACCTAACATTAGGCGGTGCATAAGGCATAGGGGAATGAAGCAGCGCACGGATCACTCATATATATATATATATATATATATATATATATATATATATATATATATATTGTAGCATGCGCCGCTCGTAGCGTTCCAGCCTTCGCCGAGTTACCCTCCAACTTTCATGCTCGTCGGAAAGAACTGCGCAAGCAATCCACACTCACACATATATATACATTCGTGTGACGCTCGTGATGCATTTCCGTGTCATCTTTTCCATTGGATTTTTCTATTTATACGGCCCTGAAAAGAAGATTCACTTAAAAAATATTTGTACAAGTTCTGAACACGATATTCTATATGTGTTCAGTAAAACCACGCATCGACCGCACCAACTTGAAGGCGTTGGCAGTGCGAGCGGGCAAACCTATCTTCTTCGACGTCGACGTGAAGGGAGAACCAGCGCCTAAAGTGCAATGGTTCCAGAAATGGAAGGGAGAAGAGAAGGAGGTAAGATAAATAGGTTTAGTTTTTGGAATAAATTTCGGCTTCAATACCTTTTGGGTCCATATCTTAAACGTCAACGGGAAGGGAGAGCCATCGCCTTAGGTGCAATGGTTCCAGAAATGGAAGGGAGAGGAGAGAGAGGTAAGATCACTAGGATTAGTTTTTAGAATATTTTTTTAGCTTGAATACCTTTTGGGTCCTAAACTTCGACCTCAACGGGAAGGGAGAGCCAGCGTCTAAAGTCTATTGGTTCCAGGAATGGAAGGGAGAGGAGAAGGAGGTTAGTTTAATAGGATTAATTTTTAGAATAGATTTCGGAATGAATACCTTTTGGGTCCTTAACTTCGATGTCGACTTGAACGTAGATCAAATGCGTAAAGTGCATTGGTTCCGGGAATGGAATGGAAGGGAGAGGAGAATTAGGTTAGTTTAATAGGATTAGTTTTTAGAACAGATTTCAGCTTAAATATCTTTTGGGTCCTAAACTTCGACGTCAACGTGAAGGGAGAACCATCGTTCATTTTCAGGCATGCTCCATAGATGTGTTTTAAAATTTGATTATTTTAAGTTTGGAATTTACTTCTCTTACAATTCACGGAGCTTAATCTGTACCCTTAGTACGAATTATTATCGTTATCGAACTCGATATATGAAATATATGATCAAATATGTACTGATTTATAGTTCTCGTTGCGTCCGTTGTGGCGCTGCTGTTCAAGTTTTCATACAAAATTTGACAATGACATTTCGCACTCGCAAACGTAACGATCGTGCTAAGGTTATGTTACTTTCTTAACAACAGTTTGTTCTGAATTTTAACGAATAAAAATAATTAGGACTCTATTAGCTCTAAAAGCTTTCAATGACGATTGATTATCGAAACTGGCCGTCATTTCAGCAGGCTATGGTTGAATATATAATATAGCAACATATCTTATACTTAACTTATTCATTCCTAGGTGACAGCTAACGTTATCAACGTTGACTACAACACCAAACTGGACATCAAAGAATCAGTACGCGCCATGACTGGCACCTACCGTATATTGGCTACTAATGAGCATGGCAAAGACGAAGCTGAAGTCGAGATCACTGTGCTATCTTCACCAAGCAAACCTGGTGGTCCACTAAAGGTCTCTGATGTTACCAAGTCAGGATGCAAACTGGCGTGGAAGAAGCCGGAGGACGATGGTGGTGAGTAGTGTTTTCCTATTAAACTTAATCCCTGTATTTTTATATTGTAGGCAACGATATTAAATTCCCTAGATTTCCCACGTCCGCTCAAAATATGTCCCAAATCAAGAAGTGCTTGAACTCCACTAAAGCACTTCTTGGTTCACATTCACGCGCAAACTGTTGAAAAGTCAACATGCCACAGAGCTCCATGAATTAATGAGAAAAAAATACTTATACTACAAAATGAGTCGTTTTTTCGACAGGTATCTAATCAATGTTTGTGAATTTGACGCATTTGAAGCAAATTTTGTTCTAATACTTACTATAAACTGATTTAATAGAACATATTTGAGATGTTCAAATGCATGGTCGGTTATATAGCCGTCTCTTTCGTATATTGTTCGTACCTGCTATATTGCTAACAGCGCAGTCAGAATTACGCGTAGAACCAAAGAAATAAGGTCTATATTCTTCTGCATATAGCAATAAGTTGTAAAAAATTATAAGTTTGCATTTCGAACATGCGTTTTAATTAGAACCTTATACAGTATGCATTAGGTGCCTATCAATGTTTAAATATTGTCTTACATTTTTTTTGACAACGCGATCATCTTACGGAGCTCCGTGGATCGTCGAATGTACCTTTAGGTACAGGTTTCGGGTACGATTTTGTTCGTGTTGGTGTATCTATGGTTTTTAATATCGTTGATTATAGGAGTCACAGTACTTAGGAAGATTTATGTCTTAAAACGTCTTTAGGTGTTAATAGGTTTTCTAGGATTTTGGGTTGGCTGAAAAAGCACCGTCTATTAAATATTACAAACTTAGCCTAATAAAGATTATATTGTAAGCTCGATTTAATCAAAAGTTATATGACAGCCTTTAATTTGAAAAAACAAAATTCGTGTACTTATTCAGCAGATGTAATGATTATTAAAAAGTAACAAAGCATAAAGTTGCCATTATTTTTTAAAAGTATATTTTTCAGGAATGGAATTTTAAGTAGAACTTTGTTGCGTTCGAAACGAAACCGTGATTTCAGAAATATTGTCTTTCATTTTTTTACTTTCCTTTCTAGATTGTTCTAGATATTATAATAAACATTCTAAAATTCTAAATCATTAAGTATTATTCACGCTTTCCTTAAAACTCCAACAGGCAAACCGGTTACCGGTTATGTAGTAGAGAAGCTCAACAAGGCTACAGGTCGTTGGGTACCTGTGGGTAAGACTGACGACACAGAGATGGAGATAAAGGGCTTGCAAGAAGGAGAAGAGTATGAGTTCAGAGTTAAAGCTGTCAATGACGAAGGGGAGTCTGAACCGCTGAAGACGGATCATTCGATCATCGCAAAGAACCCTTACGGTAAGTGGTCGGAAGGTTTAATGTTAATTGCCAGATATTTTAAATCAACATCGATTTCGATTTTTGTTTAAGAGTTAGATTGTGTTCTGTGCATAGAAGACGTGAAGATTAAAATTTATTTCAACTTATATCTAACACAAATACTCACTGAATATTTCATTTGATATACGAGTAGGTCAAATAATAGGGATGATGATTATTCAGGTACATTATCAAATAGTATTAGGCATATTATTTGTATTACGCATTTTTTTCTTTATTCACATTATCAAAATATTACAAAGATAATATTGATTTGAAATGTCGCATGACGTCACGTCTTGGTTCGTCAGAAGTTTTACTTAGATGTGACGTCACGAGACCCTACTCTCAAACATTGACGTGCTTTGTCTTTGTAATTTTAAGATTGTTTGTCCAAAGAAAAATTACATATCCATTATTTTTTCATAATCTAACTGACGGACTTAATTGGATTTCGTTTATTTTACCCCATCGTCATCCCTATTCATTGGTTTGCGCTTTTAAAAAAAACAATTACATGAGTCGAAAACATATTTTTCGTTGTCAATCCCTAATATATCTGTAATCGTCATATTTTAGCAGGCAAGTCGCAAATTACCTTTAGATGATATCATTAGAATAATTTAATTGTCGCACTATTATAAAAAACAAATAGACGAGACAAGCACATTTTTATCGTTTTCAAAACGTCATAATTTGGATTTTAATGTTATATTACTGAAATGACTAATTTTATGGACTGGTTTCATATTGCGTCTTCTATGCAGTGAATTCTTTAAACGAGTGATCTGATAGTATCTATACATTAACAATTTAGAACTAAAACTAAATGATAACATAAATTTGCTATTCATATAATAACATTGTTTAGAGGCCGAATCGTCATCACTATGTAGATCAGTATTATTATTTTGTCCACATGTTATATTTATATTATTTTTATATGTTGAAAGTATAAAGATTTCTGTTTTTTTAACGTGGAGACCTGTAATTGGCCATCTGTAACTAATTTTTTTCTTCAACTATGTATGTTTCTTCGAGCTGTTGCTCTCCCAAAAATTAAATAAGTATTATTGTACGTCCAGATATTCCTGGCAAGCCTTCAGTACCCACCATCGAAGACTGGGACGTGGATCGCGTAGACCTGAAATGGGAAGCGCCTAAGAACACCGGTGGCGCCCCCATCACCGGATACGTCATCGAGAAGAAGGACAAGTTCGGCACTTGGCAAGAGGCGCTCGTTACCGACGTACGTATTGAAGTTTATTTCTAAACAAGATGACCTGATGTACTTCGTATCACCTATCCTAACGATATTATGGGTGTAATTCAAAAGGTACACCGGTACGCTTACGGCCAGCGGTAATGACGTCATGAATCGACGCCATGCTGTTGATTCGTTCCAAATACACTGATCAGCGGGATGACGTAATGAACTGGTGCTATATTCAAGCAGTCTCGTGTTTGTGTGCAACGTTCATGCGCCAAAATTTATAATAATTTTTAACCTACAATTTTAACTGTGATTATTTGAAAAGAATGGAAGTGATAGCTATTACGACAATATTATATAATTACGTCACAGTGTTGTTGTGGTGTCACCAGTGCAATATGGCGTCGAAATAATGACGTCATTACCGCTGGCCTGCTACAGGTATATTTTTCAGAATACACCCTAAAATTGTCCTTTCGCTGAAATAGCTGAAACTTCAAATGTTTCGCAGGAAAAGTAGGTAGAGCAGTTTAGGTATATTGAGAAAATGAAATTGCTGTTTTTACCAATGTTCTTTGGTATTTTTCCATATTTCTCACCGTTTAAATCTGCCTTGGACTGCGACGAGCATTTTAAAGCCAAAACCAGGTAAATCGACTAAGCCGTTTTCAAATATTAGCGAGACACACGAACCACACTTGATTTATTTCTATATATAGAAGATAGATTATTTTACTAATAGGTTGAGAACGATTTCGAAATATTTTAGTGCCTGAGCTATCACAGCCCAGCCTTATATAATTATTTTCCTGATTAAGACACAATATTTAACAACTTATTGTAAATTTTCATATCACTGGGTCAATTATATAATAACAATCATAATTTTATGTAACTTACTGAATTCATATGGTTTCTCACCTATTCGGGTTGTTTAATATCATATAAAAAGTTATTACAATTATAAAGATTTCTGATGTTTCAAGTTTTAGTATAATTTTGCCGTGGTAAATTAACTTATAGAATTTTGCTTATACTGAGACAGTCACATACAGCTTTGTTTCAAAACGTAGAATAAAGTTAAACCTGGATTAAAACTGATGCTGTCGCTTTTGTTTGCTTAAAGGAAAACTAGAGACAACATGAGGGTTTAAACCTAGTCTAACTTTAATCCGAGTTTTGTAATAAGGCGGACAAAGTCACACCCTTTCCCAAAAGATTAAGAGGAGTGGCTTTGGATATTTTCCTTGGTATTTAGACTAACATTAAAAAGGTTTTTAATTTCGTCTTTATTGTTTCGTACACAGACGCCTGAATGCAAAGCTCGCGTGCCGGATCTTAAAGAAGGAAACACTTACCAGTTCCGGGTGAGGGCCGTCAATAAAGCCGGACCGGGTGAACCGGGCGAGCCTACCCAGCCTCATGTAGCTAAGGCTAGATTCTGTGAGTATTATAATACTACTGGGTAAAAATTTTTAACTTATTACCTTATACCCCCTACTAATAAACGAAGAATATGCTTGGATTAGTTATTCCATGTTTTGTCTCTGTTTATTGAATTACAAATGTCATTGAAGTCAATGTCAAAACAGAAGGCGATAAAACTTATCTTAGCCTATTCCTCGTTTATTAATAAGAGGGTAGGTATGTATTTTAAAAAAAATCCTATAATGGATATTTGAATTTGATTTTCAAAGAAAACTGTCAAAATTTAGCTTTACTTTGCTAATTAACAATTAACTTTCGATCAGCAATAGGGTATTTGACAGTATTAAAAATAAAGTGCCAATTGTTAGCATCTGTATTTAGAACGAATATTAGCAGGAGTTTTTACTATTTTTACAGAAAAAATATTCATTATTTTACTAAAAACCCACGATAAAGATAATAGTTTTCTTGTCTATTGTCACGTGACCTAAAACGCTTGGGATTATTGGAGACTAAAATGACGTCACACGCAAGTAAACTTCCGGTTAACCTCTCAAGTGACATTTGATTGTATGGTTTGACGTTCTAATGACAGTCGTGTGACGTCACACACCAGTGACACGTCATATTGTCCAGAGATACGTTTTTCGCGACAACTTGAAAATAGAGTTTGTGATTTGGTTTTTTACCGAAATACACAACATGATGATGAATATCCACTTTTTATGGACTCTATAAACATTAGTAAACAACGTGAGAGCGTTTTCTAAAACTTATTACCGTGCATGGGAACTTGATGCCCTTGATTGGTTGCAGACTACACAAAAAGATGCACTCGTCAAAAAAGTACAAAAACTAAATAAACAGAAAAACCGTTTCTTCAAACTTTGATTTGCCGAAACCGTTCACGGATGCGCTTTCTTTATCGTTCAATAACATAAAAAACACGAGAAAAGGGGTTGTCTGTGGTCGGAGTAACGGCAAAAATACAAGCCGACCAATGACAGAAAAGCTTATTTTTTGTGTTATATGTGTAGTCGATTCTGTGAATGGAGTGGGTACTTATATTGTTGTTTTTTATGCAGTGAAACCTCATATCAACCGCGACAAGATGGTAGCGGTCCGCGTACGAGCGGGCACTACGATCAAATTGGACGTCGACATTAAGGGCGAACCTCCACCAACCAAGACCTGGACATTCGCTAACAAGGTAATTATACAAACGTAGTGTGTGAAGTGAATAAAAAAAATGGAAAATCAAAAAATGCACGCCTCACTTTCACGGTACAGAAACCCAGTTAATAAATTCCATTGAATTTCATTAATATCTTTAAAACGGTTATCAGGTCAATCATGATAAGAAATAGGGTTCATCCTCATTTATAAGTGGAAATTAATTCAAAAGGATTTATTACAATTAATTGCGTATATTTTTCTAAAACGTGCAGACAAACAAGTGCACAGATCAACGGACAGCACTACTAATAATTTTTTAACTCCACTTTTTTTGTTATATATACTGAAAAAATAAATGAAAAATTAATTAAATTGATTTTATTGATTTAGTGTCTAACTTGGGAGATAAGAGCGATTTTATATTGTAAAATCGTCACATAGCGGCCTATCGAGAGTAAAGCACTCCCACACGCTTACGTTTACGTTGTGAGGTGTGCAAAATCCCAGTAAATACAATTTTATTATCAATCATTGCAGGTTTATCATAACATTTTTTGCACCAGCAGTCTTAACAGATCTCTTAAAAGTGCTGATTCGGTAGGCTATTTGACAGTATTTAAAAATAAACTATCAATTGTTGGCATATGTATTTAGAACGAGTATTGACATTATTACTATTTTTCATTCATAATTTTAATAAAACACTATGGAAAGTGGTAGGTAGTAATTATTTACTGTCACGCCCCCGAAAACGCCGGAGATTTGCGGAGCCTAAATTAACGTCACACACGTGTAAACGTAAGGTCAAAGTGACATTAGTCGTACCGTTTGACGTTTAAATGACAGGCGTGTGACGTCACACATAGGTAAATACGCCATATTACAGACAAACGTTTCAGCGGCATATCTGAAAGCAGAATTTTTGATTTTATGGAGTGCGTAATCATTAATAAATAACGTAACGTAGTTTTGAAAAAGTTGTCAATTACTCAACTACAGTACAAATTATAAGCTCGCTGTTTGAGTTTTTAGGTATTTGCTATTGAGCGTGCCTACTCAACAGCCGCTCTTATGCCCTCCACAATAGATGTAACATCGAAATTAATTTACCACAGGTGCTACATTCAAGTAGTACTTAAACCTGCAAAATTTTGTTGACCTAGCGAATTCTGTTCCAATGAATTTACCGATTCTTGTTAATTTTTTCCAAGTATTTCTCATGCTACAAAACGGTTCTTCTCTTTACGCCAGGTTCTGGAGACCGGTCCAGGCCTTAAGCTGGAGAACGAGGACTATAACACCCGTCTCCAGATCTTCGAGTCGTCGTGGAAGAACTCAGGAGTGTATACTCTCAAGGCTGAGAACGACTCGGGAGTCGACGAGGCTACAGTCGAGATCACAGTATTGGGTAAGATAAGAACTTTTTATTTACACTCTATTATTTACTCTATTACTCTTTATTTACTAACTACACGTCGACTGTAACATGCAATTTCATGGTCCAAGATCCCAGGCCCGCAAGATCTTACTTATTTTATGATGGACGATATATGGATAATCGAGTAGTGTAAGTGTGTAAAATGAGCGTAAACACACTCGCTAAGTTGTGCTATGGACCAATTCTCATCCCTAATTGGGGATCCGGCGGTTTCGCACTAAGCAGGTTAGAGGGTATTCGAAGGGTTTTTTTAGCGGATATTATGCCGTAAAGCGCCCGTAAGAGTTACGGGGTCCTCGGTGGGGCTGGGGGCTGGTAAGGCTTGCGGGAGCTACGTGTGAGGTCCGTTCGGCGGTGTGCCTCTTAAAGGCGTCGTCGTCTGTAAACAGAGGTTTTGCCTGCGTCACAAAAAAAAAAGTATCAGGCTCAGATTCTTATGAATGGTGTAGAGAATAAGTATTGTAACCAATTTGAAATTAATACTGCCAGACCTCTAACGGCTGCGTTTATTGCCATATACTTTAAATAGTGAAAAGCAAAATGTTCTATATGTTCATGGTACACCTACACACTAATACTACTCGAATATATCCATACTTTTCTAACAGAAAATAAGTAAGGTTAGGCGGGTCTACATTTGTGGCAGCTTCAAAATTTCACTGCAATTCGATGAATATTTATTTGTCTTCTGACTTAAATAAGAACTATCGAAGCTTTGCAGTAAGAATTCATTATACAAAATCGCATTGCTTTGATAAGCAGTGTCAATAAAGGCGACGTTTTTCAATGAAATTGTAGTTGTTTTTTTTTCAAATATACTTTTTGAATAAAATCTCGTTTTGGGCACCATTTAAGAATCATTGAAACATCTGAGAAAATTAAAATGCTCTAAAATTATTACCTAAAAAGCCACTAAATACCAGTGTCTTGGACAGATATTTTTTTTTATTAAGCCAAAAATTAGAACTCGGAAGTCCTACCAAACACGAATTTAAATAGCAAATTTATCTGAAATTCGCAATCCATTACCTTGTTCCATTCAAAATAACCACACATACACACATTACTATAAAACATTTCCATTTCAGATAAACCGGGCAAGCCCGAAGGACCATTAGAAGTATCAGACGTCCACGCTGATCACGTGAAATTAAGCTGGAACAAACCCAAGCACACTGGTGGTTTGCCTCTCAGTGCTTTCATTGTAGAGAAGATGGACACTCTCACCGGAAAATGGGTTCCTGCTGGCACTGTGGACCCGGACAAAACCGAGGCCACTGTCACTGGTGAGTATCTAAAATCCTAGACCATAATCGGCTAGTCTTATATCTGCTTTCACCATAAATACCAAATTTCAAGTTATCCCAATGAGATTGTAGGTGACACGTAAATTTATTTACTTGACGTACCTATGGTTGTGATTATAATAGGAAATTTTCAGATCCACCTTTAGATCTAGCATAGTTCGCCATAAATATTACAATGAATATCTTTTTTTTAATACATGCAAATCGCATGTAATTTTAGTGTAAAAATTATTTAAATTTATCTTGATAAATTTTGATTGAAACACACACTTGCTACGTGAGAATATTTGCCACTAACCGTCCCATGGGTTTTTTAAGGCCTCTCTATATTGTTAGGGCGCTTAGAATATGTCTTAATATTATTTGACGTTAAAATGAGAAAACACTGAATATTCGCCTGAATGTAATTTATATAGTATTTTATCTACATAAAGTTTAAAAAGATATACATCATTTTATAAACTTTAGGCTAAAGAAATCCTCTCTTCTCTAAACAGGTCTGGAGCAAGGCCACACTTACCAGTTCCGCGTGAAAGCCCTCAACGAAGAGGGAGAGTCGGAACCTTTGGAAACAGACCACGGCACGTTAGCCAAGAATCCGTACGATGTGCCAGCACCGCCCGGTCTCCCCGATATCGTGGACTGGGATGAGAAGTCGGTGAAACTCAAGTGGGAACCGCCTATTAGGGACAACGGAGCCCCCATCACTGGATACGTGATCGAAATGATGGACAGAGATCGCGGAGAGTTCGTTAAGGTAGGAGGAAAACTATCTCTTACGTCATGTTGTTATTATTTATTTTCAGAACAAAAAAGTTTTTATTTTTAATTCTATAGAAATTTATTTAATTGGCGAGCGCAATCATTATATCCATCTCGAAAGACCAAATCACTAGAAAACCTTCGACGTATTAAAGAAACAATTATGATGATAATATTTTTGAAGATAAATCCTAAGTTGAAAAATTACTCTACTGTGTTTCCGCTAATAGAAAACGATGAGTTTTAGTTGTTAAATTCTTTATGATTGTTGATAAATATCGCTTTGTTCTTTCATAAATCTTGTTTATTTTCCCTATGTAACATACCTCTTTTTAAAAGATTTTACTAAAAAGTTGTCGAATTTCACGCAAATCAATTTCAATAATCGAAGCCGGCTCGAAGGACCAAATCAGTGTCAAACCTAGCAACCCCTAAATTTCTTTACGTTTTCCTTGCCAGGCTGCTGAGATCCAAGGCAACGTATGCCAAGGAACCGTCCCTAAGCTGGAGGAAGGCAATCAGTACCAGTTCCGCGTACGAGCGCTAAATAAAGCCGGCCAGTCGGAACCTTCGGAGAATACCAACTGGCATACGGCTAAGCCGAGATTCTGTGAGTAAACTTTAGTATCCTACTAATATTAGAAATGTGAAAGTCTGTGTGGATGTTTGTTTCTCTTTCATGCTAAAATGGCTGAACGGTATATAGTTTAACCGCTATATTGACATAAGTGGATACTTTTTCAACCCGAAAAAGTTTTAGGATCTTGGGGGATTTCCAAAATACTAAAGTTAACACGGACGAACATGCGGCAACCCGCTATTTTTATATAAATTTATTTGTGCGTAGAATTCTAAACCTCTCCTTCAGTTATTATAAATTTTGTTTTACTCAAAAGTTGATATATATATTTAAGCTAAAGGAGACCGAAAATTTTGCTTTCTACTATAATATAATCAAGTGTCGATAATAAGAAACCTCTAAGATTGATAGAGTAATTAGTTAAATCTCAACCGTTTCCGCGACTCTTTACAATTTTTAATTAAAAGTTGAAAAATCTCTGTAATGTGACAATTACTGCTTTTGAATATATTTATATTGAAGTTTGTAAACATCTTAGAAGATCATACTAAAGGAGAGCTAAAATAAGATTGTTAAGTAGCTGGAATGGAAACCAGAACCTAACATAGAGTGAAAAATAAATTGAACATTTTAACCAAACTAACTAATCGTTTTCCTTTTTCTAGTGAAACCAAGAATCGACCGCACAAACCTCAACCCGATCACGGTGAAGGCTGGCCTGCCAGTCTCTCTAGACGTGAAGATCTTCGGCGAACCGCCTGCCACTGTCACCTGGTACTTCAAGGGCGAAGAGCTGAAGACCGGCGAAAATTTGGAAATCGTCAACATCGACTACAACACAAAGTTCCTCTTGACCAAGAGCAAGAGGGCCAGCACCGGCAAATACACGATCAAAGCCAAGAACGAGGTCGGCGAAGACGAGGCTGATGTAGAAATCACCATTCTTGGTAAGTTTTTGTTTTCCATTAAGTTAACGTTATGGTGTCGATTCTGGCGTGATTATCTAAATCCATCTGATTATATTTCACAACAACGTATCCTTATCAATCTCTATACATGTTCATGGTCGGCCAATGGTTTGGGTGACCAAACACTTAATATCTCGAGCTCCTCCGTGCTTTGGAAGGCTCCGTCTGCCACTGCAGTCGTTAGCACCCATCAATCCGCACTGCGCCCGCGTGGTGGATCATGTCATGGCCCGAATTCCCTATGTCATCCATAGAGAAGGCTTGTGCTCCAGCACAGTGGGGACATTAATCGGCTTTTGATGATGTTTATTCATCTATTTATGCATTTAAACTTACATCGTATCTAGCGCATATACAGTTGCGCCTAGCTTCGTATCTTCTCGCTTCGATAGTGGCAGTCCCTGCCGCAGTAATAAGCTGATAATGATGATTCTATATACAGAATGAAAATGAGAGACTGATGTTAAATTAAGATTTAAATTTAGCGAATCATGCCAGTATCGACACCAATGACACATTATTATTGAGCATCCCCAATCTAGAATGCGAAATAAATGGAGCAAGCCACTCACCGTCTATTAACAGTCATGGTAGTTGTTAAAAATTATTATGGCCTGGGACTGGAAACTTATTTATTAAATAACTGTATTGACCAGAAATACACAAAAGGCCTACTAAATGCTAATAATATACTTTCTAAGCCAACCTTTGGGAAAAATGAAAAACACATACTTAGCAGTTTTGATTTTTTTTAATACTGATTCTCTGTCAAGTCATGAAAATACAAACTTATGGTTGTATTACATGAAACAAGCTATAACGTAAAATATTGTATAATGGTATTTTACTTCGATGCTATCTACAAAGTTTGTTATTGATATAAATCCAGTACTTTTGAATTAACCTTTTCACATGTACTTTACGATATTTTTTGCTTAACTCTTAACAGGTAAGCCGTCTAAGCCTAAAGGCCCACTGGACGTGACTGACGTCACAAAGAACGGATGCACTCTCACTTGGAAGAAACCCGAGGACGACGGAGGCTCACCCGTCGAATACTATGAGATCGAGAAACTGGACCCTGTTACAGGTGAGATAATGTTCAAAATCGTTTGGAGCAAATGAAGATTTTGTTTGAAAAGGTTTTGCATTTTTTCAGAATTATTTTCTTTATTTGTTAGGCATTCGTCTAGGCATCATGAAATCTAATTTAAGACTTCCTATATCTCAGTCGCAAATCAAATCAATTAAAAAACTTTAAACCAACTTTGAAAAGAAGTGAGTGTTAGGACTAAATATCTCACTCGGAATGTTTCTGTCGTTGTGTAGTGTAGCGAGATTTAAAAATCCTTTAAATTGTATAATTTGAAGCGCAGATTTTTTTTTATTTAATTTTAATTGCAACATAAACTTATAGTATTCAACTACCCAGTTTCAACAAAAAATATGCGAAAAATTTGCGTCGATCCCATTTTACTGTTGCAAACTTTTGTTGTTATACTATGCCATAAGTACTTGTCATTTTTTATTTGACGACCTCCGTGGCCTAGTGGTATGTAAGCCGGGTGTCAAGGTGTCGCCAACTCAGAGGGGTTCGAATCCTGGTGGGGAAAATGTTTGTATGATGAAGATGATGTTGAATCGAGCATTTGTACCTAAGTCATGGACATTTATGAGATATGTATTTATAAATAACTATATTTATATAAGTATCACTATATGTATTCTATCCTAGTATTCCCTAATACAAGCCTTCAAGTGCTTACTTTGGGGCTAGGTTAACTGGTGTGCTTTAAGAATATGTATGTATTTTACAAGCTTTCTTATGTTGTTATAGGGCAATGGATACCATGTGGTACCGCCAAAGACTGCAAAGCCAATATCACCGGCTTGCAAGAGGGCAAACCTTACAAGTTCAGGGTGAAGGCCGTCAACAAGGAGGGCGAGTCCGAAGAACTGGAGACTGAGAAACCAATCATCGCCAAGAATCCGTTCGGTGAGTTAAAGTTCACTGTGACGTCATTTCCGGTTTGTTTCCATGAGTTTAAATTTACAAAAAATATTTTAGGTATTATCAGTGCATGGAATGGTTAACCGCTTCAACGTCCGATTACGTTGCATAGACTTTAAAGAGAAACTTTGTGTGATGATCGCAATTTTGAAAGGCTTCTCATGAATATTCTACTATAAACATACTATAATTGTTCACCGTGAGGAAAAAGTGACCGATTACCAAGTTAGTTCGGGGCCCGAGGCGCAGCCAAGGGCCTTAATACACCCGAGTTTGGAATAGCATTTTCTTCCGAGGGATACATAGTGATTTATACTATACCTACGAGGAAATAAAACACAAATTCGTGAATAAAAAAATATATAAAATTTGTTACTGTAAACTTTTGCATGGGAGCTTTATATTGGTTTCTTGATTTCTCGGGAAAAGTTTCTCAATTACTGCGTAGGTAGTTTCTTTTAATTCTGGCGGTATTTATAAATCTTCATTATCAGTAATATACGCAGACTCGAGTAGATTGTAAAATAAATTAAAAACTCAGTTAAAATAAAATAATCAGCCCGCCTTTAACTTCTTGTCTTTTTTTTTAAATTAATTCAAATAGAAAACAGTAGCATCATGCTAACCACTTTTCGGAACATAAATAAAAAAGAGAAATTAAAAAAAACACTAACAATCGAGAATTTCCATAGACTTTTCTGTCCGCTCAGTGGGCGTTAAAAATGGATTGCCATACATTTTTCCAGCCCGCTTAGTAGTACAACAGTAATGAGGTCGTTTCTGCTTCATTTTTAAAACAATAATAAAGCACTTTCCGAGAAGATGTAGTATAATAGTATAATAAAACTATTCTTTGTACCTGAATGTTGTGAATTTCCTCCAAATCTGTTAGACAATTTGGAATACATCATAATTATTTACAATATCATAACCACTTATAAAGAAAAGGAGAGTCATGCTAGAATTGAGACCAATGTATGGGTAGAATGATTGAAACTTAATTTATAAATTATATTGTGCAATTGTATAATAATGTATTTTAAATAGATAATAACACTCTAAAGTTGCCGTGCCCTTGCAGGGCGTCACATGGTTACTGTATTTTTATATACCACCTTATTTCTGTGAATATGATATGCAATGAATAAATAAATAAAGAAACATACTAACGATGCAAGTTTTCGTTCAGACGAGCCCGGCAAACCCGGCAGACCAGAGCCACGTAACTGGGACAAGGACTTCGTTGAGTTGGAATGGAGTCCGCCTAAAGACGACGGTGGCGCCCCCATCACCGGATACATCATTCAGAAAAGAGAGAAGGGTGGAAGGTAAGTTAATGACTGAGAATGAGTTTATATAGAATAGAGAATAATGAGACTCCGTTGAGTTGGAATGAGAGTGGATTAATTTGAGATATTGAAAAACTAGGGAAGATAAGTACCTATTTGGCTGGTATTTATTTTAATTTTGTTTAAGAATATAACACATGCAACTTGGACGACATCTATTTCTGAAATTAGTTTTTTTTTGTATCAAATGCGTAAGCATTATCCGTCGTATTTTTAATTAAGTACAAATAATTCCTTCGTTGTTAAGTAAACAAATTATTATTTGACACTAGAATTCTTCAATAAAACAAATGTTCACTTAGCAATGCACAATGGTAATTGTAATAGGTTTGGTTATAACTCACGCCAATAAAAAAAATAATCGCAAATGACGACGTAAGACAATACGCACTGGGCGCACGTGATGGCAATCTCCTTATTCCATCCATTGGGAAGGTCTGTGCCCCGATGGGAAAGAAAACTGCCAATTTATCCAGCCAGAGGTGCAGCGGTCGTATGGCCCTCAACAACAAATTGAGGCAGCTGTCAAAGTCACAAGGAAAACCGACAAATTCCAATAGACTTGGGCTGCGTTTCAAACCTACGCTTCAGGTACAGCAAATGTCGAAATTGACTTAAGATTCATACATTTTATGGAAAATTCAGGGTAAAAAGTTCCACACACTAACCTACCCTGGTTTAGAACGCAGCCTTAAAGTGACAGGTTGCATGTTATACGCCTGAAGACCAAAGCGCCATCTGCAAATAGCTGTGCGTTTTCTTCCCCATTAAGGCTGCCTGTCCTCAGAAGAGCAGCGAGGCTACGGAGCGGAGGAAAGGAGAAATGTTAACCAATAGGATTGCACAAAATCTGTCTACCGAAAGGAGCGGAGATTTTGTGCAATCCTTTTTTTTTTTTTTTTTTTTTTATAGTTAGGTCCGACAAATGACTCCACCCCACCTGATGTTAAGTGAAGGTGAAGTCCAGACGCGAAGATAGCTGATACAGCAGTTCTACCTGCCACACCAGCCATCCTCACCCTGCCGGCCTGCATGTTGCTTCTTCCTATTGGTTAATAGTTCTCTGGCCAATCCGCAGCCTCGCTTTGCTCTAGTGGAAGCCTATACACCAGCCAAAAAGACTGATAATGACGAATATGCATAGATGTATAAGAATAGAGTGGAGAAGACGACTCTAAAAGTGTCCGTCTAGTAGAAAGAGAAAGAATATGAGAGATCGCTAGCTATCTCTCTCTTGTGACGCATGCCATCCAATGGCATCACATCGAAATAGTAAGATGCTTACGGTTGCCAATGCGCATGTTCGATTAGAGAGAGAAAGCTAGCGGTCTCTTGTCTTCTTTCTCTTTCTATTAGAGGGACACTTCCACTTGTAGTAGGATCTATATCTCCCCTACTCTATTCTTATACCTCTATGCGAATACGATATTAACAAGAGCCATCTCTCAACAGGTCTTGGCAAGACTGCCTCAAGACCTCCGGCGACAGGCCCACGGGCCGCGTGACCGACGTAGAGGAGGGTCACGAGTACGAGTTCCGCGTGATGGCTGTCAACAAGGCCGGACCCGGAGAACCATCGGACCCAAGCAAGTCGGTCATTGCTAAACCTAGATTCTGTGAGTATTTTATTTTAATTTTACTTGTTTATTGCACAAAACAAAGTTACAGCAAACAAAATGGTATAAGACACCAAGAAAAACAATTGATGAAGATATACTGAACTCCACTAGCATGTGGATACAGCACGCTTATTCAAACTACTGTTACTGGGTTGTACCGCAAGTATTGTTACTGGGTAGTACCCCAGTAACAATACTATTAAGCAATAGTAGAAAACGATATCGCTTAATATTTGACCTTATAACTTTGCACTAAAATGGCGAAATTACTATGGAGCTAATAATGTTGCACAAGATATGTAAGCATAACTTAGAAATTAAGATTAACCTGTTAAGGAAAGAAGTCTGAGGTTTGGGATTAATTATGAAGATCCATCGTTTACGACCCGTCCTATATTCACTTCGGTGTAGGATGAATTGAATATAAACCTTCAGTGAAAACTCATTTAACTGTTGGTGAATATCGCATGAAAATCCGTTTAGTAGTTTTGAGATTCTTGCAAAACTATAACACAGAGTTTATTCATTACACAAGTCACTGTCATGAGAAGATTTTATATTATGCTCGTTGTTGGTTTAAAATTTGACACCGCAATATTCTCTTTACCATTTCTAAGCCCTTACAAAAATCTATCTCGCAAAACGACATGATAATAACCATTTCAAATCATTCTCACAGTGGCACCGAAAATCGACCGCAAATACCTGCAAAAGCGCAAGATCAAAGTGGGGGAAACCCTCAAAATGGAAGCCGATGTCAAAGGAGAACCGGAACCAGCCATCACGTGGACGTTCAACGGACAAGCTCTCAAGCCTGAAGAACGGCTTAAGATCGAAAATAAGGATTACCATACGTCTTTCATTCTGCAGAAGACTACTAGAGCTGATACTGGCAAATATGTTGTTACTGCTAAGAATGACTCTGGAACTGACACTGTGGAAGTGGAAGTTGCTGTCGTCAGCAAGCCCGCCAAACCTAAAGGACCTTTGAAGGTAAGTTGACATGATATAAGTGATGATGATGATGCTTTTTTACAGAAATTGACGCTTATATCAAAATGAAAAAAGAGTATTGCCGCTTGAAACGTTTTGTTAATTAATTTATTGATATAGACTGTAACAACTTTGAGCACAGTTCAGTAAAAAATTATTGTTAGTATATAGGTACTTTAAAGCACTACCGTTATCTAGAGTGGTAGGAAAAGACAAATTATTACTTAATACTTACTATAACGTAAAATCAAATATTAATTAGAGGAATTAACTTGACAGGCAAACAGGCGGTACGTAAATATTAAAACACAATATTTAATGAGAAAAGAAATGTGTCTGCAAAACAAACACAACTAACCCTCTTGATGGTAAGCGGCAACCAAAGCCTACAGACGCTTGCGATAACGGAGTATCACACGAAATTCTGACAATCTAATATTATCTATATATTGTCCAATAACACTAAACGTTCATAAATATTGTGTCCACCAGGTATCCGACGTTAAAGCCGACGGCTGCAAACTCAAATGGGAACCGCCAGAAGACGACGGCGGTGAGCCGGTAGAAAGCTACGTAGTCGAACGTATGGACACCGAGTCCGGCAGATGGGTGCCTGTTTGTACCACCAAAACGCCAGAAGCTGACGTCACTGGTCTCAATGAGGGCAAGGATTATATGTTCCGAGTGAAGGCCGTCAACCCTGAAGGGGAGAGTGAACCGCTTGTTACTGAATCAGCGACCACAGCGAAGAATCCTTACGGTGAGTTTGCTTACAAATCATTATCATTAGCTTTTGATATGGGTCTCTTTTGCTTCATTAACGGCCAGTTTCAAAAAAATCAAATTCCAGTAATAAATAGGCCTACTATAGCGGACTTTTTTGGTGGTTGGGTATTTTCAATACTTAAACTATATTAACACCTGTTGATAAGAAACAGAACCAGATTATCCTAACCTTTTCCTGGAGGTTAATTAAGAAGTAGGTAGAGAAAGAAGAGACAAGATGCCTATGCTACTGACTTTGCAATGTACAAGGGGAAATCAAACTGGAGATATCTCTTTATATGTATTGTCACAAAATTCGCGACGACAGCAATAATGCCTTACTTTGCAAATGCTTTACTGTTCTTAGAGTTCATTATTAGTAGTTCTGGAGATGTGCCTCTTTTTGCATCACTTAGACATCAAAATACGAAGCTGGAGACCTAAAAATAAATCCAAGACCTAAAAATAATCCAAGACCTAAAAACAGTAATGACTTGCCAAATGGTAAGCTGTCATTATAGAAGATTGCGGCAACAATAGACACATTCACGCAATAAACAAATAAAAAACAAACAATGTAACAATTTAAAGACATCCCGTTTTGTTACAAGTTGATTGTACCAAAATAACAATTTCTGATAACCAATTGAGAAACTAATATCGTTAGGAATATAGCTTATCCAGCTATCTTTGGAAATATGCTGTTCGATAGTCCTTTACAAGGACATTAACGCACCACACATTTAAAAAAACACTTAAGGCAAATTGCTCTGTAACTTCTTCTGCATAAAATCACTTACCTCAACAGGCGAGCCGGATGCGCCTGGAAAGCCCGAATTGAAGGACTGGAGCAAGGATCACGCTGATTTGAAATGGGAGAAACCCCAGAACGATGGTGGAGCGCCCATCACCGCTTATATTGTGGAGAAGAAGGACAGGGATACGGGCAAATGGGTGAAGGCTGCTGAGGTAAGATTTACACTGAGTTTCTGTAGATTATTTTATGATGATATGATATTATATTATGATTCATCCTCCGTTTTGTACAAATTGCTAATGAATAGAGTTCTCTTCCCGCGTCATTATTCACCGATACACAGAGATATTTAAGGCATATAATAAAATTTTAATCACATATCCTATAACCCATGCGAAAGTAACCTTACTTCCAAGATTGCAGAACTTGCCTCAAATGCTGCCTTTTAAATGGAAGATGTATGGATGGTCGAAGTATATAGAAGTTTCGATATTGAATTAAAAGGACACACACTCGATTTTGTACCTTAGGTTCCTGGCAATAAGACAGAAGCTCGCGTGCCTGATCTCATTGAAGGCAAGACTTACCAGTTCCGCGTGAAGGCAGTCAACAAGGCGGGACCTAGCAAACCATCAGCCGCTTCCGAAAGCCTGTTGGCTAAAGATAGGTTTGGTAAGTAAATATCAATAATTCCAATAAATGTATTAGTTATTTTCTGTATTACAGTCTATTAAAAGTATATATAAAAATAATATGCCCTTCAAATAAATCTATAAAGATACATTAACCAAACAACTGAAAATGAAATGTGTAAATAAACTTTAAATAATATCAGATTGAGAAGATTAGAAATTTTTTATGTTGTGTTCTTCTTGAAAACGATTACGCCATTCATCTCACTCAAAAATGTGATAAGTAAAGGAAAAAAATAAGTTTGTGTTAATTTTCATAAGACAATAAATATTTCATATAAATAACACGAAAGTTTGCTGTTTCATAATAAAAAATGTGCGGCAATAACTTAACAATAATAAAATCATCGACAATTTTAAACAGCGTCGAAAGAGTTTTGACTCGCACTTGAGACATTACTACGTCAAACTTAACCAATTTTTTTATGTGATTCTCATCCCTACAATGAAAATGTTCGGTAAATTAGAACACATATGAAAAAAAAACATTTTATCACACAGCACCGCCGAAGATCGACCGCACTAACATGCGAGATCTCACACTCAAGGCTGGACAGAACATCAGGTTGGACATCAAGGTGTCTGGTGAACCGCCACCAAGCAAGACCTGGTGAGTCATATAGCTTACGTAATTTATGAGGCCTTATTTAGAAACAAATGAATATTCAATGATTTCCTCACTCCTTCCGTCTTCTTATTAGCTAACTATCAGGAAAACTTTTGCCTTGTATTCCGCACAACCTCCTTTACTCGCTTACCTTCTTTTGTTTCCAGCTTATTGGGTCGTCTGAAAGATCGCTCATTAGCGATAAGACCGCCCTTTGTACAATCGCCCGGCGCTTGCGCTGACGTCCGGTCGTGTGTGCGTGAGTCGTTGCTATAAACAATGGCTTCTAATGTCGTGAAATGTACAAGTTGCAATTTGGTGATAAATGAAGTTTTAGCTTTCATTTGTAATAAAATAGATGTGATGGACGAACCGGGTATCACCCAAATATGTGTTAGTGCTTTTTCGGAGAGTGAAATATTGGATGCCAAAAACTTGCTATTTGAATCCATAACGACCTCGAAGCGCAAAAAGATAAGAAAACGTCTTGGAAAAACGCAGCGAGATATTGATGACATTGTCTGCTTATTGAAGGAGACGGACCCTGAAGAAATTCCGGTGTTTGTGGCGCGAGATCTGCAGAAGTTACCTCCCGTGCTATTTGACCACGTCGATGTAACCCGAATTTTGAAAGATATTGTTAGAATGAGGAGTGATCTGGACCGTTTTTCTAAAGAGTGTGCAACATTGGATCAGTTAAAAGAACTTCGGTCTGACATCGAATCGCTTAAGACCGCATCGATTGTGAACAATTTTTCAAGAAATGTAAACATGACGAGAGGTGCTACATGTTTGCCTAGTTTTGAGTGTGAAAGCGGGCCGATGGGCTTGTCACCACTTTGTACTGAAAACAAAATAATCAATAAACATTCCACTGCGAGCCCTATAAAATCTCGTATCACTTTTTCTGAGGAGGGTAAAACGAAAATACCAACAGCCGTGCATTTTGTGTCTAACGGGTCACCGGCTGTGACTGCGAGCGAATCGACGATAGCCGACCGCTTGTCAGCTGACGGCCGAGCTATGCCGAGTGAGCTGGGTCACGTCGCGGTCGCCGCCGCCGCACTCCCGACGACGTGCGCCGCCGACATGACTAATATTACTGAGGATGCGGGAACTATTGTAATTCGGGCGCATGAAAACAAACAGAATAGTGATGAGAGTGTGAAGAAATTATTTTCGAATGTAGTTACGGGGGGTCAGTTTAAGACGCAAGTTCCAAACAAAGATTGGATTCTTGTGCAAAGACGGAGACTACGAAATCGTTTTGTAGGAAAGTCTGGAAAAGCTATTGTTGATAATAATTTTAATTTCAAAGCAGCCGAGAATAATATACCCATTTATTTGTATAATGTATCAAAAGAAACTTCAGAGTGTGACATTAAAAATTACATTAAAAATCAATGTAATTTAGAAACTCAAGTGGAAAAGGTGAACATGAAATTATCAAGAAATTACAATGCTTTCAAAGTATTTGTTCCGGGACGTGACCTTGAAATGTTTCTCAAAGATGATTTTTGGCCCAATGGCGTTTTATATCGCCGTTTTGTGGATTTTAGTAGAAACACTACGAGATCATATCGTGACATTGAACCTATAAATAAAATTAATGGATAGTAGTAATACAAAATTAATAAGTTTTAACTGCAAAAACGTCACAAGGTCAATCGAATGTGTGAGAAGACTCTGTCTTTCGGCAGACATAATTGCATTGCAAGAAACCTGGCTTTTACCTCAGGATGTGTCGTTCCTGGGAAGCATTGACCCGGCATTTTCCTTTACGGGCAAGTCAGCTGTTGACACTAGTGCTGGAGTGCTACGGGGGAGGCCTTACGGAGGCGTTGCCTTGCTATGGAGATCTGCGAAGTTCTCGGCGGTGACGGTGATACCTTGTCGTAGTGATCGTCTCGTCGCGGTCAAAATAGTGCTCAGCGATCGGTCCTTCATTGTGGCGTCAGTGTACATGCCTACTGATAAAAACGAAAACCTAACGGAATTCACCGAGTGTCTGAGTGAGTTGAATGCTATTATCGAAAGTGCTAGTGTTGAATCTGTAGTAATCCTTGGAGATTTCAACGCACATCCAGGTGAGCTGTTTTGTAATGAACTATGTGCATTTTGTGCCGATCAATTGTGGTCTTGTGTGGACTTGGAACTATTACCTTTAACTACTTATACATTTGTGAGTGGGGCACACGGGTGTCGTCGCTGGCTTGATCATTGTGTAGTGACGAGTGCCGCACGTCCCTTAATATTAAATGTGTCAGTATTATACGATACCTACTGGTCTGACCACTATCCGCTATTAGTTGAATGTAATTTAAATATTATCCTACCCAAGATTGTAAAATCTAATTCTAACAATTCTTCTCAAAGTGGTGTGACATGGGGGATAAGGGACTCGAATCAGGTATCGAATTATCATAGTTTGTGTAATTCTGATCTCAAAAATATTGACTTTCCTATAGAACTTAGTAGTTGTGCTGACAAAATATGTAAAAACAAAGATCATACTATATTGTTAAATAATTTGTATAATGACATTGTAAATATATTATCTAAAGCAGCGAAAAATAGCTGCCAGTCACGTAGAAAGAAAAAACATAAATATGTCACTGGGTGGAATAAACATGTTAAGGCCGCTCACAGGCGGGCTCGACATTGTTTTCAAAAGTGGGTAGCTTGCGGTAGGCCTATTTCTGGTAATATATTTCAAAATATGACTGATTCTAGAAAAATGTTTAAAAATAAGTTAAAATATTGTCAAAATAATGCTACACAAATTAAAATGGATATGATTGCGGAAAATCACGCTAATAAAGATTTCACCAGTTTTTGGAAAAACACAAATAAGTTAAACCCGAGGTCGAGTCTCCCTGTGAATGTGGGTGGTTCATGTGAGCCCCGCCATATTGCTTGCGTTTTCCAACAGTCCTTTAGGGTGGTCTCACCGCTCGGGGGCGTGTCTCAGATGCTCGACGACGAGGTTTTTTCAGGGGATTTAACGGTTAGATTCTCAAGTAAAGATGTTGTTAATGTCATTGCAAAAATGGAGAGAGGTAAATCGCCTGGATACGATGGCCTGAGTATTGAGCACTTGAGACATGCAGGTGTACACTTACCAAGAGTACTTTCTATGCTTTTTAATTTGTGTATAAGTCATAGCTACTTACCTGAAAATTTAATGCGCACAGTGGTTGTGCCTATTGTGAAAAATAAGTCCGGTGATCACGCGAATGTTTCCAATTACAGGCCTATCTCGTTGGCAACAATAGTGGCTAAGGTACTGGACAGTCTGCTTGATCAACAACTAGCAAAGCACGTTAACTTGCATGATGCTCAGTTTGGCTTTAGGCCCGGCCTGTCTACAGAGAGTGCTATTTTCTGTCTTAAGCAGACTGTTCAGTATTACACTGCTCGTAAAACACCTGTGTATGCCTGTTACCTGGATTTATCAAAAGCTTTCGATCTTGTAGATTATGACAAATTATGGCAGAAGCTCCGAAATGAAACAAGCGTGCCACATGAGGTAACTTCACTGTTTAAGTATTGGTACAGTAATCAGCAGAATACTGTAAGGTGGGGAAGCGCAATGTCGGATGTGTATTTGTTGGAGTGCGGTGTGCGGCAGGGAGGGCTGAGCTCGCCCCGCCTTTTCAACCTTTATATAAACCGGCTGATCGGTGAGCTCAGTGGTACCAATGTTGGTTGTTCGGTAGACGGGATTAGTATTAACAATGTAAGTTATGCCGATGACACGGTGCTACTGTCTCCATCGATTGCGGCCCTAAGAAAACTCCTGCGTATCTGTGAGGAATATGCAGATACCCATGGGCTCAGATACAATGTTAATAAGAGCGAACTGATGATTTTCAAGGCTGGTGCCAAAACCTACTCATCTGTACCTCAAGTGACGCTCTATGGTTCACCACTGAACTTGGTGAAGCAGTTTAAGTATCTGGGCCACTGGGTGACTGATGACCTATGCGACAATGTTGATGTTGAGAGGGAGCGCAGGGCGCTGTCAGTTCGGTGTAACATGTTGGCCCGCAGGTTTGCACGCTGTACTGTACCAGTGAAGGTGACACTGTTTAAAGCTTACTGTCAATCATTTTACACGTGCAGCCTGTGGTTGAACTTCACGCAGCGGGCGTGCGGCGCACTGCGCGTCCAATACAATAATGCATTCAGGATTCTGTTAGGTTTGCCCCGATTTTGTAGTGCATCTACCATGTTCGCTGAGGCGCATGCAGACGATTTCTATGCCATTGTCCGAAAAAGAAGTGCATCCTTATTAAGCCGTCTGAGAGGGTGTGGTAACGGCATCCTGAATGTGTTGGTCGAGCGGTGGGATTCCCCTTTATTGAGGAGGTGGATGCATTTGCACGTCAGTGCATCCCCTCTTTCTTTTATATAGTGTGACATTTTATAATTTTTATTTTTTAATTTTTATTTTTAATTTTTATTTTTATTTATTATTATTATTGTTGTTTTTATTTATTATTATTTATTTTTGTTCTAATTTAATTTAATTTAATTTTAATATGACATGTAAAATATGGATGTAAAATGGTCCGAAATAAATAAATGAATTGAATTGAATTGAATATTGTATTTTTCTACTTGTTTTGTTTTCTGCATGTTTTGTTACTGTGTTGTGCAATAAAGAGTTTTTATCTTATCTTATCCTTTCAAAGGTTCCACAACAAAGAGAGGTTGTCCACCCGCGACGATCTATCCGTGGACGTAGAAGACTACCGTACGAAGCTGTCCGTAGTAATAGCCGCTCGTAAGCACAGCGGTACTTATGTGCTAAAGGCAGAGAACAGTAGCGGCAAAGACGAGGCTACGATACAGATCAACGTGTTGGATGTACCGGCTAAGCCTGAGGGACCGCTTAAGGTAAATGTCACTTAAGAAAACTTATTCACATACCCCCTTATTAATAAACAAGGGATGAGCTTAGACTAGTTACGCTGTGTTTTGCTCGTATCACTCAAGTGCCATTTGTCATTCAATGAACAGAGACAAAACATAGAGTAACTAATACAAGCTTAGTCTTCGTTTATTAATAAGGGGTCTAGTGTAAATGTATCACTGAACAAATTGATTCTTGATCGACTTATGCTATGATTCGATGTCTCAAAAAAAATGAATAATTGCTTATAGAACCTTTTACTACAAAGGAAACTGTATTCAAACAGAAAACGGTTACCTAAAATTTCACCTTTGTTGTTAACCCAGTAGATTATATTTTAGATAAATTTTGATTAGGTTTTAAATTATTTTGTGCAGCCGAAGTATTATAGTAATCTTCTAGTTTCTTGGTTAGTCAGAGATATGTAAATTTGATACTTTTTGTTGTGATTTGGAATTAGATGCTTTAGTATAAGGATTACTACCTCGACGACCTCCGTGGTCGAGTGGTTTGTACGCCGGGTTTCATGGTGTCGCCGACTCGAGAGGTCCCGGGTTCGAATCCCGGTGGGGGCAGATGTTTGTGTGATGAATACGAGCATTTGTACTCCAGTCATGGATGTTTAATATGTATTTCTATATAAATATACTTATATATGTACAGTATATGTATTCTATCCGTTACCCTAGCATCCCATAACACAAGCCTTACAGTGCTTACTTTGGGGCTAGGCTAATTGGTGTGAGTGTCGGAAATATTTATATTTATTTATTTATTTATTTACTGATTACGTCTTAAACTTTCTATTAGCTAATTAATTCGATGCTCTGAACATTTTAGTACTTAATATAAATTTTCATGCACCTATTAGCTATAAGTTTTTGCAGTCATCCCAAATTTCTCCTGTCATCATGTCCTTTCTAAAAAAAGTCTTTTTAAGACTTGTCTATGCTCAAATTGACTAAAAACAAACCCTTAAATTACCTACGCAGATCTCAGACGTGCACAAGGAAGGTTGCACTCTAAAATGGAACCCGCCTCTAGACGACGGTGGCGCCCCCATCGACCACTATCTTGTCGAGAAACTCGATACGGAAACCGGACGCTGGATGCCAGCTCTGAAGACCAAAGACCCGAAGGCGGAAATCGAGAACCTGGTCCCTGGACACGAGTACAAGTTCAGAGTATCTGCCGTTAATAATGAGGGTGTTTCTGAGCCGTTGGACGCTGATCACTCCATCATCGCTAAGAATCCATTCGGTAAGCATTTATAATATAATTTTACTTGACTGCTTAAGATCAAAGATCCGAAGGCGGAAATCGAGAACTTGGTACCTGGACACGTGTACAAGTTTAGAGTATCCGCCATTAATAATGACAGATAAAAATAAGACAGAGGCAACATTATCTTTAAAACAAGTCTTAACTGTAGCCCACGTTTTGGAAAAAAGCGGTTAATGTCCTCATTGCTGGAGCACACGCCTTCCTTATGGATGGAATAGGAGATCAGACCAGGATTCACGCAAGTTCTGTGCGGATGGGTGGGTGCTAACGACTGCAGATGCAGCCAGGTCCAACGGATTCACCTACCCTCCAAAGCACGGAGGGGCTCGAGAAATTAAGTTTTTGGTCACCCATCCGATGCAAAAGTTGCTTGATTTCCACAATCGCAGACTGAACGTGCCAGTGTGCGTACGTGCTTGCGAGATATAGCTCTCTCTCTCTCTCTGTATTTTGAAAGGTCTTAAGCTGTGGTCTTAAGTATCCTACATTCACAAACTTACTTCTTAATGAAACAACTCTTCAAATATTTATATTAATCTGACCATCCATCCTCAGATGAACCCGGTAAGCCAGGCACTCCTGAAGTGGTGGACTGGGACAAAGACCACGTTGACCTTAAATGGAGCAAGCCAATTAAGGACGGTGGCGCCCCCATTACTGGATACATTATCGAGAAGAGGGAAGTTGGCTCGCCGAAGTGGGTGAAAGCCTGTGAGGTAACTATCAATACGCTTATATCATTGTTTGATGTTTACTCTGTTCGTTGTCTGCCGTTTCATTTTCTCTGCACCTTCTTTCCGGTTGACTGGTAGAGAATGCCATACTGGCATTAAGTCCGCCATTTGCATTTTAAAGGCATTAAAGATTAAATAAATAAAAAAAATATACTTCTGTATACATCTGTACACATTTGTATGTGTATTCATTTTTATTTATTAGTATAATAGAAATAAACTGCGTGAGGACTATTTGCTCAATGTAAAAATTATTTTTAGCTAGGGTCCGTCAAATCTTAAAATGCTAGGTGGGCCGATGGATTTGTCCGGAAGTGTATAAACATTTACTTTGTTGTGCCACTGTATATAGTATAGTTTTCCAATTAATTATGTGTTTCGTACTAAACGGTAAACATGTTAACAAAAACGAAGTCATGTTTCAATTAAAAACTGTCTGCCAAATAAATTATAATGTAAGTACCCAAAATGTGGTCATCCTGCAACATCAAAAATCAACTTTAAAGACAAATGAACGAAAATTTACACAGCTTTTAAATTTGTCCGTATACAATGATATCATAAGAATACGTTTATTCAGTAGTTGAAATAATTATCCCTTAGTACTCTGTTTTAGAAAATTACTATGAACTCAGACTTTAATCGTTCCATAGCTATAGTTCTACTTCTTCAATCGGGAATGTGCCCTCAAAGGCCCAAGCTCGAGTTTTTGACAGCTCCGTAACGCATCGCGTCGTTTAAATTTATATGAAAACTAAGCAGCCCTATCAGATGTAAGAACAAATAAACGTTTGCATACAAAATTTGACGATGACTATACTTTACGAAGCTGTCAAAAGCTCCATGTATACTCTAAGAGCTCGTACTTAGGCCACAGCTAACTTTCTCATGGAGATTCGTCTGATACAGATAAGTTTAATCAGCAAAAAAAGCGGCCAAGTGCGAGTCGGAATCGCCCATGGAGGGTTCCGTAGCAGCAAGTAACATAGTATAAAAGGTCTTGTAGTTCGTTGTAACTTTGATCAATGTTTTAATAATAGTGTACTTTTTTTAATTGACTTGTGATTTATGACGTATTAAAAACAACTACTTACTAGATCTCGTTCAAACCAATTTTCGGTGGAAGTTTGCATAGTAATGTACATCATATATTTTTTTTTGTTTTATCAGTCTTCTTCTTATTTTAGAAGTTACAGGGGGGGGGGGGGGGGGGCACACATTTTTCCCCTTTGGAAGTGTCTCTCGTGCAAAATATTCAGTTTAGAAAAAAAAAATATTAGGAACCTCAATATCATTTTTAAAGACCTATTCATAGATACCCCACACGTATGGGTTTGATAAAAAAAATGACGAGTTTCTGTTCTAAGTATAGAAAATAGAAAAAAAACAAGAAAGTCAAGGGGTCCCCCCCCCCAAAATTTCTTGTTTTTTTTCTATTATTGTGTGAAAATCTTAATGCGGTTCATAGAACACAAGTACTTCAAGTTTCAACAGTGTAGTTCTTATAGTTGCGAAAAAAGTGGCTGTCACATACGGACGGACATGACGAATCTATAAGGGTTCCGTTTTTTGCCATTTGGCTACGGAATCCGAATACAAAAACGAGCCCTTCTTTTCAACAAATGTTACTGAGAGAGTTAACAAACTTTATACGAAAATTTACTTCCCAGGTCGGCCCCAACGACAACGAGAAAGCTACAGTGCCCAACTTGGACGAAGGCACTGAATATGAGTTCCGCGTCAAAGCGATCAACGAGGCCGGCCCCGGCGAACCCAGCGACGCCAGCAAATCTGTCGTCTGCAAACCAAGGCGATGTGAGTGTGGCAATGTAGTTTTTGTTGTTTCAAATTCAAATGTATACAGGGATATTTTTAAAACACCAACAACTTCTTAGGGAGTGATTCTACCCATCAACAGTAACAACTTTTATTATGGGACTAACTCTGAAAAAGCAAAAGAAAAATTGCTGTTTCATACATTTCGGTCGATTAGCTGATGCACTTTTGTATAAAACTACCCGCAGTGTTTTCTGTTGCTTATATCCCCTACACAACTTCCGTTCGCCTCGCCCGAACACACTTTTCGTAACGCGTAACGCATTACCCCCCAAGTCAAGCGTGCGTAAAGAAGTTTCACTTCAAAAATAAATAAAACTAAAGAGCTTTGCCTTCTCTAGCCTCGTGATGAGATTTTATATTTATTTCTATACTATATTACTTGAGTAAACTAATTATTATTATTATTGATCTCCAGTGGCCCCCAAGATCGATCGTCGCAACTTACGCACTATCAAGGTTCACGAAGGCGAGCCCATCTCGCTGGACGTCAAAGTATCCGGAGAGCCGGCGCCCGACGTCACGTGGACTTTGAACGGAAAGTCTGTCATCAGCGGAAACGGACTGAAATGTAAGTACCGGTAGTGAATGTATGGAGGAATGAGAGTTTATTGTTCATCATCATCATCGTCAGCCTATTAATGTCCCCATTGGGAATTCCATCCATAGGGAAGGCCTGTGCCCCAGACAGGCCTTCCCTCAACCATTTGTGAAAATTGGAAACTTAATCCGCATATCCACGAAAGAAACTCGGCAACGGTAACTTTTTCTCCCATCCGTATGAAATAAATAATTGTTCATAATTTCTTCCCTACAGTGGTAAACGTGCCATATCTGAGCAAGTATCAACATGCCAGTCCCCGTCGCAAGGACTCTGGCACTTACAAGATTCAAGCAGTCAACAAATACGGTCAAGACACCGCAGAACTGGAGATTATTGTTACATGTGAGTACCGCAAATATATACCTTAATGGGTCATGAATATGGTTCTATATGCCGTGCATTTTTTGTATGAAAGAAACAGCATAAATTTTAAGCCTAATATTTGGTTTGATAGATGTCTTACTGTGGATTATGATATTGTAAAAGCCGTAAGTTATATCAATCAATTCGATTCCATTAAATATACAATATCATTTTAACGTATTGTTTTAAATACGTCTATTTTAAATCCTAATATGTATTTGGTTTGTTCAATGCCTTACTGTGGATATGATATTAAAAAGACGTAAGTAATATTGTTTTAACGTAAATAATTAAGAGACGAGAGACGAGTTGAGAGACATTTGAGAAATAGGTATTTGAAAAAGCTATTTGTGTCACGCATAGGCAAATACAGTGTGATAGGTTATCGCTGAAAATTGCGTATAAAAATTACTGAATTCAAGTTTTGGATCTCGACGATTTTCAAAGAAAAACAATTGTTTTTCTTTGACCTTTTTCAAGGGCTTCCAGTTTCTTTAAACCACAAGTAGGCAATGGGAGCATAGAATGAGTAAAATTATATTTCATGTATGAAAATCAATTCTTTAGTAAAAATCAAGGAGGAATCGGTTGATAACGTTTGTATGGAGAAAATATTGCCCGCCTCCCCTCTTAAGTCGGAATTTAGTTCAGTGGATTGATCGTCTCTCACTCAGAACTTGTTTTTAGGTCATCTATACTTATAATAAATCTGTAGAGATGTCAATTCTGTACATGAAATATATTTTTAAAATAACTATCAGGGGGTGATCAGTGGTCGATACTGATGCTAAAAATGCAATCAGTAAATTTTGTGTCTGTCTGTCTGTCTGTCTGTGTGTATGTTCCTTATAGAAACAAAAACTACTCGACGGATTTTAACGAAACTTAGTACAATTATTCTTCATACTCCTGGGCAGGTTATAGTATACTTTTCATCACGCTACAATCAATAGCAGCAGAGTAGTGAAGGGAAATGTTGGGAAAACGGGAGAAGTTACTGCATTTTTTAAGCTTCCGTCGCGGGTGCAGCATTAATGGTTAAAGTTACATAGAAATCATGTATGACGGAAATATTCTACATAAAATTGTCTAAAAAATATCCCGCAACAGCATATGTCTATCTTTTATGGTTGACTCACAATAACACGTGTAATTACACGCATATAAATAAAGTCATTGTTTATAGCAGAAGCCTGAGAACAAAAACTATAGTTTACACTACAGCTCTACACCGAAACGAAGCGAGGACGGGCCACTAGTAATACATAATTCCTCTTTGATCAATGACTTCAAAAATTACGTGTACAAGTGGTAAAATAAACTGTCTATAAGTAACTGTGTTTCATAACCAGTTACCAATTAAGATCATTTTATCATCATTTGACGACCTCCGTGGTCGAGTGGTTTGTACGCCGGGTTTCATGGTGTCGCCGACTCGAGAGGTCCCAGGTTCGAATCCCGGTGGGGGCAGATGTTTGTGTGACGAATACGAGCATTTGTACTCCAGTCATGGATGTTTAATATGTATTTCTATATAAATATACTTATATATGTACAGTATATGTATTCTATCCGTTACCCTAGCATCTCATAACACAAGCCTCACAGTGCTTACTTTGGGGCTAGGCTAATTGGTGTGAGTGTTGGACATATTTATTTATTATTTATTATTATTATTTATCTTGTTTCGGTCCAGTTACAGTCCAGTCACAATCTAGTAAATATTTAAATGGACTTAGATTTTTTATATGAACCATGAACGAATAACTTTTTAAGTGAAAATCCATCAGTGAAACCATTTTATTCCGAAACATTGTCAAAATATATAAAGAGTTGTTATCTTAACTGGAAAGAATATTTTGATATAAGATCAAAAGAAAAAGGAATATGGTATAAAACCATACAGAGTCAGCCTCTACGAATACCGTGGTTTATTAATTTAACATCAAGTCGACACTTTGTATTGACCTTAAATAGACTTCGTTCTGGACATTATCCATGTAACAAGTTTGGACATCTTATGAAAAAAATTGAGTCTCCCAACTGTAAAGTATGCTGTGTTGTAGAAGATCTCCAGCACTTGTTGATGGATTGTGTCCGGCGATGCTGTATCGCTTTATATGTCTGCCGCGACTTTCTTCCGACAATAACATATTACGATAATTGGCTTAGATGATTTGTTAATTTATATAAGTACACGATGGGACTGACATGTCTGTAAAGATAAAAGTCCTTTAAATTAAATAAAGAGAAAAAAAAAACTTTAAATGAACAGATATTAATTGAATATCTTCCATGTAATAGAGAATAACTCTTATTTTGACCTTATCTTTGCTAGTTACCAATCTTCTGTTCCCGTTAATATTATTTTCCCATTATTCTTGTTAAATAAAACTACTTTTAACGGGTTAATGCACGAAACTTTAGTTATTTATTGACGTTTCGCGGCCTTTTCAGGTCTGCTTCGTCAGAATGATTTTTATTTAATTTTGTCGAGCTACCTTCGAAAAATACCTAAGAAACAAATACATTATTCTTGTTTAAAATTTTCTGCGTTAAACTAATAACTTTCCTGTTTTGTAACTGCTTACAAAACACATTTGCGTAGGGGATCAAAATGAAATCAATTACACTTTGTCAATCGAATCGGACATCATAATTAAATGACTAACTAATAAATTATTTTTCGTTACACAGCCAAGCCCGACAAACCAGAAGGCCCACTAGAAGTGTCTGACATCCACAAGGACGGCTGCAAGTTGAACTGGAAGCGGCCTAAAGACGACGGTGGCGAACCTATTGAAGCTTACCTGGTAGAGAAATATGATACAGAAACTGGCACTTGGCTGCCAGTCGGCAAGACCCTGGGCAATGTACCAGAGATGGAGGTAATAATAATAATGTTTTATTTCAGATCTAGATCCATAGAAATGTTAGTAACAATCAAACCTTAAAAACTATGTTAGTACATTTTAGAATATAAAGTTATTTCATATATATACCCTCTGAGGCACCAGTCACATGAACGTGTATATGTACCCAGTGCCTCATAATGGTACACTCTGGTAATGTTCGATTTAAATATAAATAAAAATTATCTGTAACACACACCAATTAGCCTGGCCCCAAAATAATCACTGTGTAACCCTTATATACAGGGTGGTCAAAAAGTCGTGGATCAAACGAAACAGGGAGATAAAGAAGGTTATTTCCAACAAAAAATCTTTCTACAGCATGGCCCTAACTTACGAACGAAAAGTTATAAATATTTTTGTTTTTTTCAATGAATCTACCGAGTTTTTTTACAATTCAATCAATAAAAAAATAAATTGATTAAATACAATAAAACAAAAGGTGTTGTATTATGACCGGATTATGTATCAATACTACAAAAATTGTATTGGAGCTCTCGGTACCAAATTTAACGAGCAATGAATTTTTTTTCCTTAATTTTGAAGCGTTACAAAGAATTACTTCTCACTTTAGGAACACCATGTGAAAAAAAAATGTATTACAGAAAAGTGATCCTGTATTAAAAAAACTTGCTGATTTAATGCTGATTCAAATGAGGTACAACACTTTACTGTGTGACCTTTAGTTTTGGTTTTATGGTCGTTTTTTCATGTCAAGGTGCAAATTTATAAAATGGTAAATTGAAAGGAAAATTTAGATTCTTGCTCATACATACTATGTAGTAATTTCAGAAGCCATCATGAAATAAAAAGAACAATTATGACTTAGTAATTTTATTACAATTAAAATGTTTACGTTAAATGTTCAAAGTTCCTACCTCTGACCATAATGCACAATATGCACCGCCTAATAAAATTGGCACGTATATTATAACAATTTGTAACCTAGCGAACTCGAGCTTTTGTCGTAGTTCTTGTTCGGTGTTATTCTCTCCTTGATACACTATTTCTTTGAAATTAGCCCCAAAAAAAAAGTCTATTGAGTTAAAGTCGGGCGACCAGGGTGGTCATGCAATAGGTCCGCCTCGACCAATCCACCGGTTAGGGAAGCGCTCGTTCAAATGTCCTCGAACTGCTCGAGCATAATGAGGCGGGGCGCCATCTTGTTGCAGCCACATTTCTGCCACTCTATCTTCAGGAATCTCAGCTTCGTTGAGTATTTGGTTCAAATTATTCTGTAAAAAATTCAAATACAGAGCACCATTCAGCCTTGGTGGCACTTCATGTAGCACAGGCTTCTGGTCAATTATTCCAGCCCACATGTTTATACCAAACAAATGCTTGAATCGATCATTTCTGATGATATGTGGGTCACTCTTGAGTAAAAGTGTAAATTGCGGATGTTAAAAATTCCCATTCTTCTAAAATTTGACTCATCAGTCCATAAAATTTTGTTGTAGAACTGCGGATCCTCTCTGTGTCGTCTAAGCATCTCTCTGCAAAATACCATTCTAGGTCCATAGTCCTCTGGCTGTAAAGCTTATACCCTTTGCACGTGGTAACCGTGGTATTTTTTTCTTTCATTAATAAGCTGCACCGTCGATCATGGGATCCCGAGATTTCGTTGGCGTTGGCTAATACCAGGGTTCATTCTTAACTGTCTCAGTATTTGCTCTTCATTGTCAAATCGTACCACTGGTCTACCTGTTCTCAATTTTTGACAAAGGATTAAATGGTTAGTGTGAAAGCGTGTCTGTCCATTTCATAAATCCTAAGTGTGACAAGAACAGAACATTTCTAGCGTTCCAACGTACAAAAAACTAGCCGTTTATGATCAACTAGTAAATTATTTGAATAAGGTTAATTTAATGAAATTTGCACCTTGATATGAAAAACTAAAGGTCACACAGTAAAGTGTTGTACCTCATTTGAATCAGCATTAAATAAGCAAGTTTTTTTAATACAGGGTCACTTTTTTGTAATACATTTTTTTTTCACATGGTGCTCCTAAAGTGAGAAGTAATTCTTTGTAACGCTTCAAAATTTACGAAAAAAAATTTATTGCTCGTTAAATTTGGTACCGAGAGCTCCAATTAAATTTTTGTAGTATTGATACATAATCTGGTCATAATACAACACCTTTTGTTTTATTGTGTTTAATCAATTTATTTTTTTATTGATTAAATTGTAAAAAAAACTCGGTAGATTCATTGAAAAAAACAAAAATATTCATAACTTTTCGTGCAATGAAGTTATGGCCATGCTGTAGAAAGATTTTTTGTTGAAAATAACCTTCTTTATCCCCCTGTTTCGTTTGATCCACGACTTTTTGACCACCCTGTATAGCTAATAATTTTGTTACCCCCTACTATATACTAGGGTAAAGGATAGATATTGATACCGATATTGAACTTTATTTATCTAGAAATACATATAAACATCCATGACTCAGGTGCAACTGCTCGTATTCACCATACAAACTTTTTCCCTACCGGGATTCGAACCCAGGATCTCTGTGTAGGCGACACCTTGAAACCCGGCGTTCATATCACTCGGCCAAGAAAATCGTCAAATTATTTAATAATATTGACTTTATTACGGTAAACATATTTTTTCTTCGTAAATTAGGGACTGGGGTCTCCTTTAAGGCTAAGAGGCCGCTTTACATCGATCCTTTGCATACAGAGGTGTAGACTCTGACATGATTATCTAAACTTTAAACTAAATTTAATATCAGTCTCTCCTTTTCATTCTATATAGAGAATGACAAGGATACGCTGCTGTAAAATTTTAGTTTAGGTTTAGAGAATCATGCCAGAATCGATACCACTACGGACTAAGCGACACTCGCATACAATTGACAATTGAAAGAGACAAAAATAACCAAAACATAGACCATCTATAGATAACCCGATAGTTTTGTCTCACTCGACCTCCTTTTGTTTTACATAACACTTGGTTAGAAACTTAAAGTCCAGACAGAGACAGTCCAGTCTCTGTATCTATTACCACACTAGTGCGAGTGATAAGATTAGCTGAGATTTTCCTGTCATAGAACAGATTAGTTTGAAAGCGAATATATGATATTACGACTACCTTATGTTAGCACTTCACATAGCTTTTCGAATTTGATATTTGCAAGTTCGAGCTCAGTGTATACATTGTTTAGTTACGACCGTATTGATGTTATATATTTAAATGTACAAGTTATACACGATTTCATCTGCGCTACTTTTGAACACTTGTGAAAGAAAATGAGATAACACTTGAAGAACTTAAAAAGATCAATTCCCAAATAAAGACATATTACTGATGTATTGGCTGTATAAATAATTTTCAAAGCCGTTAAAATATAAAAAAGTAGCATTGAGCAAAAATTTTTTACGCATTTTTTAATGTGATTTATAAACTATCTTTTTCGAGTGTTTTAGAATTATATTAATATATTACCGGATCTTATAACACTAAGTGGGTCGAAAAATGTGTCCGGAGGTGGATTTGGGGTAATTTTTTAACGTTGGTTACTATTTTTCTTCGTAGGTCGATGGTTTGATTCCCGGCCACGAGTACAAGTTCCGCGTAAAGGCAATCAACAAGGAGGGCGAGTCGGAACCTCTGGAAACCTTCGGCGCCATCGTCGCCAAGGATCCATTCAGTAAGTGTTGTTTTGAATTAACCCAAACCGCCTTATTTCAAAACGCCGATTAAAGTTAGTAAAGGTTTAAACCTAATCATTAGTTTTAGTCCAGGTGTAACTTTAGTTTGCATTTTGTAATAAGGCATCTTGAGACTCATTTATATACTTACAAGGCTAACGTTGCAAAATACCTTATAAAGTTTGAAAATGTATAAATTTTATCTAATCCATGACAATGAGGTAAACCGTAAAATTTCGAACACCTGTCAACCACGTAGACCTGGAATAGGAGTTGCCTATCTCTGACGGTAGATCTCCCATCATCGGTTATATTTTTATTTCTTTACACCTTATTATAACACCTACACCTTTACACCTTATTATTCCGTAAATGGAATGCTCTGCCTGCTCACGTGTTCCCTCCTTCTTACAGCCTGGGATCCTTTAAAAGAGGCGTGAAGAAGTAACATGCAGGCCGGCAAGGTGAGGATGGCTGGTGTGGCAGGTAAAACTGCTGTACCAGCTATCTTCACGTCTGGACTTCACCATCACTTAACATTAGGTGGGGTGGAGTCACTTGTCGGACCTATCTATAAAAAAAAATAACCCTTTAGGCGTTTTGTTTACCCAAGTTATGTTACTGGTAAATAGGTTTATCGTTGGCAATAACGTTTTGTTTCCGTAGAATGAGCAATACAGTATACATCATATCTCACTGCTCGTGCCAGAGGAGCTGTTTTACAGATTTGTTAGTGATGTATATGTTTCTTATTTAAAATATAGTTTCTAACGGTTTGTTTCTCTTTAATAGCGGTGCCAGACGCACCTTCTGCCCCAGTGCCAGATGACTGGTCTGCCAACCACGTGGACCTGAAATGGGAGCCGCCTATCTCTGACGGTGGATCTCCCATCATCGGTTACATTATCGAGAAGAAGGACAAATATAGCCCGCTGTGGGAGAAGGCTGTGGAGACCCATACACCTACACCGAATGCTACTGTTAACGGGTGAGTTTGCCTATTCTAATATTTGCGCGAATAATATAAAGAGGAAAACTTTGTAAGTTTGTATGTTTGTAACGAATAAAGTCAATAAACTACTGGAGCAATTTGAAAGTCTTTCACCGTTGGAATGTTACATGATTTCTAAGTGACATAGTTTTATATTATATCGCTTTAAAATAAAGTTTACCCTTGCAAACCAGAGATGCAAATATAAGTTAAATTTTATTAATGCAATTAATTTTCTACGAAGTTCAAACTTTGCTTTGGATTATAAATTAAATACACCACGAAGTTTTTTGGACGAAGGGTGTCAATAAGTAGCTCCAAGTTAGGTACTTGGTTGTAACTGACTGTTTCTGATCTTGATTACTTCGGATGTATTTTGTCAAATAGAAGATTTCTTAAGGGCTTCCTCTAGAGATAATAATATTCAATAGAATAACAGTTCATACGTGTGAATGATCTTTATTGCGCTGAATAAATCAAATTAGCAGCCCTTTCTTCCTTACCGTAATATAATGTACAATCCGTCCCTTTCTACCTCACCAGATTGATCGAAGGCAACGAATACCAGTTCCGCGTGATCGCCATCAACAAGGCCGGCCAGAGCAAGCCCTCTGAAGCCAGCAAGAACTTCGTTGCCAAACCTCGCTTCTTAGCGCCCAAGATCGACAGACGTCATCTGCGTGACGTCACCATCTCTGCAGGAGCTACTCTCAAGCTGGAAGCCGCTATCACTGGCGAACCAGCACCTGCTGTCGAATGGAGGTATGTCGTAAAGTTTTTTTCGGCCCACTTAGTGTTATAATTAAACGAAAGCCAAAATTTCGCGGCAAAGCCTCGCTTCCTGGCTTCAAAGATTGATAGATGCCATTTTTGTGACTTCACTATCTCTGCCGGGGTTACTCTCAAAGGCGAACCCGCGTCTGCTGTCGAATGGAGGTATGTGTTACCATTGTTTAAGTGATATTTGTAAGAAGAGGGTAACAGAGAAAATGGAGATATACATTATGCTATATTCATCTGCTAGAAAGCAGCTGTGACTGCTGTTAAAGTATTACTTTTAACAGAAAGAGATAAATTAACCTGTTATTACTGTAACTTTAGAGCCTTTTTCCAATCAATTAATATGAAGATTCAAAATATAAATAAAAGTAAAAGGTACCTTTACTAGTTGCGTTAAAAACAGTTATTTGTTCCCAAGTCCTGGTTGTTTATATACTTATTTGTGTATACATAATGATGATCGTTTGGTCGCTAAAGCACAATAATTATCTTCTAAACTAAGCAGTTGGCACTTCTCACTAATTTATTTTATTTCTAAAATTAGAAGTAGATTTAGCTATATATAGTACGACACAAAGTTAATGGCTATTGTAAAGTTAACGCAACTTTTGGCGCAATAAACTAAATTCTAGGCAAATAGTTGCGCTCGTTGCCTACTTCACAATCGTCATAATATACACACTCAATTAAAATCACAGACTTTCATCAATAAACATATTAAACTTCCTACTTTCATACACATAGTTTACGTTGAATCAACATTATTTTCTTTCCAAACAGGTACCAGAACATGCCTCTCCGTCCATCGAAGGCGGTGACCATAGACAGTCCGGACTACTTCACAAAATTAGTGATCCGTCCTGCTAGAAGAGACGATTCGGGCGAATACACCGTAACCGCAGTCAACTCTAGCGGCAAGGATGTCGTTACTGTCAATGTTATCGTTCAAGATAAGCCTGCCAAGCCTGAAGGACCATTACAGGTACGTAAAATCACACCAAAGGAAAAAAAAGCATTCCCTGAGAGCCTGTTTATCTTTTTTTATATAGGAGGTAGGCAAATGACTCTACCCCACCTGTTAAGTGGTGATAAAGTCCAAACGCGAAGATATCTGGTACAGCAGTTAGTTGATTACCTATTGAAGAAAAATGAATATATAGCTTTTATTAACATACGCTAATATTTTGATTGGAAACTACCAAAATGATAGAGCATATTTTTACTAGAAACAAATGTATTAAGTCTATGTATCAGGCAAGATGCCGCACTAGCGAAAGACAACAGTTCGAGTAGATTTTTGTTCCATTAAAAAAATATTTGGTTTATTAAATCAAGCAAAATTAATGCTTAAAATAAAAATGTTAAAAACTATCTAAACCTTATAAATTTTTTTTGAGAGACCGCCGAATATTTCCTCATTTCAAGACTGCTGTCCTAATCATCAGATTTATGTACAACAATATTGATCACAATACGTTTGAGTCGAACTTTATAATCGTTTGTTCTAGATCTCGGATGTCCACAAGGAAGGTGCTACTCTTAAATGGAAGCGGCCTAAAGACGACGGTGGCGCCCCCATCGAGTACTACCAGATCGACAAGTTGGACACTGAGACTGGATGCTGGGTGCCTTGTGCGAGATCAGAGGAGCCAAGTAAGTTCAATATTTTAAGTATAAAGTTTTGAAAATAATTAATTAGCCAAAAATGAACGTGTTCTATTGTCATGGGTTGCCTGGAAGAGATTGCTGCTTAGCAATAAGGCCGCCTACTGTGTACGTTTTTACTGTCATCTTTAATGTCTTGTATGTCCTGTGAGGTGTATGTCAGTAAAGAATATTATTATTAGTTAACAGTAAAATAATATTAATATAAAATTGTATCTTTGTCAAACTACGATACATCTCCAACTCCTGAAAGCTGTTCAGTACAAGTTATCCTAAGAAATATTTTTTGCACGTGTGTTCCATAAAGCTTCTTACGATTTACCCTTACAATTTTCCATAACACTAATGCATAATAAACTTATGTATTAGAAAACTTGCTTATCTGTCCGTTTGTCCTCAGAATGTGACGTCACCGGGTTGACACCTGGCAAGGAGTACAAGTTCCGCGTGTCCGCCGTCAACTCGGAGGGCGAGTCGGAACCTCTCACATCGGAACAGAGCATTGTAGCTAAAAATCCGTTCGATGAGCCTGGTAAGTACATATTCCGAGTATTTAGTTTTATATCATCATCATCATAAGCCTATTAATGCCCCCACTGCTGGGACACAGGTAATCCCTACAGATGGAATAGGAGACTGGGCCATGACTCACCACGTTAGTAAAGTAGGCCTGTTCGCTAACTGATTTTGACAGATGGAAGTGATTATCACAGACCTATATAAAGATAGATAATTATGTAAAGAACATAATAAGAAGTCACAATGATAATATTTTATATTTTTTTAAGTCAAGTGGGCGTGGAAATAAAATGCGATCAACACGACGACCATGGGATTGGTTGGGAATTCCGTTTAACATGATCTTACCCAATGAATAGATAACCGAATTCATTTGCAGATATTTGATTTGTCAAAGTATTTTTTAATCTGTGTGCGTGTCGCGTCTGTATTCAAATTTAGCTGTATGAGTTTGGAACCAGTTTTAGCGGCCTTTGTAATAGAGTAATGCTTCCATATCATTTCTAATTCGTTGGCAATCAAGACATAACTCAATCATACTTTATTTCATTAATCAAATACGTTTCATCGAACCCGGACTTTAAAGAAGCCGGTCTATAGGTACCTACTCTGTGCAGTACCATCATCAAAGATTAAATCAGTTCTTTATTTAACCATACTACTGCATGTCTCGTGAAAAACACGTCAGATTTTCTCCGTTTTACATCTTATGTCTGTACAGGAGTCCATATGTACTGCCTTTAAACTCAAACGTACTTTCCTTCCACAGGCGCACCAGGCACTCCAAGCGTGACTGATTGGGACAAGGACCACGTGGACCTCAAGTGGACTCCGCCTCGGGAAGACGGTGGCGCCCCCATCACCGGTTACGTCATCGAGAAGAAGGACAAATTCGGCGATTGGGAAAAAGCCGTTGAAGTACCCGCCGATAAGACTACTTGCACCGTGCCTGATCTTATTGAAGGACAGACTTATGAGTTTAGGTGAGATTAACAATGTAATAAAGGTTGTCCAGAGCATTTTTAGCATTTTAATCAGCCGTTTATTAACTATGTGGGTGGACACAAAATCGTCTGCATGAAAAATTTGGAAAAGGAAAAATTGAATAGCAGTGAAACCAACAAAAATGAGAACTCGTAAAAGTCCTTCATGACTAGGTACTGTAAAATACTGAGCAGAATCAAAATTATTTACTTAAATTGTTTCGAAAATGAATAATAGCTTAATAAAAGAAAAAAAAATATAGCACTGCCTTGCAGCTTAAAAATGGCTAGAAAAAATTCGACTGCCTTCGAGTCCCGTCTGCTGCCTGGTCCGCGTGGAATTTTTTGTAGTTATATTTTCATTAGATTTAAACATCAAGCAGTTACATGCTTAAAAAATAAAAATTATATTTAAAAATACTTAAATTGTTTCGAAAAATAAATAATTGTTTTTTTCCTTTTATTAAGCTATAAAAAGGAAAAAAAAAACAATTAAAAATATAACCAAGCTCAGAATCGTACCACCGATCATTTGGTGTCAACCCCAAAACCGTTACCGTTCGGCTATCTATCTCTTGTAGAGAGTTACAAAATTACCGATTCCTTCCGATATACCGAATACTGTTAAATTTTCGTTTCATCGAGTTATATCGAATTTCATTCTGTCATAAATATAGATATCCAAATATTGACTACTACTTGTAAGGCTAATAACAGGTTTTCATTAAATTACATAATTAGTAGCTATAGCTGGAAATTTAATTCTATTATTTAATGAAAGCTTTTCGCGTGATGCGCTTTTCCATCCTTGTCTTTAGTAAGCGATTGCATGATAAAGCAAGCGCTCCACTACTTCATATTAATAAACAGGCTTTAGAGTATATAATAAAATAACAGATAAATATACATTTACTGAAATGGTAGGAAAGTCAAAACTGTACATTGAATATTTTTTTAAAAGAATACTTGGGTGTGATCTACAATCGATACCGAAGCCAAAAATATAGGTTTAAGAATTTTTGTAAGTCCGGGATAAACTCAAAAAGTACTGCATGGATTTACTTCAAATTTAGCACGAATATTATAAAGAAGTCTGGTCAACATATAGGCTACATATTGATGTCGATTCTGGCATGATTCTCTAAAGCTAAACTTAAATTTGGCAACAGTGCATCCCTGACATTCTCTATAGAGAATGAAAAGGAGAAACTGAAGTTAAATTTAGTTTTAAGTTTAGAGAATCACGCTAGAATCGACACCATTATCACGCTATCACCTACGGAGAACGAGCAGTGAATCTATTTCTAACTAACTCCACGCGTACGAAGTCGCTAGTACACATAATAAAATAGCAGATAAAGTTGCAATAACTTTAACTTCTATAATTCTCTTACCCATTCAGAGTACGCGCGGTGAACAAGGCTGGACCTGGCGAACCCAGTGACAGCACTCACCCGATTGTGGCCAAACCCAGGAATCTGGCGCCAAAGATTGACAGAACTAACCTCATCGATATCAAGCTCAAGGTCGGACAGAAGTTCGGCTTCGATGTCAAGGTAAGAAGATCCTTCTGCTTGTTAACACTTCACGCTTTAATAGTGGCCATACATACGTAACGGCATACTTATGCAAGTTCAATTACTAGTTAGCTAGATGGTCTGATTCTGCCAAAATGCTCTTAAACTGAATTCGACAATAGTTTATTCTTATTTATACTCTTTAAAGAATAAAAAAGTGAGACTGTTGTCAAATTTTGATAATCACATACCGAAATTAGTTATATCATATCTGTACGTACTATAAGATGTATCACAAAAAAACTAAAAATGTTTATATAAATATGATTATGAGAAGTAACCTTTACAATTAACAATAATTTTGAATAAATCAAGATGCTACATTCCTAGTAGCATTTTCTTTACATATATAATTTGCCATCTCCGTTAAATTGATTCAAACAATTAAGAAAAATATGGAGGAGTTTATACATCATTATTTTTAGGCAGATTCATTTTACAATCACAATTATAATCACAAATTTCCTTAAACGACCTCCGTGGCCGAGTGGTTTGTACGCCGGGTTCCATGGTGTCGCCTACTCGAGAGGACCCGGGTTCGAATCTCGGTTAGGGCAGATGTTTGTGTGATGAATGCGAGCATTTGTACTCCAGACATGGATGTTTAATACGTTATTCTATATAAATATACTTATATATGTATTCTATCCGTTACCCTAGCATCCCTTAACAGAAGCCTTACAATGCTTAGGCTAATAGTGCTAGGCTAATTGGTGTGAGTGTTGGAAATATTTATTTATTATTTTTTATAACTCATCCCCAGGTTACCGGTGAACCAATGCCGGAAACCAAATGGTACCTCGCCAAGAAGGAAGTCAAGTCTGGCGGCGAGATGAAGGTCCAACATTCGGATTACAACACCAAGTTGAATTGCAAAGCTGCCACCCGCGCCGATAGTGGAAGATATACTATCACTGCTGAGAATAGTAATGGCAAAGATGTTGCCGAGGTAGAAGTTATTGTATTAAGCGTGCCTAGTCCCCCTGGAGGACCTCTTAAGGTAAGTCTTATTGTAGTTTTTCGTTTTTTAGACGTATTGGTCTTTTAATAAGTTTATAGGCTACAGAGGCCGTTTGAAAAAAGAGCTAGACCTATCAAAGTTAGTCTTAGTAAAGTTTTTCATATTTATATAGATCTCTCAATACTTTATAAGCATTTGTCGCTTTCAGTATAAAGAGAAACATCGCTTTTAAAAGCGCTAATAATGGAAAATTTGCGTGTTTGACGAAATATGGATCCAAATTGAAACCCCAAAGATGGCAAATAAGTCATCTATACGTTACAATATTTCGAATGAACTTAAATTTCCATTAACTGGAGCATTCGGAGAGTCAGTTACCTTTTACGTTTGACTTGAGTTTTTGCTGTCACTATCTTTGCAAGGCAATAAATGACTTCGTTGAATTTTTTGAGGGCTGTAACTATGGCCCTGATTCTCTACAACAGTTAAGGGTCTAAAGTAGGAACATATATTTGTCCCTGTGCTGGCAGAAAACTTTTTCTAGTTTAATTTTCTTTAGTTTTAAACATATATTTGTCTTTTTCTTCCACACTCAAATAACTATTAATGTAGGTTTCGGACGTCCACGCCCACGGTGCCAAGTTATCATGGAACCCGCCCGCCGACGACGGCGGCCAGCCCATCGATAAATACGTGGTGGAACGCATGGACGAGGCCACCGGAAGATGGGTGACCGCCGGCGAGACGGACGGACCACAGACCAGTCTCGCTGTAGACGGGTTGCAGCCCGGACATAAATACAAGTTCAGAGTTCGAGCTGTTAATAGGTGAGCAGATTGAATATTACTGTAGAATTTCGATGCTTTCGAAATAATTAAGGTAGGAATTGAGGTATAAACCTTTCTGTCCTTACAATGGACGTTTGTGTTTTGCTTTGCAAATCTCTGTTGTAATTTTTATGTATAAGAATTGAATCAATTAAATTCTCTTTTGTAATTTTTATCTTTAAGATACTATTAATTGCGATACCCTGACAGGGTTCATGTTAGGTACATTATTCCTTTTGTAACTTGTAACCATCTATGTAACCACATGAGTGAAATAAATTAAATTGGTTGAATTGACTCTTTAACTGAGCTCAAAGTTTGATCATATAAGATTGCCGTCTGTAATAACTCCAAAAAATACTCATCTTGTCCTTCTCTTCGCAGGCAAGGCAAATCCGAGCCGCTTACAACGCCTCACTCTACAGAGGCCAAGAATCCCTTCGACGTGGCTTCCAAACCAGGCACGCCCAAGATCAAGGACTTCGATAAAGACTTCGTCGAGCTGGAATGGACCCGGCCTCAGTCCGACGGTGGCGCCCCCATCACTGGATACGTCATCGAAAAGAAGGATAGATTCTCACCAGATTGGGAGGAATGCGCTCAGGTGTGTACTGTTTTTAATTATTTGATTTTTATTTATGAAGTAACAATAAACAATTACTAATAAGAAATAGATGAAGTCTATCAGGGTTGATATTAATAATTTTATTAATTACTTGATTAATCCTGCAAAAATCTTAAAGCCGGCAATTCACTTGGGAAATCGCGTTTGCTATTTTAAACTCGACATGAGCCTGCCTTTTCACTGCAAAATAGCAAACACGAATAGCCAAGTGAAGTGCCGCCATAAAATCATAAAAATTTAAATAATAAATTGCTTCTGTTCTTTGACAGTTCTTAACTAAATATTCAATCAACTCTATATGTTAAAAGACTATCTGAAGCATCGAGAATTCTCGACTTTATATAAATTAAACTTAATAAAATTAAATTGTCAACAGATCGAAGGCGACGTAACGACCGGAAAAGTTCCCGATTTGATCGAAGGCAATACTTACGAGTTCCGCGTGAGGGCCGTTAATAAGGCCGGTAAGGGAGAGCCCAGCGATGGCACTGCCCCACACCTGGCCCGCCCCAAGAATCTACCCCCCAAAATCGACCGCAACTTCATGTTCGACATCAAAGTCAAGGTTGGGCAGAACTTCGAATTGGACGTACCAGTCGCTGGCGAACCGATACCGACCAAAGAATGGACGCACGCCGATAACTTGGTCATCAACACTGACAGAATCAAAGTCATCAACGACAATCATTCGACCAAACTCAAAGTCATCGACGCGAAACGCGCAGACACAGGAGTTTACACCCTTAAAGCTAAAAACATCAACGGTACTGACACAGCTACAGTCAAAGTCCTTGTACTCGATGTGCCGTTACCTCCTGAAGGTCCACTCAAAGCTGATGATATTACTAAATCTGGATGCACTCTTCGCTGGAGACCACCTAAAGATGACGGTGGCAGTGAAATCTCTCATTACGTTGTCGAAAAAATGGACCAAGAAAATATGCGCTGGATACCCGCTGGGGAAGTCCAAGCTTGCAACATCAGAATCGACCATCTCATCGAAGGACACGATTACAATTTCCGCGTCCGCGCTGTCAACAAACAGGGAGAATCCCAACCCCTCATTGGACACGAACCGGTCACTGCCAAAGACCCGTACGGCACCCCGGATAAACCCGGAACCCCTGTTGTCAAAGATTGGGACAAGGATCACATGGACTTGGAATGGGTACCGCCGAAGAAAGACGGTGGATCTCCCATCACTGGCTACATTATCGAAGCCAAGAAGAAGTACGGTCCATGGGAGGTCGCCGCTACTGTTCCTGGAAACCAAACTAAAGGAACAGTCAACAACTTGCAAGAGGGTGAGGAATACGAATTCCGTGTTATCGCTGTTAACAAAGCAGGAAATGGCGAACCTAGCGATGCTTCCACACCACAGATCGCTAAAGCACGATTCTGCGCTCCTCACTTCGACAAAATGCTTCTCGCAGACAAGACAGTCAAAGCGGGACAGAGGATCCAATACGAGATACCCATCGAAGCATCCCCGAAACCAACAGTCGAATGGCAGATCAATGGAAAAGTGGTCCATCCTACAGACCGCATCGATGTACAAGTGTTACATAACAGGGTGATTCTAGACATTCCATTCTCCGTCCGCGCTGACGGAGGCGTTTACAAACTCACCTTGAAGAACGACCTTGGAGTATGCTCTGCTTCCGCTCAAGTCACGGTTCTGGATAAACCTTCGAGACCGGAGAAACCTTTGATTGTTTCTGACGTCACTAAAGACTCGTGTTCCTTATCTTGGAAGGTGCCGCTAGACGATGGCGGTTCACCTATCCTTCATTACGTCATCGAAAAAATGGACCTGACCCGTGGTACCTGGTCCGATGCTGGTATGAGCACTTTCTTGTCACATCAAGTAACAAGACTCATACACATGAAAGAATACCTGTTCAGAGTTTCCGCCGTAAATGCTATCGGCCAATCGGAACCTCTAGAATTAGACAGGGCTATTGTGGCCAAGAATGAGTTTGATGAACCTTCGGCTCCTGGCAAACCCGAAGCCACTGATTGGAGCAAGGACCATGTCGATTTACAATGGGCCGCACCTAAATCTGATGGCGGAGCACCTCTTACCGGCTACATTATACAAAAGAAAGAGAAGGGTAGCCCATACTGGGTGAATGCGGTTCACGTGCCCCCGAATAAGACTAAAGCTACAGTCCCTGACCTTACTGAAGGCCAGGATTACGAGTTCCGTGTCATCGCAGTCAACCAAGCTGGACAATCTGAACCCAGTGAACCTTCAGACCTCATCACGGCCAAGGACAGATTCGTTGCACCGAAGATTATTACTCCATTCAAAGAAATCCGCATCAAAGCAGGTCTCATCTTCCATTTGGACGTTGACTTTATTGGAGAGCCGACTCCTGAGGTTACATGGACTTGTGACGGGAAACCTGTCGTCGCTAATGAAAGGACTACAGTCACATCCGTCGGACATCACACTATTGTTCACACTGTGAACTGCAAGCGCTCAGATGCCGGCAAATACAATTTGAAACTAAAGAACGATTCTGGCACTGACGAAGGCAGCTTCGAGCTGGTCGTCTTAGATGTACCTGGAGCGCCGCAGCCTCCGTTCGAGTACGAGGAGATCACTGCTCAATCAGTCACGTTGTCATGGAAACCGCCTAAAGACAACGGCGGTAGCGAACTCACCGCTTACGTTATCGAGAAGCGTGACCTTACTCACGGTGGAGGCTGGGTACCTGCCGTTACATATATTAATCCTAAGTTTAATCACGCCACAGTACCTAGACTGACGGAAGGCACTAAATACGAGTTCAGAGTATTCGCTGAAAACTTACAAGGCCGATCTGAACCTTTGGTGACAGACAGAGCTGTAGTCGCTAAGAACCAATACACAGTGCCTGGCAAGCCCGGCAAACCTGAACTGGTTTCCGCTGACAAAGACCACATTAAGATCAGATGGCAGGCACCGATTTCGAACGGTGGCTCCAACATCATCGGTTACGACGTCGAGAGGCGCGATAAGGCTACCGGTCGCTGGATAAAGTTGAACAAAGACCCAGTAAGGAACAGTGAATATGAAGACGACAGGGTACAAGAAGGTCACCAGTATGAGTACAGAGTATCTGCAGTGAACGCTGCCGGACCTGGTCAACCATCAGACCCGTCCAACGTCATCATTGCCAAACCTATGAAAGAGAAGCCCAAGTTGTGGCTCGACCATCTTATTGGTCGCAAGATCAAGGTTAGGGCGGGAGAGCCCATCAATATTAACATTCCAATCACTGGCGCTCCAACGCCAACTATATCATGGACCAAGGGATCTATACCTTTAGTGCCTTCTCACAGGCTATCGGCCGAAACGAAGAACGATGAAACTAAACTCAGCATCGAAAAGTCTACGAGAGACGATGCCGGCAAATACACTATCACCGCTACAAACGACCACGGCAAAGACTCTGCTGACATCGAAGTAATTGTTGTTGACAAACCTGGGGTGCCTAAAGGACCTCTTATCTGCACACCAGTCACACATGACTCCATCAGCCTCACATGGCATCCGCCTACGGACGACGGTGGCAGCGAAATCACAGGATACGTTGTCGAAGTCGCCGAGTTCGGTGTCAACGATTGGCGAACGGTCGCCGGTTTCTGTCCGAAATGCTCATTTACTGTCAAGAACCTTACTGAAGGCAAGAAATACGTGTTCAGAGTACGCGCTGAGAATCTCTACGGAGTCTCGGATCCATTGGAAAGCAAGCCGACTGTTGCCAAGTCGCCATTCGATCCGCCAGATGCACCGGAAACGCCAAAGATTACTGGATACAGCTCGAACAGTTGCTCTCTGGAATGGGAGCCACCTGCGAACTGCGGTGGAAAACCAATTACTGGATACTATGTCGAGAAACGCGAACGCGGCGGCGAATGGGTTAAAGTTAACAACTACCCAACACCAAACACTTGTTACACCGTCCCAGATCTTCGTGAAGGCAACCGTTATGAGTTCAGGGTCATCGCAGTCAACGAAGCAGGCCCTGGTAAACCGAGCAAGCCTACCGAACCAATCACAGCTCAAACACAAAGACTTAAGCCGAGCCCACCGGAAGCTCCCAAACCTGATAGGATCACCAAAGACTCTGTTACGTTGTCGTGGAGACCGCCCAAGAGCGATGGTGGAGCCAAAATTAAAGGCTACATTGTCCAACAGAAGGGCAAGGGCGACAAAGACTGGAAAGACGTCAATGATGTGCCTATACCTGGCCTCGTACATACCGTACCGAAACTCAAAGAAGGCGAGGAATATCAATTCAGAGTCATCGCTGTCAATGACGTTGGCAATTCAGATCCTAGCAAGCCCACCGCTGATATTGTCATCGCCGAACAGCCCAACAAACCTTGCATGGACTTGGGTGGTGTTAGGGATATCACTGTACGCGCTGGAGAAGACTTCTCCATCCACGTTCCATACACCGGCTTCCCGCAACCGACCGCGTCTTGGTTCGCCGACGACAACCTGCTCGACGTCGACGGCGATTCGAGAATATTCCAGAAGATTACTCCCGAATCCGCTTCGTTGGTTGTTAAGAACGCGAAGCGATCGGACGGCGGTCAATACCGCTTGCAGCTCCGCAACCCGTCTGGATACGATACTGCCACTATTAACGTGCGCGTTCTGGATAGGCCTGGGAAACCAGAGAATCTCCGAGCGGATGAGTTCGAGGGCGAAGCACTTACTCTATACTGGAACCCACCCAAAGACAATGGCGGTGGCGAGATTACCAACTACGTTGTGGAAAAACGTGAAGCTCGTACGCCCACCTGGACCAAAGTATCTGGTTACGTTACCACTCCGTTCTTGCGGGTGAAGAACTTGACTGTAGGCCGTGACTACGAATTCAGAGTTATGGCTGAAAATCAATACGGCCAGTCTGATCCTGCGCAGACTACTGAACCTATAAAGGCGAGACATCCGTTCGATCCTCCGGGTGCGCCCGGAGCGCCTCGTTCCGTCGAAACCACGGAGTCTTCCATCACGATTACTTGGACGAAGCCCCGTCACGATGGCGGATCACCTATCACTGGCTATGTTGTTGAGAAGCGCTTGATTACTGAAGACAAATGGACGAAGGCGTCTCACGCGCACATTCCAGACACGACGTACAAAGTTATGGGATTGATTGAGAACCACGAATACGAGTTTAGAGTGGCCGCCATTAATGCCGCGGGTCAAGGCCCGTATTCACAGAGCTCTGACGCTATTAGGGCTTGTGCACCGCCCAATTCGCCCAGGATCACGAGTGACCTCAGCCTTAGGGACATCACTGTCATCGCTGGCGAGGAGATCAAGATCACTGTTCCGTTCACTGGAAACCCGAGACCCAAGGTGAGAAAGCATTATTACTTTTTTTGTCTTTTCTATTGAGAATACCTACATTTTCTTTGCCACTTAAGTGAACATAATTTAACATTGAATCACTTTTAATAATTTAATTCCAAACTGTTTGAATGAAATAATAAACCAGCAGTAACGGTTGAATACAAATGACAGATTAGAACGCACTTTACTTAAAATTTAGCACACAACAACATTGATAAAAAAAAACGATATAATTATACTTGTTTATTTAAAGAGAGGTCATGCTTCGAAAGTAGAATTTTGATGATGATGATGATTCACCATAATCTTCCTCCTCCAGGTATCTTGGATGGTGAACAACGAGGAGGTATTCCCCGACAATCGCATCAGATTCACGACGTCCGACATCAACACTGTGTTCATTAACACTTGCGCCAAGAGATCCGACACTGGTTCATACACCATTCAGCTGACCAATAGCGAGGGCTCTGACAGTGCCACTTGCAGGGTAAGTTTTTATATTTACTAGCGGCCGCCCGCGACATCGTCCGCTTTGTTTAGTTTTTTGAAAATCCCCCGGGAACCTAACGGTTTTCGGGGATAAAAAGTATCCTATTTCGCAATCCAGGTCATAAGCTTACTAAATTTTTTCCAAATTCGTTCAGTGGTTTAGGCGTAAAAGCGTATTAAACTAACCAGTATAAAAATTAATTAATTCACTTTGGCATTTCTAATATAAGTTATAGGTAGACTGCTTAACTGTGTAAAAGGTGTGGGGAGGGCGAATACGGGGACCGTATCACACTCTGTACCCCGCATGCGAGGTCTCAGTTAAGCGGTTTACCTATAGGAAGGTGCACTTAGAGATTATTGTCGAAATATGATCAAACATGAAAGTTAGAGTTTAGAGATTTGTCATAGAAAATATTTTTTTTTTTCAAAGCAAGTTTTCAGATGACATATCCCGGCAGTGGGAACATTATTAAAGCTGAAGATGAACAGAAAATAAAGTGATCTGAGTGATTTTAGGGATTTGGCACAAGACATATTTCATAATAATATCGTAGTCGACTTTTTATCATTTCTGCTTAATCGATGCATATAATCAATAATTTATTGGTAAAATACGATAATAAAATAGATAGAAGTATTCTTTCATAGAAATAAGTAAACACCGTCTATTATTTCAGTTTCTTTCTTAGTATGAATTCACTTACCCAATATCATCATTTTGGACGTTTACTTTAAGATTTAAGATATGCTCTATTAAAACCATTTTTAGTCATAGATGTAAAAACCCATTTTTACTTTCAAACAGGTACTGGTGGTAGACAAGCCGTCTCCACCAGTAGGACCTATGGAAGCGTCAGACATCACTCCTGACACATGCACACTGAGCTGGAGACCTCCTCTAGATGATGGTGGATCACCAATCACCAATTATGTGGTGGAGAAGATGGACGGCAGTGGGGTAAGTGTTGATTTTAGACGTCAATATACTTTAATAGATCTTTAAATTAAACAAATATGTGGAGGTATGGCATCATTATAAAGGGTAGGGTAGGGGGTGATGGGAGTAAAATGCATATTAAGATAGTTACTTCTCGCTTCTCCAATTAGTTTATAAGGAAATTAATGATTGTTAAATTGTCTCCTATTGCTGTGTTCAGGTATGGTCGAAGATTTCATCTTTCGTTCGCAACTGTCACTACAACGTGATGGGCTTGGAGCCGAACAAGAAAGTAACATTCAGAGTGCGCGCGGAGAACCAATATGGAGTCTCTGAGCCACTCGCTATGGACGACTACATCACTGCCAAGGTAAGAATTTAATTATATTATTGAATTTTATATCTTTTTTGTTTCAGTTATAAAATTTAAAGATGCACGTCTAAAGAAAGTTGTAAAAAAACTTGTCTAGAATGGATGCTACTGCCATCCTTCGCTATCAACGAAACGGTTGTTTCAATTTCCTCTTGTACATTTAATACATATTTGAGGCTGTAAGGTATTTCTTCACAATACAAATTTCGAATTTTAAATGTAAAAAATAGAATACATAATGTAGCACGTCAAACTGATTGGTCAGGTACTCAAATTCAAACTATTACTTCTCTATTTTGTTCCTGATAGGGTCCATAATCCCTTTATTTCCACTTGTGCCTTACAATGCTTACTTTGGGGGTAGGCTTATTAGTGTTTTGGTTCTGTTAGCAAATAATCATTGAAGTAATAGGCGACTTATTTGGAAATTAAACAAATATCTCTTAAATTTAAAGAAAATGTAGGTCACCTGCAATGCGAAGAGATGGCGGTGCCTTGCAGCCCTAAAAATACTAGAATACATTCGACACGGCCATTAAGGTCACGGTAGCATATTTGTTCACTGCATCCGCCCGGATAGCGGAGAGTGCGGGTCCGAGTCTCGTCTGGCCTGGTGCCTGGCAGCCCACGCGTGACCAATTGGGACGTTGTTTATGTTGCATTACGCGATTTTTTGTTATGCATAATAGGCAATGCGTTTGACCACAATCTCGCCTGATGGAAAGCGATGATGAGGCTTAGGATGGTACACACCTTCCTAAAAGATGCCTGTTCACTCTGGCCTTGAAGATGTCCAGATTATATTGGTCCGGGAAAACAGACCTCGGCAAGGAGTTCCACGCCCTAGCCGTTATTCTAGAATGTAGTCTATTTGGAAACTAACCAAATATTTCTTACTCTAGTTCCCATTCACGGTACCGGATCCGCCTGGAACACCACGCGTGACCGATTGGGACGGATCTACGGCCACAGTAGTATGGGACAGACCTCGTTCGGACGGCGGTGCCCGTATACAGGGATACAAGATCGAGTTCCGGGATGTGCAAGATGGAGTATGGGTTAGTGCCGATTACCTGGTCAAGGACTGCAATTACCAGGTTAGTGGATGTTTATATTATGGTATTAGTTTTATAGTCATTTACGGGATTGCTACCATGTACTTTGTTTTTAGCGAATTTCCGATATTTGTGCACTGTTGCAAGCGCCATGTTCACGGAGTAACTAAAGTAATTGCGGGTAGGATGTCTATTTATTTATTTATCAGATTCGCCAGAAATAAAAATATTATTACAATCTAAATACATTTACATGGTGGTATCTAATATCTAATTCGTTTCGTTATATTATGTTGCTATGCCATAGTTTGATAAAATATCAGTGCAGAAATTAATACGACTGTACTTGTTATAACATAAATGCTAGTCTGAAGTGTTGTGTTTCGTTATCAAAATGACAGTATCAACCTTTTTAAAAAATACAAATTAATCGACGTTTGTTTAAATGCGTCTTTTATTGATAGCTAATTTAATTCATTAACTGTAATACAATATATGAATGTATATAACTTAAAAAAGCAAGTACGCGAAAACCTTGGAAAGATAATAGTAGTTTAACTAAACATCGTCTCTCAATATTTATTTATTTATGCCATCATTTTTACACCCAACATAATTAAACACATTTATACATAAAGTTGTGCAAAAACAGTTACGAGGCATACTCAACTTTTATTTCTGACAAAATTATAGTGATAAAATCTAAACTAGGTATACAAACAAACATAAAGCTAAACCGTAATCAATATCTCCAATTATCATTGTACAGGCTTACAACTTGGAGCCTGGCCACGAATACGAGTTCCGCGTGCGCGCTCAGAACGCAGCAGGCCTCAGCAAGTACTCGAACTCGTCGCAGAAGTTCCGCGTGAGGCCCGCGTGCGGCCCGCCCGGGGCCCCGCGCTCGCCCCGCGTGTTACGCGTCGGTAAAACATACGTCGACCTGTCGTGGGACCCGCCAGCTACCGATGGAGGTAAGTACAAGTATTTGCGTTATGAACTTTGTCAAGTACTGGAGCCATAGGGGTATAAGAATAGAGTAGGGGAGAGTAGAGTATATACTCTACTATAAGTGGAAGTGTCCCTCTAATGGAAAGAGAAAGAAGATGGGAGATCGCTAGCTTTCTCTCTCTAATCGCGCATGCGCATTGGCACCCGTAAGCATCTTACTATTTCGATGTGATGCCATTGGATGCCATGGGGTACAAGAGAGAGAGGTAGCTGGCGGTCTTTTATCTTCTTTCTCTTTCTACTAGACGGACACTTTTAAAGCTCTATTTCGTTCAGTTCAGTCTGCGATCGTGGAACTTTCTCAAGAGGCCGGATACAGGATGCTTCTGCAGCCTATGCCAGCCTATGCAGCCAGGTCTATATCTCGCTCTTCCATCCATACCATAAAAAAGGCCTGCTCCCTGCAGTTTAAAACGGAATACCTATATTAAGTATATACTTAGGTTATGATCTATCTTTATTTTAATCAGGTTCCCGCGTAACCGGCTATATAATCGAACGCCGCGACGTCGGTGGTTCCGTATGGGTGAAATGCAACGACTACAACGTACAAGATACCACATACACAGCGCTAAACTTAGGCGAGAAGCAGAACTACGAGTTCCGCATTATCGCCGTCAACGCTGCAGGTAAAATGAGAGTAGATCACTGTTTCAAAGAAATGGAAAAAGCGTTTAGATGCAAAGCGACCATTGTTGATGTGTAACATCTTTCTTCTCGCTTTCGTGCAATTTGTGGGAGTGATTACGTGAAGTGGGACTTAAGTGTGTAACAGGAAGTTTGGGAAGCGCGCGCTATTTGATTTAATTTTAGAACAATGTTCAAATGGCTTATTCCTTTTGTAGTAGGTTTTATTTCTTTTTTTACATATATCCGGTGAGGTTTCAAATGTTACACATCTACTCTCGCGACTACTGTAGTAAGGATCGCTCGTGTTTTTTTATTCATAGATCTCAATATTCTTTTTAAGTGGAAAAGAAGTAAATTAATGTTTACACAGTTTACAGATTGCAGTGTGTTTGTGACAATCTTTAGTCTGTCTATAAATGAAATAGATTTATAATTTATAAATAATTTAACTTTCACAGAGTCACGTTTGAGTAAACATTTCTTGTGGTAGAATTTCTTGTTGAAGTCATTTCCAGTTAAGGGCTTCATACTTCTCATAATATTTTTAACATAAATCTGATGAATTCTTATCGAAAAGCTAAAATCTATTTGCATTCAAAATTTGGTAAAAGCTAAGTAAAGCTTGTAAAGAATCTGCATTCTGCATTTTCGATGCATAAGCACATGAACTCATACCAAAAAAAAATGATAAAACGTCAATGTCAATTTGACATTCCTGTATGGGATAAATGCAGTTTTAATTAAATTGAGATCTAGCAAAATTGCTGCAAGTGGCCTTTAGTAGATAAGCCATGTATTTTTGCTCAAAAAGTCTGTATGTAAAAAGTTTATTGACTACAACGCCTGACTGGTTAAGAATGCCATTTTTGCATTAAGTCCGCCATTTGCATATAAGGCATTAAAGATTAAATAAATAAAAAAAAATAAACGCCATACAAACTCAACAGGCAAATCCGAGCCATCTTCCTGTACGAGCCCAGTCCGTACTGGCGAAGAATTAGGCGGCACCAAACCGGAATGGGTGAAGCAAGTGCCTCCCCATTTGGTTGCGCCTTTGGGAAGACCTTTCACTATCGAATGTGTGGCTAGCGGCAACCCAGTACCCACTGGAAGGTGGATGAAGAACGGCAGAGAAGTCGTGCTGGGAACCAGGTGAGATTTACGTCTTATTGGTAGGAATAGTTTGGTAATTTATATAGGAGCACCGCTAGAAAGACTTTTTCTATAGAATGTGTTGCTAGCGGCTAAAATGTTGGTAATTTATCACCTTATGTATATTGATACAAAAGACAATAATGGATGGAAACTCATTGAGATAATTTTTGGAACCTTTTATTTCTCTTGTGGTTCAGTTTCAAAAACCAACCTTCTGGATATTTTATTAATTAGTTTAAAATAACAACTGTTACTAAGAAACGGAAGCAAAAACTTTTTACTGGAGGTTTATTATTAAAACTGGCCGTAAGAGTTACTTGCTTAGATATTTTTGTTAATTAGTTGAAAATATCAATTGTTATTAAGGACTGTAACCAAAATAAGATTATCTTTTTTACATGGTGGAAACCTAACTACAAATCTCTCATCAATTAGGTTCATCGCTGAATCTCGTGAAGGCGTGATGAAATTGAACATCCTCGAGGCTAAAGACGATGATGAAGGAGATTACACGTGCGAAGCATCCAACAACATTGGCTTCATCTATAGCACTGGACATCTGAAGATTGGAAGTGAGTATAACTGTCATAAAATATCAAATATCTTTATATATAAAACTGAAAGGTGCCTGACTGACATAGTGATCTATCAACGCACAGCCTAAACCACTGGACGGATCGGGCTTAAATTTGGCATGCAGGTAGATGTTATGACGTAGGCATCCGCTAAGAATGGATTTTGATCAATTCTACCCCCATGGGGAAAAAAATAGGGATTGAAAGTTTGTATGATACTTTGTCAATTTTAAACCGATCGTCATCCATCAATCTGCACTGGGCCCGCGTGGTGGGTCATAACCCAATTTCCCTATTCAATCCATATAGAAAGCCTGTGCCCCAGCGGTGGAGACATTAATAGGCTGATGATGATGATGTGCATAACGCTGTGACTGACCTGTTATTTGTGTTTTATTATTGTTTTGTTACGTCAATAAACGTATGACACTATTTCTTTCCTTTAACTGCCACGACTCTATAGTTCCGATGTATGGAGCATTGGAAGACACGTGAATAATAATACATATATCGACAACTTCTATATCCTATACTTTTTGTTTACTGAGTTTCTGTTTACCAGGCCCGCCTCGCATCACCCGTATGCCGGGCGATATGCATCTCCCAGAACACGATAACACCAAGATCAAGATCTTATACACTGGTGACCAGCCAGTAGACGTCACGTTGACGAAAGACGGCCACAAAGTTACTGAATCGCCGAGACTCAAGTACACAGTGTTCGACGATTACATGCTCATCTTTATCAAGGACATCAGCAAAGATGATATGGGTGAGTGGAAAATATACGAATTTTAATGACTAGCCACTAAAGAGTTAAGCTTCTTTTAGATGGTAGATTTTGTTCTCAGAGGTTTGGCAGTCAAGAAAGCCTATTGGACGACAGATTGTATGTACTGTATTTTCAGTCTCCAACTGTTTTTGTTTCATTCACTACTGAAGGAATTGATATAATATGGGAGATGGTTGACTGGTAGTGCAATGTGGCATTAAGTCCGCCATTAGTTGTAAAATAACAATAAAGAGTAAATAAATAAATAAATAAGGAATTAACTGACGGCTGCATGGGCGTCCAATGGATTGCCTTAGGCAAGCGCTCAATAATAGTTTAAGAATAAAAATAATGTCATACAAAGGCTAAACATGGTTCAAAACAGTACCTAACTTTTTTGTGGTACTTACACAACAATGTTTAGGAATCATTCGCTCAAGCGATGTTCCTTGGTGTTATTTGTATGACTCGCGTTGATTAAAAAGCGATTTTTCTCGCTTTTCGCGATGGCCCCTTATTGTGTCTTAATTCGTGTGTGCTTTTTGGTGACTTGTTAGTTTTTTTTTCGCTTTGGACAATGAATATAAAGTCGTAAATTCAAACCAAGGGCGTTATAAAAGCTCTAAAATATAGAATACTTAAGCTATCATACGAATGCGTACTTTACTCATTTGATAGCTTAGACTTCCTTCGCAAAACTTTTTTTCTGTCAGGGTAGTCCGGAAGAGTAAGCGATCTCTTCCGGACTGCGAAGCGATAAGGCTGCCTTTGCCCACAATATGTTATTGTTCTCTTTTTTTGTTGTATTCTTTTGTGTGTGTGCAATGAAAAAAAATATCCATCTACATACGTAAGCGAGCTGGCATTAATCGATACAGCCGGGCGGTAAAAGCAAATATGTGATGAATTTTCGCCAGTAATTACTTCGGATCGTCTTTGTTATTCGACAAATACTGCCGAACCAACTATGCCAGCCCGATTATTTAAAAAAAATAAAAAAATATCGACTCATATTTCCACTTTTATGTCTTAATGAATAAACATTTTACAGTATAAAAGAACTACCAAAACTTGGAACAGTATATCTATACTATCTATAAATCTAACATTTGACGACCTCCGTGGCCACGTGGTTTGTACGCCGGGTTTCATGGAGTCGCCGACTTGAGAGGTCCCGGGTTCGAATCCCGGTGGGGGCAGATGTTTGTGTGATTAATGCGAGCATTAGTACTCCTGGCTTGGATGTTTAATATGTATTTCTATATAAATATACTTATATATGTAGAGTATATGTATCCTACCCGTTACCCTAGTATCCCATAACACAAGCTTACAGTGCTTACTTTGGGCTAGGCTAATTGGTGTGAGTGTTGGAAATATTGGTTTATTTTATTTTATTTATTCTACCCCCCAGGCACATACAAGCTCACATTAAAGAACAATAGCGGAGAAACTTCCGACTCCTTCTCTATAACTGTCACTGGATTACCTGGTCCTCCACAAGGGCCATTAGAAACCACAGACATAACTCGTCATTCCTGCACTATTGCCTGGAAACCGCCTACTTACGACGGTGGTATGCCAGTTACACACTACGTGGTCGAAAGAATCGACGTTTCTGGCACCGTGTGGATAACAATAGCTTCGTCTGTGAGGGATTTGAAGTATACGGTCCAGGGATTGGTCGAAGGACAAGAGTATAACTTCAGAGTGCATGCGGCTAATGAAAATGGTATTGGACCCGCTTTGGAAGGAGTTAACCCGATCAAGGTGAGTTTAGTTTATTTTTGCTTGCTTTTCTAATTAATAGCCTCAAAAATTGTTTTGGTAGTAGCAAGTTTTTATATAGTTCACAATATTTATAAGATTTTTCTGTATCTTTCTGTTATTACGTTTTTTAAAGATTTTTTCCCCAAATAAAGTTAAAGAACACTCATCAAAAGAGTCTAAGGAACATTCATCATTTACGCAAACTGCAAGATTTAGTTGTTAGTTGTCGGTTGATATTTTATATTATCGCTATGAAATTTATAAGCCATTCAAAGTTTTTCTGCTTTAATCACTAATAAATCAAATTAGTATAATTAATCTACAGTATGTAAGTATTAAAATATTAAAAATCAGCCAAAGTTCAACTTTAAGGGAGAGAAAATTCTAGTACCGATTTTATGTCTCGAACCTTTCTTCCCTCTAAACTCTGCCTAAATTATATAAGCCATAACTCTATAACTAAGTCTCTATAAAAGTTAAGTAAACATATTATATACTGATCTAATATGATATGTTTCTCAACAGGCCAAGGCACCATTCGACCCGCCATCAGCACCTGGCATTCCCAAGATCTTGGAAGTCGGAGGAGACTTCGTGCATCTTGAATGGGACAAACCACAGAGCGATGGTGGCGCCAGGATACAGGGTAAAGAAACCTTATTTTTAATCGAAATACAATGTATATGGAGAAGTTATTTAATATTGGTTTTTCAATATTCCCAAATTGGATTGTAAATTAAGTAAGAAAAAATCAGAGAGGTCTATTTGGATGGATTATTTAAAAGAGTAAAGTACACAAAGTAAACTTTATAAAAAAACTAGTAAAAAAGATACCTTAAAATTAATTCTTTTTCGTCAACAAAATAACTTGGAGCCTATTACAAAAATAAAGTTTAGACCGGAACGAAGTCATTCAATTGCTTATATTTTAGACTTTAACGCGTTTAAAACAAGGTCGAAATTTTAAACTGTAGTTTTTTTTGTCAGAAATAAACCTTTCTCTTGAACCACACTTTATCAATTGCTGAAAATTGCATTGAAATCCGTTGCGTAGTTTAAAAGACCTAGGCGTACAGACAGCGGGAGAGACTGTTTTTTGTACTATGTAAAGAGTAGCGCACAGAATCCATCTTAAAATTATAACACACTAATAACTTCTTCCTTTCTCAGGCTACTGGATAGATAAACGCGAAGTGGGAACTACAACTTGGCAGCGAGTGAACACAGCCCTTTGCCTTCCAAACCAGATGAACTGTCCGAATCTGATCGAAGGTCGACAGTACGAATTCCAAGTGACAGCCCAGAACGAGGCAGGCTTATCGCCGCCCAGTTCCGCTAGTCAACAAGTGAAGGTCGTCGATCCTAAGGGTGAGTCTCATACTAACTAATCAGGTAATTTTCTAATCCAAAATTAGTAAGATAAATTGCCCCAACACGATCAAGAGTTGCCAGTACGAGTTCCAAGTGACAGCTCAGAACGAGGCGGGCTTATCGCTGCCTAGTTCCGCCAGTCAACAAGTGAAAGTCGTCGATCCTAAGGGTGAGTCTCATACTATATCTAATCAGGCAATTTACTAATCCCAAATTAGTAAAATAAATTGCCCCAACACGATCGAGAGTTACCGGTACGAGTTCCAAGTGGCAGCTCAGAACGAGGCAGGCTTATCGCCGCCCAGTTCCGCCAGTCAACAAGTAAAAATCGTCGATCCTAAGGGTAAGTCAAGTTTAGGTACAATATTAGTTATTCAGTATCTGATAATGTCCAACTTCAACAAGAGGTAACCAACCAAATAAAATGCCCCTACCTGATCGAGGGTCGCCAATACGAGTTCCAGGTGGTGTGTTCCAAGGGTGAACTGATATTGTGTAATCAGGCCAGTTTCTAATAAAATTCCAGTAAGAGAAGCATTTGAGTTTAGTTCACTACTAGAAACTCATTAATTACTAGTATATGTTTTGTTATACGTTAAAATTAACATTTTGCTGAATCTTACTCATTTGGTACGCAACCCGCGTAAGCATAATAAACTGCCACACATTATAGTTACGACAAATTAAAAAAAATCTCAATCGATTATATCAAGCAAAATCAATCACAAGATTTTATTCATGATCACTTCATGGCAAGATGTCAGTCAATGTGGCAAACGGTTGTCTTCGAGCAAACAAATATAACAGATCACTCACCTATTTTATTCTATTCTAAAAAGGTAAATCCATCAGAAAAACAACCAAAACATTATTTAAAAATTAAAGTAGATTACCAAGCTATATCAGTATACCTTAAGGAGTGTGACTGGGGAGAATACTATCAAAGTAGTGATGTCAACTGGTGTGCTAATTTACTTAACGAAGTATGCAATATTCTCTAAAAACCTATTCAATATCCACTCATGTACCCCGACGAAAAACTCCACTTAAGCCGTGGATCACCCCGGGCGTAATAAGATCATTACGCAAACGAGATAAAATACATAAACATTTGAAAAATAATTTCAGTGAGCGTTTAAAAATCCTATATGTTACGTATCGCAACTGCTGTAATAAAATAATTAAAACTATTAAAAAAGAATATTATCAATCAGAACTACAAAAAAACTCTAAAGACATGAAAGAAACCTGGCGTATTATTAAAGAAGTTGGTAATTTAAATAAGAAAAGCTGTGTATCATATGACTTGCTTAGAATTAAGGATAATCCAAAAGAATCGCTTAACGACGTTAACAACTTTTTCACATCTGTAGGAAATAACTTGGCAAACTTAACTCTTAATAAACTTATCACCAATGAATTCGATTTAGCAGCAAAAAACAAAAATAATAATAATCTATTGAATACTATGTCCCTTTTTTTGACAGACAACCAAGAAGTTAATTCAATAATATCTACCATGAAATCGAGATGTGCTACAGGTTGGGATAATATCTCGAATGACTATTTCAAATATCTTAAAGAATCTCTTATAGAACCGGTTACTCATCTGTGTAACATTAGCTTCTCAAGTGGAGTATTTCCAAAAATCTGTAAAAAAGCCATCGTGACTCCTATATATAAAACGGGCGCTACAGATGTTCCTTCTAATTATAGACCAATATCATTGCTTTCAACCTTATCGAAAATAATTGAAAAGTTAGTAAATAAGCGACTCAACAAGTATTTAGAATCTAAAAATTTATTTGCGGGAAATCAGTATGGCTTTAGAGCAAAAACTTCTACAGAAGACGCAGTTTTGGATCTTACCTCCAATATATATAAGCATCTGGATAATAAGAGGAAGTGTATTGCTGTGTTTTTGGATCTACAAAAAGCGTTCGATACGGTCTCAATCCCTATCCTGCTGTGTCGATTAGAAAATTTAGGTATAAGGGGCGTTGCACTGAATTGGTTCAAAGACTATCTTCAAAATAGAAGCCAGACTGTTCGATTGGGCGGCCATTTTAGTGAATCTGCTTCCTGTAATTATGGTGTACCACAGGGCAGTACTCTTGGTCCAACGTTATTTTTAGCTTACATTAACGACCTTTGTAAAATCCATCTGAAAAAAGGCGAGTTATTTATGTTTGCTGATGATACTGCTCTCGTATTTTATGGTTCATCTTGGAATGAAGTTAAAATTACTGCAGAAAAAGGGTTATCTAAGGTTACAGCCTGGCTTGAGAATAGTTTGTTATCCCTTAATGTGAATAAAACTAAATACATCTGCTTTTCCATAAATAAGGCCTCCAGTCCTAAGAAGTCTTTCTCATTAGCTATTCACACCTATCCCTGTAATCTTCTATCAGATATTCCATCGGACTGTAACTGTGCAAATTTAGATCGCGTTAAATCATTCAAGTATCTTGGAGTCATGATAGATGAACACTTAAAATGGGACGCTCATATTTCACTAATCTCTGGGCGTATCAGAAAATTAATGTATGTTTTTAAGAACCTTCGCACGGTAACTAACCTGCCTTTGTTGATTAGAGTTTATAAATCTTTGGGAGAATCTTTAATCTGCTACTGTATTTGTGCTTGGGGAGGCGCTGCACAAGTACATTTAATTAAATTGGAAAGAGCTCAAAGAGCTGTATTAAAGGTTTTAATGTCACTACCGATTCGACACCCAACAGCCTCATTGTATGAAAAAACTAAAGTCTTGAGTGTTCGAAAATTGTTTATTTATCAGGTTATACGCAGATTGCATAATAATGTAAGTACAATAACTAATGTCTGTAAGACAAGAGCGGCAAAGTGTAATATTCCTCCTTTTAAAACCAAGTTTGCCTCGAGATCATATGACTTTGTGGCACCTTCAGTCTACAACGTGTTACATGCTAAACTTAATCTAAGGCAGTATACAAGCAGACAGATAAAGCAACAGATCTGTAATTATTTATTGGAGTTAAATGAAATAGGTTTAAATATCCTTATGATGCCTCTAAGTTAATGACGATGATGAAATTAATTCAAGTTTAGGAGATTGGAATGGATCAGGTAAAATTGCAAATTAGTAATACAATGGCAATAAATAAAGCATTTATGGGAACCGTTATATATAAATACATACACACACACACGCGCGCATACGCTCACACACACTCACACACACACACACACACACACACACACACACACACACACACACACACACACACACACACACACACACACACACACACACACACACACACACATACAATTACATTTTTATTTTATTTTTTTTTATTTATTTTATTGTGTTTAAGTTGTTTCTCTTCATATTAATTAACACATTTAAGTTGTTTCTCTTCATATTAATTAACACATTAATCACATAAATGGTACAGGGGTGGCTTACTCTGTTCATGTAGTTTTGGGAGTGGAGGCCTGGTGTCTTGTAGAACAGGTTTATCCTATTGCAAGCACCAGTCTTCACATTAAGTGGTGAGGTGTTGTAATTAAGCACTTTATTGTAAATTTTTCTACTTATGTGAAGAAATAAATAAAGAATTTATTATTATTAACTTATGGTTAACTCTTATCTGTCTTTACACAGTCCCTGTCAATGAACTATTAGAACTACTGATACTAGTATAATTACATTGTAATACAAATTAAAATCCTATCTTTGTCCCACAGCCGCTACTCCACCAGAGATAGTGAAACCGTTGAAGAACGCCAACTGCATCCAGAACCACAACGCCAAGTTCCAGTGCACCATCACTGGGTCGCCGAAACCTACAATCACTTGGTACAAGGGTGAGTCAACATTTTTACAATAAATGCCATACTTAGAGACGTAATTTAACTGTTAAGTTTGATTAAAGTTACTTTCTTTGTATAAATAGAATGAGACAATTTCTTAGTTTATTAAGCATTAGAGTAATATGACGTGTTTAAGTACAACTGTGAATAACTTTTGCTAATAGCTTAATAAAGTTTTATTAGTCTTCATTTGAGTAAGTACGTTTAAGAAGAATAATGATAAAAGAACTATAGTGTTAGGGTTAAGCGCAATTTTCCGCTCGAACTTGCGGGATGCGCGACAGGGACATAATGTCACAAATTGCCATTTTTCACTGGACGAATCATATTTCTATTGTTGTGTTTTTGCATTTAAAATTGTTGGAGCTCCACAGAGTATTGAAATAGGGTTAATTGGTGTGGATCGTTTTTATAAAAAGGGGTTTGCCACACTTAAAATGGTGTATGGCATTGCCTGGCAATACCAATTTAATAACGCCTTTCAGCATGCCACGTCAAATTCAACCGTTCTCGTGGCATTATGGAATTCATTCGTAATCCTTGATTTTTTTCTTCTTTCTTATTTAGGGTTAGACTAATTGGTGTGTCCTTTAGAAATATTTTACCTATTTATTCTCATTTGTTGAGGAGCTCGATGGCGCGGGTGGTTTGCGCGTTCGGCTGCGATCGTTGAAGTTAAGCAACTTTCGCAGTGGTCGTTCATTGGATGTGTGACCAAAAAATCTTCTATCTCAAGTTTCTCCGTGCTAAGCCGTTGGACCCGGCTACATCTGCTGTCGTTAGCACCCACCAATCCGCCCTGGGCCCGCGTGGTGGGTGATGGCCCGATCTCCCTATTCCATCCATACGGAAGGCCTGTGCCCAGCAGTGGGGACATTAATAGGCTGATAATGATAATGATGATTCTCATTCTCAGGTGCCCGTGAGATAACCAACGGCCCTCGCCACCGAATCTGGAGCGAGGGAGACAACCATTTCTTGACTGTGATCGACGTGTTCGGAGAAGATGCCGATGAATACGTATGCCGTGCCGTCAATAGGGCCGGCGTTAAGAGTACTAGGGCTGAGCTGCTTATCATGAGTGAGTAAACTTAAATTTGACTATCTATGTAAGAGCAAATTTTAAATCAAATCAAAATATTTATTAAACTCAGACACGGATACAGACCCAAGCAATATCCAAGAGTTAACCATAAATAAATTTAAAGATAGTATAAAAAAACACTGATTAAAAAAGCTTATTAAAAAGTGTCTGATTATATTACAGGCTTGGGTTTGAACTGTTCCAATCATTCCAACAGGTTTTCAATACTAAATAAATCATGATTATACTGACGTTGTAACAACATAATGATTTGTCGATGTTGTTACATTATACTTTTACCGTTGTGGAGATTTTTTCGCACGTTTTTAAAAATATCTCCAATAACAAGTGGTAGGGGAAAAAAATATTGGACGATTCAAAAGAGTTATACTATACATCCAATTTGAATTAAAATATATTGATTTCTGATTTCATACACAAATGGTTACACTTATACATACGTATATATATATATATATATATATTCATATCATTATTATATAATTCATAACCGAAACATATATATGAATTTTTTGAAAGTTTAATTCAATATCGCTAAATTCGTCCTCTAGATTTTCCATTTAACACTGTTTTTCTTTTATTATATATTAACATTTGATTATTTCTCAAACAGCCGCACCAAAACTCAACGTGCCGCCACGGTTCCGTGTGACCGCTTACTTCGACAAGGGCGAGAATGTGATCGTCAAGATCCCCTTCACCGGACATCCGGTGCCCAAGATCACGTGGGTCAGGGAGGGGGAGACCATAGAGTCTGGCCTGCACTACCACGTCGAGAGGAAAGGTAGGATAATTTCATTGTTATATCCAACTTACAGTATGTTTTTCTTTATGAATATAGGCATTGTGTGGCTGGCATTGGTGGATTACAGGGTTAATTTTAAAACACCAACAACCTCTTAGGGGGTGATTCTACCCATCAACAGGAACAACTTTTATTATGGGACCAACGCTGAAATCGCAAAACAAATGAGCTGTTTCATACATTTAGGTCGATTAGCTGATGCACTTTTGTATGAAACAGCAGTTTTTATTTTCGCGCTATCAGCGTTGGTCCGATAATAAAAGTTGATCCTGCTGATGGGTAGAATCACCCCATAAGAGGTTGTTAGTGTTTTAAAATTAAACCTGTATAATTTAAAAAAATACTAATTCTATTTCACACTTTAAGTATACATAGTTTTAAATAATGGATTTGGAAATGGTATATGTTTTACTTAAAGTTATAGGAACTCTATATCAATTACCCAGTGACAGTGTTAACAGACTAATGGCATCATGAGCTACTAATGACAAAAATAATATGACAGCCTACTTAAAAAATATAACTATAATACAACATTAAATGCGCTATAGTTAACGATAAACACACAAATATAGTTTTTGCTGTAACAAATTCACCAAATAATACGGTGCCTGTCTATCTGGAAAAGCTTACTATAAGCCGAAGAATACTAACACCAGAATTAAAGTCTGTGGAAATTGGTGCAGGAATTTAGACGTGAACACTTAAAACTTTGGTATCCTAAATATTAGTATGGATTACCATAAATCATTAGTAATTAGCAGTAAATTGATTGTGTATTCTGTTTTCAGAGAGACACGCAGTATTGACCATTCGGGACGCCAGTAAGTTGGATTCAGGCCCGTACAGAATCACGGCTGAAAACGAACTGGGACAAGACTCAGCCATCATCAACATTGAGATCAGCGGTGAGTTTGATGTCCGATCTGTTTACGAGAAACGAAATAGCTAAATTGTTCTATTTGTCACTGTTAATATAAAATGTATGCGCATGGCACAGGACCGATCGATGTCGAGATCCTTGCGGGAGGCCTATGCTCAGCAGTGGGCGTTATAGGGCTGAAATGATGATGATGAATATAAAATACACGATACACGACAAATAGGGAATTAGTGGTGAATTACATATAGTTTTGAAGCCAATAACTAAATTTTAGTAATACTTGACACTACGACTTTATTTATTAAAATTATTTATTTGATTTTTGATATTTATCTGATTTATCTCTATGATTTACTATAATTTACAATAACTTTAAACACAGTAAAAGATACAATTAACATAACTTGTCTAGATATTTCTTTATGGGAAGTAACTATATATGTTCAGAATAGTTTGCTTTTATCAGATTTCGAAGCTTTGTTTATTAAATCACTAAGAATGATCGTTAATCGGTTATCTGCGACATCTTCATCTTACATTTATGTAGGATATATTATATATCTTATATTATTTGTGTATTATGTGGTACTAATATGTAATTCTTTGACAAACAGATCGTCCCGACCCGCCTCGCTTCCCGGCCGTGGACAACATCGGCATAGATTCCCTCGCCCTGAGCTGGAAGGCTCCAGTTTGGGACGGAGGATCAGACATCACCAACTACCTGGTGGAGAAGCGGGAGCATCCTATGACTTCCTGGATCAGAGTTGGCAATACCAGGTAATATGTGGAATCTTTTTAGATTACCAAAATATATATGTTGGGTCTTACGTTTGTCAATAAAACTCTTCACAGTACTATAGTTAAAAGTTCGTAGTTAATAGGTCGCGATGCTTTATCCATAGTTTAATTTTACAATAGTTAAAATACTGGGGAAAAGATAGCATTTGCTAAAATTTTACACATTTACTATGAGACGTGACATTAACTATAGTCAAATTTAATTATGGGTGAGTATTGCTTTTTGGCATTTTAAAACGTACCATTAAAAAAAATAGACAATCAAAACTTTGATAAACTTTTATTTCTCAGTCAAAAGCTGAAACACGATAAAACAAAGAAAAAAATTATTAATAACATGAAATATAAATATATTTTTGCTGCAACTTCTTGATCTAAAAAGTGTAATTGAATATTTGAAGAGTAACATTTAACAGTTTGCACAATTATCACAATAATATTCAGCATATAGGACCAAAACTAACCTTGAAAATTAATTTCCATCGTAGATTCACAACGATGGCTATCACCGGCTTAGTGCCAGGCAAACAGTATGAGTTCAGAGTGTACGCTGAGAACATCTACGGCCGTTCTGAGCCAAGCGAACCAACGTCCCTTGCACAGACCAAGGCGGTCGTTAAGAAGGAGTTCAAGAAGAAGGAATATCCAGGTATATATACATCGCCAAATTTCTTGAGCATCGACCATAGACAAGGTAGCGTGCACCAGCCATTTCACATGCACAGACGTCTACTGCGCAAGTTTAGTTATCTGTGGTTTTGTTCAAGAACTTTGCCGCTACCTATGCGTCTGTCTCACTTTTATATTTTCGGTCTTAGTAAAAGAAGAAATCGTTGTTGTTTTGGTTGAAAAAATACAAACTCACATTGAGATAAGAGAGAAGAGGTGAGTGTGAGAGAGAGGTGAAAAAATGTTGATTATGCGATTTATTCATTTTTAGTTTATATAAAAAAAATATACGAGGAGCTGGCGAACAAAACGGTGTAATTACATACAATTAAATTTTATAGGAGCTGTGTAAAACTAAATGATATCCTTACAGTGAGCTTTTGGCGTGGTTTTTAATTTATAAATTTAGTAATTTTAACAATATTTTAGGCGATTTTGATTGATTGAAATTTATTTGAGATTTAAATAGAACGGGCCTGAAACCTCCGGACTGTAAAAAAAAATAAAGTTTGACCAGATGCGTAATTATACCGTTTTGTTCGCCAGCTCCTCGTATATTACATACACATTGTAAAAGAATCTTAGTTGCGTGTTTTTGATGTCCACAACGAAATGTATTTAGCAACTTTTATTTAATCCAAACAATGTTATGTAAATTAATTAGCTGCCTTTTACAAATTGGTACAGCTCTTTTTATATGATCACTGACAATCTGAATCCTCGTCACCGACAGAAACACAACACCACCAAAAGGTTACTTTCCCCAAGGTCTTCATACAACCAATAGTTGTATGAATTTAATGGGTTCCGACGAATGTCTTGTTGTCTATTTTATAATTTACACGTTTTATTCCCTCTACAGTGGACGAAACAGGCAAACGCATCCGCACCAACGCAGACCACGGCCCCGTCAAAGACTACGACAGTTACGTATTCGACATCTACAGCAAATTTGTCCCGCAACCTGTGGACATTAGAACGTGCTCCGTTTACGACAAATACGACATTCTCGAGGAGATTGGTGAGTAGTTCATCTTATTCTTATAGTGTTAGAGTTCAGTTTAGCTTGTAAGGTCAAATTTTGCATGGAGATTGCCTTATTCAAAAACGGGGACTAAAGTTAGCCGTAGTTTAGACCTAATGCTCTCTATGTCTTCTTTTTAGCAAACAAAAGTGACAGATTTCAATCCCGGTTTAACTTAAGTCAACGTTTTGTAATGAGGCGGTTGTGTTACAAGTTTTAAAAAGGTCAAAGTTGGCAAAGGAGATTTGGAGGGGAATCATAGAAGTTTAGTATATAGTAGCTTAAGTAAAACACTTTAAGTAAATAAAGAATTAATCAAATCACATGTTTATAGAGTAAAATTGCCCAAAATATATTATTTTAAAAAATAGCAGTTTCAGACTGCTAACTTATAATTAAACGACAAAAACGTAGTAGAATTATACCTAAACTCCTGTTTTTGTGTGTGATGAGACTTTGTCTTATCATGACACCGTCAAATATTGAAACTGCATGACTCTTGGTAGTTTTTAGATTTGAGTTGACAATACGCTTATTGCAATAAATTATGTTCAGTGAAAAATAAGAAATGTTTGCCACTAGATTTGAAAATGCTTTTTCAATTACTCTCAAAGTATTCTAGCGGTGACATGCTAAATAAATTACAGACTTTAATCCTAACAGATGAAAAAAAAGGAAAAAAATAGCATGTTAATAAATGTAGATTTATAATAAAACTGACTCACGAAGTTACTTACGGAAGCATCGTATTATGAATTTGGTCCATTTCATAAAGATATTTTACGTACTTATTGCAGTAATTTTGCTTGGAATATTTACGGCAATCAATTTCAAGTGACAGCTTTGTAACATTAATTGAAATAAAGATAATTGACTTACAAGAAAACGAAAATCATGTTTCAGCATTATTTTTATAGAAACATTTACGACGCATGTCTCTTTACTAACATAGAATTGGATTTGTATTTATTCTAACACATAATGCATGAAATGGACCAAGAAGATAGACATTTGAATAACATAGCCACACTAACCATAGAGCATTTTGACCCTAAATACTGGTACATTTAAAGATGAATTTCGCAGGTGACTTCGTGAGGGCCTCGACTAAAAGGAAACGCGCCGGAGGTCTGTGTGTGAATAGATCGATGTAGTGCATCTCGCTCTGTCTGCATCTCTCTGTCTCACACGCATACTTTATATGAATATTTATGAGACGCATGCTGCAATGATCTCAATATTATAATTTTCATATTGCGTAGATTTTGGTCACTGAATTTTGTTGATTTCAGAGATTTTGATAGAAAACATTTCAAACCGCAAATAGTTTTACTTAACTAAATGATGATTGAAAAAAAAACTGGTTTGATTTGTTTGAAGTAATCTCTTGTACTTAAAAGTTATAATTATATATGATATTATAAGCACACTAAAACATTTTTATTTACACTTGAAATTCTAGTAGGTATGCACGTTGTTAGCTTATAAACAATATGCATTTTTAGTTTATTTTATTTATACACTATCTTAACGGGAATGAGCGTCTTCGTAGCTATAATATATCTGCAAGTTAGTTTTACAAATATTAATAATGTCTTCAATAAAATTGAAACTCCAATTTTATAAATTATTTTTTCTTTTTCGAGCCGAGTCTGCTAGTAAAACTAGTTATCTCCAAAAAATATTTAGTTGAAAACAATAGCATGAAAAGTGCATGTAGTTCAATCAAACATTAAATTAATTATCCCTAAGCTCTTATTTGAATTATAGTATTTTGAGAAAGCCTCAGAACTGAACAAAATTGGAGACATATAATTGATTTACACTTTTTTTGAGAAACCCGTAAAACAAGTACAATAATGAAGACATAACAATTCAATACTCTCGATGCTGATTTAGCCAATCTAGTTGCAACCTTATAGACCTGGGAATAGAGAATAAAAACTCAGATGCATGAGGTACATTCCACTGTTGTAGGCACAGGCGCGTTCGGAGTGGTGCATAGATGTCGCGAGCGTGCCACCGGCAACTATTACGCGGCTAAGTTCATACCGGTCTCCGGTGCTATGGAGAAGGAGCTAATAAAGAAGGAGATAGACATAATGAACCAGCTCCACCACAGGAAGCTGATCAATCTGCACGACGCTTTCGAAGATGACGACGAGATGGTGCTGATATTCGAATTGTGAGTATTTTCCTGTTGTTCAATTGGGTTAATTCACATTGCATTAACTAGGTGCTATTTTTAGTAATGTTAAATTCTTTCTTTGGTATTTCCTTACTGAGAAATCTCTCAATTATTTACCATTTAGTCGCTCGTATTTGCAGGTCACAATTTCAGTTATTTACCTGTTCCTTGAATATTGCCAATGAAAATCTTATCCCATTTGTATACAGCTTCAATTATAAGGCTTACAAAGCACTTGATAACTAGTGAGAGACTGATTTGTAACAGTTCATCCTTTCGCGCTCTTAATTCTTTATTTCTCTCGATCTTTTATATTCTTTCATTCTCATAAAGTTTAAAGCTCGATCAAAGTTAATGCAAACATATCTATTTCATTCCTAGCTTATCCGGTGGTGAATTGTTCGAACGCATCACGGAACCCGGATACAACATGAGTGAAGCCGAAGCCGCGCACTACATGAGACAGATATGCGAGGGAGTGAGACATATGCACGAACAGAACATCATCCATCTCGACCTCAAGCCCGAGAACGTCATGTGCCAGACAAGGACGGGCACTGACGTTAAGGTGAGATAGAGTACATATAATAACCTTTCCCGAAACAATATTACTAAATGCTTGGTATAAGGCTAGAAGCTTTTTCGGATGACGAGTAATTTACTAAAAGAGATAGATAGATAAATTCTTTATTGCACTCTCACACAAAAGAATACAAAAAAAAGTTATCAATAACATAATGAGGTTAGCGCAAAAAAAACTCTATGGATAGAATGGAATAGAATCGTATCGGGAGACCTGTTTACTAGACCTTGAATATACTGAGGAATTGGTAGGCGTAACATTTTTTTTATAAAACCTAAGTACATCGCATTACTCTCTCTGATCTCCGACCATCTTCTCGTTTAAGTCTAAAGTCAAAGATCATTTTCTCAAACAGAAATCTCAAACTTAATGAATCATTCTCACGAAGTATCTTGTTTCTTATTAGTATTAATTTATCAGGCTTATATGTATGTTATGTATATTTAGATAGGTATTGTATTTATCTATGTATATTTATGCAAGTTTATTTATGTAGGTATATGTATTGTATAATGTGTATAGTGTATATATATATATATATATACAACTATTATTTATTAAGTCTATTTCCTATAACAGTAGTAATAAATTATTTTTAGTTTAATTTTTATTGCACTTTCTGTTTCCCGCTAAGTTTTGAATCTCCGACACCACCTAGGTTGGCTGGAAGAGATCTCTTTTAGAGATAAGCCCACCTTTGCTTACTATGTATTTGACTATATGTTTTAAACTGCATGATGCAATAAAGAGTATAATAATAATGTGGGCAAAGGCGGCCCTATCGCTTTAAGCGATCTCTTGCAGACAACCTTTGCGGTAAAAGATAGCTGAACGACGAGGAAGTTTTAGTATGCCAGCAAGATAAAATAAAGAAATATACATATTGTCTTGAACATATAAAGATTATAAACAAATAAATAACATATACCTACACAAATATATACACATGCATTATTATATATTTATAGATACTTATATTTTAAACAGCTACTGCTCTTAACGTAGGAATTTTCGCCGAGTAGGTTAGTGAAGTGAAATGAAATTATGCTTTATTCAAATTGAAAGCTCTTTCGAATCGTCAAAATATATTTTCCTACCACCCAGTAAACGAGGGAGCCTAATTTGTACTGCACTAGTATTTTCGCCAATTGTCGAGTTTTTTAGCAATTCAATATGTAAGAGTAGTAGATTACTTCAGTAAATAAGTAAGTCGTGTCGGTCCAATGTGAAAGAAGCACTATATTTCGAGAACTATTATATAGGTCTCGCACCACCATAAGCACCATATTTCGAGACCTATTATTAGATATTTCAAGAACTTTTACCCAGCTGTATCAGAGAAGCACCATATAGGTTTACATTGATATAGCTGGGTAAAAGTTTTAGCTTTCATACAACGGCGCTACCAGTTATTTATTGTTAACTTTTTGGCTGAACTGCCATGAAAAAGGTATAAACACGGAACTAGCCTTGGTATGCCAGCGCAATTAGCGCCAACCACAGCATCAATCCAAATCTGTCAGACCAAAACTCTATAGCTATAAACGTTTTTAAGTACATCTCGACAAATCACCGTACTACACACGTCGTACTACACTACGTAGTCTACATAAGGTTTAATTTGGCTAATTCACCAATTCATTTCGTAGATCATCGACTTCGGATTAGCCACAAAACTGGACCCCAACGAAGTGGTGAAGATTTCCACGGGCACTGCTGAGTTTGCGGCGCCAGAGATCGTTGAAAGGGAACCAGTTGGTTTCTATACTGATATGTGGGCTGTGGGCGTATTAGGTTATGTGCTGTAAGTATAATATTATGTTTAGTGACTTCTTATTATAAACTTTTATTGCATTTTCGTATAGGTTGTATGTGGCTCTTTATATTTGTCTAGTTACTAACAAGAATCAGGTTAGAGTATAACAATACGCATTAGGATTAGATAAAAAAAAATATTAAAAAATGGAACCTCGATTGATCTGTTCTCCGATAACTAACTGCCTACTTGTCCTGGATTCGATTCAACTCAAAATAATGTAGAAATAGAACTTTTCTTTCTTATTTCGGGTCTTGTTCCTTCACTGCCTATTTTAGATTAGCACCAAGTGCATGCAAAGTATAAAATGTTGTCCAATATTCAATTTCATATTGATGGAGGGAAGGTGGACCATGCTAAATCCAATTCTACTGTCTCCTGTCTGAATATCTCCTGGAAATATAGATCCAACTCGAAACCTACCTGAATAAATGCCAAGATCCTACCGAGGTTATCTGAACTCTTTATAATAAATAGGCAGAACCCCCTCTGAAAAACATGTAGTATAGTGAAATATACTTCCTACTTAATTCTAATAAAATCTCTTACCAACAGCCTCTCCGGACTATCACCGTTCGCGGGTAACAACGACATTGAAACTCTGAAGAACGTGAAAGCCTGCGACTGGGAGTTCGATGAAGAAGCCTTCCAGCATGTTTCTGATGACGCCAAGGACTTCATCAGGAGGCTACTTGTCAAGAACAAGGAGTGAGTTTACAATGATTATTTATTTTATTTCAGGAAATTTGGAGATTATTCCCCGGACTTCTAAGTCTTTTTGCGGTTTTTTTTTTCTTTTCCAACTATAAAATAATAAAAATACGTAGTGTGAAAATAACACAACTAGATTCTGAATATTTTATATATCTTTTTTAAGGAAGTTATTATGTTACCGAATACTCGAATCGCCATTATCAAAATATAAGATTTTTCTCTTCTCTTAAATTTTGGGTGATTTTTGCCCGGGACTGAGCTACTCTCGTCTCATAAAATAAAAAATCTCTAGAAAGAGTAGATACAAAGGTGCTGCCAACACCTGTATGAATGAAAGATTGGCTGTACGATCGCTGCCTCTCTTTCACTTACCTGCTCGGTTTTACTCTATTGTTGGAAAGGCAACCCTCAGTCCATTTCCAGCGCCATCTATTGAGATACAGTGAAAAGATTTTCTCTGTCTAGATATACAAATTCATGTAGATGGCACCGTTTCTCTTTTTCACAACCAACACAAGTCCACTTCTAAATTTAAAAATAGTTCCTAGCTATAATTAACTAACTTATTGTAAATTAATAATATTAATGTGATGAAAGTTGACATCAACACATGTTTTCAATTTGTGATGTCATCTTTCAATTGACTACACTGTATGAAAAAAAAACAGGGAGAAAAAAATAGCCCTTGCTGAGTTTCTTGCCGGTTCTTCTCAGTATAAGGTCTCCCGCCGTAGATTTACGAACCGATGGCGTAGCGTTTGACTTTCATAAGAACTTGTTACAGCCTAGACTGAATAATTGAGTTTGAATTTGAATTTGAATACTGAATAAACAATTGTTCTCATACAGAAAACGTATGACGGCTCACGAATGCTTGATGCACAAATGGCTCGCTGGCGACGCTGCCGCGGCAAGGACTGCCACTATCGAAGCGAGAAGATACGAAGCTATGCGCAACAGACTACGCGCTAGATACGATGTAAGTTTAAATCCATAAATAGATGAATAAACATCATCATTAGCCTTTTAATGTCTCCACTGCTGGGGCACAGGCGTTCCCTGTGGATGGAATACGGAGATTGGTCCATGACCCACGCAGGGTGGATTGAAGGATAATAACGCCTGCAGATGCAGCCGGGACTGATGGTTTAACATGCCTTCTGAAGCACGGAGGAGCTAAGACAATAAGTTTTTCGTCACCCATCCAATGACGGGCCATTGCGAAAGTTGCTTCACTTCAACGATCGCAAACGTAACACAGTAACCACCTGCGCTATCAAGCTCCTCCTCCTAGTTCAGATAAATAAATAAATTACATTAAAAAAGATTTATAAACGTGTTATTATATGCGTTTATGTGTGATCTTGGAGATGTCTAAGTCCAGTGGCATAGTGTGATTTAAACTTTGCGTAGAAATATTGGTTTCCCATATAAATTTTGAACTCCTGTTTTAACCCTGTAGGTAAGGTTTGGGAAATCCTTTCTTAACGCACGCCTACATCATAATAGCTTTATGTGTACCAAACTTCAGCGCAATTTGTTCAGTGGTTTGAGCTATGCATTGATTGATCAGTCTACAACGGTTTGTACTAACTAACGCCTAACACTATATAAACAGAAGATGACGGTTGTGAAGTTAGCAACGCCCGCAACTATGCACTGGTTTCAGTTCAGTGGCTTAACATCCCCGTCGCATATTAAGTATGCACTATAGTTGGCGGAAATATAAAAATCCACTTCAAAATTATAACTTTCTGACTTTATTTTTAATTATTTCTTCTTAGAACTGGTCATCGTTCAAGCTGCCCATCGGCAGGCTGAGCGAATACAGCTCGCTACGCAAACTTCTCATCGAGAAGTGGAAGATCTACGATGGACAGTTCGGTAAGTGATCTCTTTATCTACATTTGTTTAATCAGTCTATTTACAACTTAGAAACACTTTCTATGCTAACAATATGTAACTTACTGAAAGAATATACATATCCTTAACAAAATTTAAACTAATAAAAAATACATTTAAATTTTCACCTGCTAGGTTTTTATCTCTTAATAGAGACGTATTAACTCTAGGGCCAAAAGAGGCCATGGCTATATCGCCAGATTTCGAAGAGTTCGCCCTTGTGTTTTCTAAAGGTGCTGGTTCGAATCCAATTTTACAATAATAAACACAATAACCGTCTTATTACATAAACGTAGACTAAAGTAAAACCTAAAACTAAAATCTATGCTGTCACTTTTGTTTGCTAAAAACATGACAGAGACAACATTAGGTTTCAACCAAGACTAATTTTAGTCCGCGTTTTGGAATAAGGCGGTAGGTAGGAGTATTACATGCATTCACTTTTTTAGATGAATACTTAAGGATAGGTTTTCCCCAACAAATAGATTTTTAGGGTATAAAGGAATTTTCAATAAACTATTAACGACTAATACTCTTAAAGTTACAAATCTATCCTTACCATTATAGTTTTCCTTAACGCTTCAAGGAAAGTACTATTACTACGATTCTTTCCAAAAGTTTGGTTTTTTGAGGGGATGGGGGAGGGGAGGGGGGGGGAGCGCTGCTCGAACAAATATATATGTGAAGATCATTTTATTTTTCCCCCTCGTCTGCCACTTGAACCAATATGCCTCATTATCGGACTAATAATGGCGCCACTGGATGGAATAAGCAGAGTGTGCCTTGACCCACCATGCGGACGCAGTGCAGATTGGTGGGTGCTAATGACTGCAAATGCAGCCGGGACCAACAGCTTAACGTGCTTTCCGAAGCACGAAGGAGCTTGGTATAGAAAAATTTTGGTCACCCATCCGATGACTGACCACTAAATTCATCAATGGCAGCCTAACACGCTTACTTTTTCTCGAACCAATATGACCTGTGCTGGCTAAATTAACTAGCCACTCCACAGACCAGATAATTAACAGTTTCGGTGTTTTATCTCACCAACAGACCGTCGTCAAGCTGCACCGCGTTTCGTGATCAAACCACAATCTGCATTCTGCTACGAAGGACAATCTGTCAAATTGTACTGTCGCATCATCGCATGTGCCACGCCTACTGTCACCTGGTCAAGGAACAACCACGAACTTCGCCAGTCTGTCAAGTTTATGAAACGGTATGATAATATATTTATCTATATACATATAACTATTTACTACGAAGGATAACCGTCAAATTGTCGCTTTACTCACTGCGCCAGTCTGTGAAATTCATGAAACGGTATATTAATATATCTACCTATCTATATACATATAACTATCTGGTACGAAGGATTATCCGTCAAATTGTACTGTCGCATCATCGCCTATGTCACGCCTACTATCACCAGATCAAGGAACCACCACGAACATCGCCAGTCTGCAAAATTCATGAAACACTATAATAATTTTATACAAATACAGTGGAAACTCGATTGACTATATTATCAGAATTTATTAGCAAGTAAAAATTGCCCTAAAAGGCCCTGAATGTTGTCGATGGCAGAAACTATGAATAATAACGATTTGGTTATGATTAGCCCCCGATAATTTTTCAGTAATGTTTATATTGATATACTTATATAAAATGTTGTAATATAGGCATAGAGGTGGATTGAATCTTGATGAAGAACAATAATAACCTTTGGCCGCGATAATAAAACTTCTGTGGTTTCTATGCGAAACTAGTTACCCTTATGAAGTCGCAAAGACCAGCTAGTCACACTAATATTATAAAGGCGAAAGTTTGTGAGTGTGTGAGTATGTGAGTGTGTATGTTTGTTACTTCTTCACGTCTAAAAGGCTGGAGCGATTTTAATAAAATTTGGTATGGAGTTAGCTGACACCCTAAATTAACACATAGGCTACTTTTATCCCGAAAAATGTTAGATTCCAGAGGGATTTTCAAGAAACTAAGTTAACGTAGACGAAGTCGCGGGTGACCTCTAGTATAATATAAAACACAGACATTAACAGATTACGAATCGGTTTTGAATTTGTATCTATACACATCTTCTTGTATGTATCCACACAAAATTCAAAATTATTTTAGAAAATGGGATGTTTGTGTGCAGAATCAGAAGTATAGGCAACTTGTTTTTGGTTTTCACGTAACAAACTCATTTTATAATTTGTTTGCACAGATACGCGGGCGATGATTACTACTTCATAATAAACCGCGCTAAACTGGAAGACCGCGGCGAGTACATAATTCGCGCTGAGAACCACTATGGATTCAGGGAAGAGGTCGTGTTCCTAAACGTACAACGTAAGTATTTCAATATTTTGTACATAGATGTGATGTACATGAAACGAAAATCTTTATTAGACAACCATGAAAAAGACTTCACAAATAATAAAAAAGGAGAACACATAATATATGACATAAAAAGGGTAATCTTTAACGCTCCTTCAGCTCGATGAAGCTTTATGCTAAAATTAACGTTCGAAATTTGGATTAGACCTATCGTTTAAGCATTTGTCTATTCTTCATGACTATAATACGTACATAGTATCCAAAACTGTAAATTTTTTCCATGTGACTTTACGTTTATTATCCAGCTTGTTGTACTATTCTTATTTAATTGAGATAAACTATTTTGGTAACTTGATGTGTTTAACTTATAAAATAATACATTTTGATTTAGGGTTTACTTGAATATCAGTGTCGTTAACGACACAATCGATTTCTTTCAAAAATATGGAATTAAAAATGGCGGTTGGTGTACTATCAATACATGCAAATCTCATAGCAAATATGTTATAGTCTAGTAATAAAAAAATGTTATTTAAAATACATAGTTTAAATAAAATTATAGGTTCTGGAAGAATTATAGATTACTCATTCTAGGATTTTACCCGATGTTGTATTTAAAAATAAAATTAACTTCAATACGCAGTCGTAAACAAAGATGCTGCACAAACTTTAATGACCGTTCGTTGGCATCTGTGTAGAACTGCACTAGAAATAGCTCAGTCACAATACAATTAGGTCAAGTAATTAGTTCTATTTCTGCTATAGTTGAAGGTGTAATATCAATAGATCTAATTGTGACACATACCTGTGTCTTTTAAGATTAGTCGCGGTGTTAATACAAGTGTTTATAAGACGATTTGTGAACTTAAATATTTGGCGATAAAGTTTAGTTTTGAAAGTGCTTGTGAGTGGAAGTCGAGTGAAAAATACTTGCTGACGGTTAGGGTCAGTGTTTTTTAGTCTTAAAATTGGTTAAAGCTGTTTATGTGAACGGAATATGTTACATTCGTCTATTTACTATTTACAAGTGATTATGATTCTTTTGCACGTGATACTAAACTAAAATAAACACAAATGTTTAATGAAAAAACACATAGTATCAGTAAACATTATTAGGATTTTTTTTAAAAAAAAACAATGACATTCCTTCTTATTATATTAGGGCACATCATTCGGGTATCTCACTCTATTGGCGAAAAGTTTACAAAGTTAGTTTTTACTCAAAAAACATAATTTCCTGTGGTTGGTATGACAGACTGAGAGAAGAGTGGGGCAGAATTTTCTAATAATCGAAACCATAGTATAATAGTTAATTATACTAGTTATAGTATGGAGTCAGTCGTCTTATAAATTGCAAATAACAATTTCATACTCATTTTTTCTTTTTTCTACCCCACCAGCGGTACCTAAAGTGCAACGCCAGCACGTACCAGAAGCGCCGCGTAGACGCGAGGCACTTCCATACACATTCTGGCAGGAATCCAGCGAGACGGCGCCTGCGTTTACTTTCCAATTGCGGCCGCGCGTAATGCAGGCCCGCGACACTTGCAAGTTGCTATGCTGTCTCAGTGGAAAACCCACGCCTACTGTCAAGTGGTAAGAAAACCCTCCAGGCTTTATAGAAGCTGTGAAGTTAGTCTATAATGGCAGGAATCCAGCGAGACGGTGCCTGCGTTCACTTTTCAATTGCGGCCGCGCGTCATGCAGGCCCGCGACACCTGCAAGTTGCTATGTTGTCTTAGTGGAAAACCCACGCATACTGTCAAGTGGTAAGAAAACTCTCCAGGCTTTATAGCAGCTGTGAAGTTAGTCTATAATGGCAGGAATCCAGGGAGACGGCGCCTGCGTTCACTTTCCAATTGCGGCCGCGCGTCATGCAGTCCCGCGACACCTGCAAGTTGCTATGTTGTCCAGTAGTATTGTGTTCTAACACTGAGCAAGTTTACTTAGAACTAAGGGTAAGTTTTATTATGCCAAGCTGGGCAACATGTAAAATAGTAACGTGCCTCGCTAGTTATTGACAATTAATGTTTCACTATTAAGTATTGTTTTGTATACATAAAACAGCACTAACTACGCTCCTTTTTTGCTAGCGGTACTCTCATAATAAAGGTAACCACATAAAACCAGCAGTCTCTAACCGTTGTCGGATACAAATGTAGAATGTAAATGTCTTTTCGTTATCACAAATCTATGCAATTTGATAAACAAGATACGGGTAATATCCCAGTCAATATATAAACTGTTTTCTTGCCGTTTTTTCTATCATTTCACTCAATACCAACAGGTACAAGGACAGAAAGGAGTTATCCAAATACGATTATTCGATGACGCATTCGGACGGTGTGGTTACCATGGAGATAGTGGACTGCCGGCCGGAGGACAGCGGCAAGTACACATGCGTCGCTACCAACGTGCATGGAACGGATGAAACCTCCTGCGTCGTTATTGTGGAAGGTAAAAATAATTATATTAAATATAATAACTTTATTGCTTAAAAACTGTGTACAATTTTGCAGTTGGAATTGCAATAATAAACAAAGTCACCACAGTGTGCCCACAATGGACGTGCAATGGTAAAATTTATAACTTAAAACTATCTTCAATTAACTACATTTTAGAGCCTTAATTATATTTAATTTTACAAGTGTTATTCATCAAGACTATAGAAGACATTATTTAGTAACTAGCCTTTTAACTTAAATTTAAACAGTGTACTTACTATCTACTTAAGACTCGCTGGATCAATGTATGAAATGAAATTTTAACTACACCAGCTCGGAAAGTGCTTAACAGTCAATGTCCGGATTTCACACATTCTTTTCGTTTACTCCATAGGTGAAGTGGTATCACCCGAGCAAGCTGCTCTCGCGCACAACTTCTTGCATTCGGGCGATCGACGCTACATCGAGAAACCGCTGAAACCCGCACCACCACCTATCATCACCAAGACTAAGGTAACAACATAACAGTAACTACTTTTTTTTTATAGCCTAGTAGTCAAATGACTCTACCCCACCTGATGTAAGATATAACTTCATAATACAGGCAGTCCTCGACTTACGTCGTTTCGATTTACGTTGTTTCAAGTTACGTCGAACAATGTTTTGACACTATTGCTCAAGCATACGTCAATTGTTTCGATTTCCGGCATAGGAGAATTCACTTGTCGCAAGATCAATGCCCGTGGGGCCGGCGTTCGTGGGGATGTCTCGACTTACTTTGTTTAGATTTACGTCACCTATTTCGAAAACCTAACATGACGTAAGTACGAGGTCTGCCTGAAGTCGCAATAACTACACCTTCGGACACATCTATCGGCCCACCTAGTATTTTAAATGTAGACGGTCCGTAGCTATACACCAAGCAAAAAGTTTTTATGCATTTTTGAAGCTGATGTATTAATCATTTTTTCGTCTGTTTTAAAAATATATTATTATTGCTCAACCTAACAAATAATTTGGTTACAGACCGTTGAAACTTATAACACTAAGTGGGCCGTTAGTGATTTGTCCGAAACTTAGATTACAACAAATAGGGAAGATACGGTACGTCCATACTAGCACCAAATAAAATATGATCCGATTCAACTACATAAGCAACTCTCACACACTTCTGTAAATAAAAATTCAACAAACAAGTTAATTTTTCTTTATCCAGCAAGCTAGCAGATAAATATATTTCATACAATGTGTAAAGCAATAAATATAAGTTCCAAGAATAGACTAGAAGATCCATCATCACTATCAGTTAGTTAAAGTGCAATTTTTAAATTCATTAGTTAAGACTGCACCTCAAACTTTGTAACTGCATATTTTTTGCTATCAACAGTTTTTCGAAAAGAAATTAATGCTGGGTCTTTTCACGATGACGATAACTTTGATCATTTCTGGTTTGAAAAAGGGAATATTCTATACTATCTTGTTTAATAACTTACGTAATTCGTATTTATTCATATAAAAAACATCCATAGGTTACTATCGACCCACCTGCGAAGTCACACGCTGCGCCAAGACCGAAGTACTCACCACAGAGCTCGGTGGAAGCCAGCAAGAAGAAGTACGGAGCCAAACTAGATTCTGACACGTCTTCTAGATCTAGAAGCGCTACTAAGGAACTAGTCTGTGAGTATTTATTATTTATTTATTAACATTAAAGCGAACTAGCCTACCTGTAGTTAACATTTCAATTAGATGATTTCTTTATGAACTGATTTAGTTTTAGCTTTTTGACTTTAAGGTTTACTTGCAGTAATTTAGCTAAATCTCGATTCTACTAAAACTAGATATATCCCATAGAAAAATGTAAAACGTCAATGTTATATTAACATTATTGAATGGACTATATTTAGTTTTAGTAAAATTGAAATTTAACGATATCGCTGCAAGTGCACTTTAATGTAAAAGTGACATGCTCTCAGAATAGTAAAATATCTGCTAATAAGGGTATTTGACAGTGTTAAAAATAAAGTGCCAATTGTTAGCCTCTGTGTTTATAATGAATGTTGACAGGGGTTTTTACTATTTTTACTAAAAAAATATTCATAATTTTACTAAAAATTAACGAAAAAGATAATAGTTTCTTATCTATTGTCACGTGACCCAAAACGCTTGGGATTGGCGGAGCCTAAAATGACGTTACACGCAAGTAAACTTCCGGTTAAAGTGACATTACATTGTATCGGTTGACGTATTAATAACAGTTGTGTGACGTCACACACTAGTAAGACGCCATATTGCCCAGAGAAACGTTTTCGCGGCAACTTGAAAATGGAGTTTTTGATTTGGTTATTTTTACTGAAATACACAACTGAATGATGAAGATCCACTTTTTACGGACTCCATAAACATTAGTAAATAACGTGAGATCGTTTTCTAAAACTTGTCAAATATCCTATTGGTAATTTTTGACATACTATCAAATACCCTATTGGATCTTTTCTATTCATCAATTTTATTTATTTATTTTAACTTCATTGCCACAATTAAAAAATAGACAAAAGGCGGGCTTAACACTAAAAGCATTCTCTGCCAGCCAACTTTAGGCATAAAGGAACCCACGAATGCGGTTATAATACAAAAAAGTGATTTACTATAAACATACACCAATAAAAGTAACTACATAAATATTTATTTAAAAAAAATAAACATACATGTATAGAATACATTTAAATATATATGCACAATATCTAAAATTATAAGAAATAAAGCCTAAGCTTAAACGTACCATCGTTTGTCCAGTGCCCGCGTCAGACTCCACTATGTGTGGGCCTTCGTTCGCGAGGGCCCTTCCAGACGTTCTCACTGCTAAGGACGGCACGCCCCTACTACTGTCGTGTTCAGTTAGAGGCGACCCCGACCCGAGGGTAGAGTGGTACAAGAACGGGAAACCACTTCATTCTTCCGAGGTAAGAAATACGATATGACATGATACAACTCATTTATTAATTGATTCATTCATAACACATTAAACGGAGGGTACAGTGGTACAAGAACGGGTAAAGCACTTTATTCATCCGAGGTAAGGAATACGATATGACATGATACAACTCATTTATTAATTGATTCATTCATAACACATTAAACGGAGGGTACAGTGCTACAAGAACGGGTAAAGCACTTTATTTATTCGATGTAAGGAATACGATATGACATGATACAACTCATTTTGTAAATTTATTAATTCATAACACATAAAACGGAGGATACAGTCGTACAAGAACGGGAAATCACTTCATTCATCCGATGCAAGGAATACGATATGACATGATACATGTCAATCGATAAATTTATTTATTCGTAATACATAAAACCTAGAGTATAGTGGTACAAGAACGGAAAAACACTGCAATCTTCCCAGGTAAGTAATAAGTAAAACTATTGATGACACTTATTACAACTACACAATACTTTATCATTCATAATACAAAAAATGCCGAGTATTGAGAGCAAGAACGAAAAACCCATGTGGTAATTATCACAATACAAATTGTTCATTCGTTCATTCTCAGCATAACATTCATTTATAGCGCAGTAAACAAAGGGTGTCAAAGTTACTTATTGTCGTGTAATATTCGAAACAATCTTCTTAGGTGAATGACACGAACCAAATCGATCCATCATTAATTTACGCTGTTTTCCTTATTTCATAAAACAAAAGCAATATGCGAATATAACCAAAGTAAAATTTAAATAACAAATACCCTAATCTTTAACAGGTTGTGGATCTGAAATACAAGAACGGCGTAGCTTCGCTGGCGATCAGCGAGATATTCCCCGAGGACGAAGGCGAATACTCCCTGAAGGCCATCAACAGCCAAGGCGAGGTGGAGACCAAGTGCAAGGTCACCGTTAAACGTAAGTATATTATTAGTTATCATTACGGTTTTTTAAGTGAAACTTCATGTAAATCCTCCTATGGCAAAGATGAAACGGAAATGCCTCACACGATTTTACTATGCTCAAGACTAGATCAATCACTGAGAATTTTTCTATAATACGGGCCTAAGACTCGCTCGTTTTTTTTTCTAATTATCGGCTATTATAATTAGTTTTATTTGGTTGTCATCAGCCATGGATACCGGCGCAGCTGCGACCGGCAGCAAGTCTGGCGACAAACCGCCCAGGATCGTGGACCACGCCAAGTCGCAGGTCGTCAATGATGGCGACGCTGTCACGCTGTCATGCAGGTAATTATAACATATCACTAGAAATATATTGGAGTTTTTGGCGGGATTTATCGTATGCGGTTGGCGTCTTATTTTAATTATTCTTTAATTAGTTCAATAGTGGATATTGTGGAATAAAATTGGTGAGATTTTGTGTTACAACCGTCTGTGCAACTGAAGAATTGATGGAATTTTTATAATATACGCTATTCCGGTCAAGTGGACGTGAGAACTTTATTGTAGTGTTGACTACCTCACAGAAGCTTATCGAACTAGCCCACTCGATACATTTCGTGCCAAACACTCCAAGAAACATGTAAAAAAAATAAGATCAATTTAACTAAGACTAGGCTTTATGGGCATGTTCCCTTTGCCTTCCCTAAAAAGGGAGAATCTTGTAAGAAAAATAACAGAGATATGTTTTTTTTAAGCATGTAACAACTACTTGTTTACATCTAAAAAAATTTGAATTCACTTGGATAGCAAAGGGTGTGGTTTCAAGTCCCGTCCGTTGCCTGCTATTTCTTCTTTCAAATGTTTAATATTTCCAACTATTCAATTCATACAAAAGTGCATCAGCTAATCGACCGAAATGTATGAAACAGCTGTTTTTTTTTTCGTGATTTCAGAAATGGTCCCATAATAAAAGTTGTTCCTTTTGATGGGTAGAATCACCCTCTAAGAGGTTGTTGTTGTTTTAAAATTAACCGTATATATGTAATTGAAAATAATATAAGTTTCCCCAGGATCGTCGGAGCCGAGAGATTCGACGTGGTATGGCTCCACAACAACAAGGAGATCAAGCCGTCCAAGGACTTCCAGTACTCCAGCGAGGCCAACATACACAAGTTGCTCATCTCTGAGATATTCCCAGAAGATGCCGGTACGTATATCTTGGTGTAAATAGAAAATAATAGGCTAGTGGACCCTTTTTGGAAAAAGGTTTTGAATAGTTAATAAATGTTCTATTAGACCGAAAAAAATGTATTGTATGTTTTTGAGACCTAGAAATCTATAAATCTTTAATTTTAAAGTAGACTTTTCATGGACATACAAAAACGCTATTGGCCATTTTAGTCTATAGATTATCTTTGCTATGACGTTAACCGGTAGTAAATAAAAACTCGTAAGCACGAAAAAATAACCTATCTGAGTTTATAATAAAAAAAACATGATTTCTAATAAATAATACGAAAAATATAGTGATTATCATTATTGTATTGTACGAGAATGTAAAAACACATCCTTGAAGACTCCAAGAAAGTTGTGGATTAAAGTGCCGAAAGAAATTAACCTACGCAAAACCTGGTTAGAACTTGCTAAAAGGGATCCTGCAACTTTATCGACTCATAGTAAAATTTATTTTTGCGAAGATCACTTTGATGCAAGTAAGTACTCATTGAATAATATTTTAAGTCTCTTCATTTATTACCAGTTTAAATAATACAAGTTTTAAGATTATGTATGGATGACATTTAGTTGTTTACTACCAAAGAGACGTCACAATCATGGCGGATGTAGCGAACAGCGTTTTTAGTGTTTAATAAGTATAGACTAAAAAATACTTTTTTAAATTAAATTTCTACAGCAATCTTCTGCTTTTATGAAGTGAAATCGATATATATAGGTTCCTTCGACTCAACTAGCCTATTCTTTTCAAAATCAGATAAGATTTACAGAAAATAATTTCTTTTCAAAACCAAAAAAGATTTACACTACATTTTATTTAGGTCTTCTATTAGTTATGAAAATACATATATAATAATCACACTAATATTATAAAGGCGAAAGTTTGTGAGTGTGCGAGTGTGTATGTTTTTCACTTTTTCACGTCTAACGGCGGAGCGATTTTAATAAAATTTGGTATGGCGTTAGCTGACACTCTGGATTAACACATAGGCTACGTTTTACTAGGGGAAAATATCCCTAATAAACGGCGGGTAACACCGCGGGGCACATCTCATCATCATCATCATCATTTCAGCCGAAAGACGTCCACTGTTGGACATAGGCCTCCCCCATGGATTTCCACAACGATCGATCCCATGCTGCCCGCATCCAGCGGCTTCCCGCGACCTTTACCAGATCGTCGGTCCACCTTGTGGGGGGCCTGCCAACACTGCGTTTCCTTGGACCTTTCCGCCCCAACGGCCATCGGTCCTGCGAGCAATGTGCCCTGCCCATTGCCACTTAAGGTTTGCAATTCTGTGGGCTATGTCGGTGACTTTAGTTCTCTTGCGTATCTCCTCATTTCTGATTCGATCACGCAGAGAAACTCCGAGCATAGCCCTCTCCATTGCCCTTTGGGTGACTTTGAGCCTTCTTTTCAAGACCCATTGTAAGCGGCCACGTCTCGGTTCCGTATGTCATCACTGGCAACACGCACGAATTGAAGACTTTCGTCTTGAGGCACTGCGGTAGATGTTCCGAGAAGATGCTACGTAGCTTCCCGAACGCTGCCCAGCCGAGTTGGATTCGTCGATTAACCTCTTTCTGGAAGTTGGACTTACCCAGTTGGACTATTTGTCCCAGGTATACGTACTGGTCAACAACTTCCAGTGTAGAGCTCCCAACAGTCACTGGAGTGGGTACGACATGGGAATTCGACATGATTTTCGTCTTGTCCATGTTCATTTTGAGACCCACTTGTTGGGACACCCTACTGAGGTCGCCGAGCATTGTGCCAAGGTCATCCATGGTCTCAGCCATGACTACGATATCATCTGCAAATCGAAGGTGCGTCATGTACTCGCCGTTTATGTTGATGCCAAGTCCGCTCCAGTCCAAAAGTTTGAAAACGTCTTCCAGCGCAGCTGTAAACAGTTTCGGTGATATAACGTCACCCTGTCTTACACCACGCTGCAGCTGGATTGGCTTCGTGTTTTGGTCCTGGAGTCGAACTGACGTTTTCATACAACGACTGCAACACTTCGATGTATCGATAGTCTATTTGGCACCTTTGGAGTGACCGAAGCACGGCCCATGTCTCGATCGAATCGAAGGCTTTCTCGTAGTCCACAAACGCCAAGCATAATGGCAGGTTATACTCTTCGGTCTTCTGTATAACCTGCGGCAGCGTATGGATGTGGTCTACGGTACTAAACCCTTTTCGGAATCCGGCTTGTTCGGGAGGCTGGAAGTCGTCAAACCTGCGCGCGAGACGATTCGTGAGGACTCTCGAAAACAGCTTGTATACATGACTCAGGAGCGTGATGGGTCTGTAATTCTTCAATTGGGCCCTGTCGCCCTTCTTGAAGAAAAGCGCCACCACTCCCCTATGCTATGCGCTAGGCGTTTTGCCCTCGAGTATGACAGAGTTAAATAGCTTCTGAAGAGATTTCAAGACTGGTCGTCCACCTGCTTTCAGAAGCTCGGCTGTAACTCCGTCATCAGCCGGCGCCTTTTTGTTTTTGAGCTGTTTCAGAGCTACACTAATCTCGTACAGGGATATCTTCGGTGTAGTGTCGGGTTAATTTGGCTCTTGGGTCGGTCGCCTTTGTGACAGGTACTCGTGATGTCGCGTATAGCTGTCCGTAGAAGCTTTCGATCTCAGCCATAAGCTCAGGTTGCGACGAAATGATTCTGCCGTCCTCTGTCTTCAGCTTCGTCAGCAAACTCTGTCCAAGAGACAGATTTCTTGCGAACACTTTCGAGCCTTTGTTCCGCTCGATGGCCTCTTTAATACGATCAGTATTAAAGCGGCGTATGTCGCGAGTCAGAGACTTCGAAATCTGCCTATTGAGCTGCCGACGTGCATCTTCAGAGGACTGCAAACCCATCTCACGCCTTTTCTCCATGAGCTTGAGAGTCGGCTCCGAGATCTTGCTACGTTTTTTGGTACGGATGGGCTTGCAGAACTTCGAGACCACCGTAAGGACAGCTTCAACAAACCTGTCATTATAATTGTCCACGTCTACGCAGCTCTCTAGGCAATCGAAGCGATTTTGCAGTTCGAGTTGAAAGCGCTCGGGGTTTTGGATCTGGATGGCTTCAGGACGGAGCGTGGACTTCATCAGTCGATTCCTTTCGGCTTTGACATTTAGATTCAATATGCCTCTTACCATTCGGTGATCGCTTCCCGTATTGAACGAATTGATCACTGAGACATCATTGAATATCCGAGTCTTAGTCGACATGATGAAGTCAATCTCATTTTTTGTCACGCCATCCGGACTTTTCCAGGTCCATTTTCGATGCAGCCGTTTTCTGAAGAAGGAGTTCATCATAAAGAGTCCCTCCTTCTCCATGTAGTCGGCTAGCATTTGACATCGGAAGTTCCGGATTCCAACTCCAAATTGCCCCACTTTCAACTCATCATCGCCACGTTTGCCCAGCCTTGCGTTGAAGTCCCCCATGACAACGGTGTAATGGGTCCTGGAAGCATGCATTGCCCGAGAAATATCCTCATGACTTCCACTTCCTCGTCGGGGTGCGTCGAGGTCGGAGCGTATACCTGTATGACCTTCAACGAATACCGTTTGGTGATTCTGAGTATAAGGTACGCCACCCTATTCGACACACTACCGATCTGTACAACATTGTTCACGAGAGACTTGTGGACAAGAAACCCGACACCACCCTGGGACAGATCTTCGCCCTCCCGGAAATAGGTTGCTGGATTTAAGGACCATCGTGTCCTCGCCCTCTCTTCGGACTTCAGATAGTCCTACAATACTCCAGCGAATCCTGCTCAATTCTTCCTCCAGTTCCAGCAGCTTCTCCTCGGTCCGTGCGTTGTACGTTGCCAGGGCCAAGGTCGTTTGACGGGGGATTTTTGCCGCCCGGGGATTCTTCGCACCCCTGGTCCCGGCTCCGAGTCGGCGTCCGTCAGCGCCGCCACGGACTCCAGCACCGCCGGGCACCTGGGGCCTCTTATTATGTACCATCATTTTAGGGGGGTTTTGGGCCGTCTCCCACCACGCTGGCCCAGTGCGGGTTGGTGGGGAGCGCCAGAGCCTCGTCCGTTGGTCGGCAGGGTACACCGCGGGCAGGTGAGGTTGGCTTGGGTGCCGTTGGGTGTTAGGCGGCACCCCTTATACCCCCACGGGGCACATCTAGTAATATATAAATATAAAAATACGCAAACTGCAAGTTTTATCTGTTAATATTCAATATTATAATCGTGAAATGTACAATTTATGCAAAGGTTTGTTGCTTTAGTTTACTAATAAATCGAATTGGTTATTACTAACAAAATAATATAAACATCTAACATTATTAAAATTCGGTCTAAAGTTCATGTCGCTTACTTTTTTGATGAGTATGTCTGTGCTAATAATTATTTTTACTGCCTACTTTGAGATACTGATATTTACATACTAGGCGAAAAATTACCTTAAACTGGCAATTCCCAATTAATTGTCAAACTCAACTTACCATTGAAAATAGCAATGTTTCTTCCGCACTGCAGCCGTATGCTATCTCAATTTAAAGCTTTCAGTGACGGTCAAGTACTTTAACTTAGACTCCGAAGCGGTGCGTTTGTCGTACAGCGTAAGGACGATCCTTTTTTTCACACAAAACGCGCGGTGCGGCACCGCTGCAGGCCGTCAAGAAACGCATAAATTGAAAGCGCCCTAATAGCGAATCAAACGTCGCGAAATCAAACAATCGAACCAATCAGCGCTCAAACTTGAGAGCAACGACGCAATCAGAACAGTTTTGGTCAAATTATGAGCATTTGCCTCCTCCTGTGTTCCTCTTTCTGTGTTCTGTACTAACCAACCAAAGTTCAAAAAGAAATTGTCACTTATAAAAATATCTATATTATTAATAAAAAAATATCTTATTTAATCATACCCATTCGGTGTCGAGACCCTTGGTCCGTGGGGTCCTAGCGCTATAAGGCTTTTTAAAGAAATAGCGAAAAGATTAGTCGACATCACAGGAGACCGAAGAGCTGGCAGCTACCTCGGACAAAGAATTAGTGTAGGCATCCAAAGGGGGAACGCTGCCAGTATCTTCGGAACCTTGTCTAAAGGGACTCCTTTTAATAATGTATTTTAGTTATTATATTTTATTTTTTAAGGTTTTTTGTTTTAGGTTCATTATTATAGTATATTTTTTGTTTTAAGCTAGCATTAGATAATAGTATATTAAACTGTGATACTGTTCCTTCTTATTAAATGATAAAAAATAAATTATCATACCACTAACTGAATAATGTATTTTCTTGCTCCAGGAGTGTACACATGCGAAGCCTTCAATGACGCTGGCGAGTCGTTCTCGTGTTGCTCGCTAGTGGTGTTGGTACCCGGGGAAACCCCCGTCGCACCGCAATACAAGGACTTCCCCCACTCCGCCACCGTCGTCACCGCCGAGCCGGCCGTCTTCACCGCCGAGTTGGATAAGGTGATTGTGAATGTTAAGCGAGTCTTGTAATGGTCAACTCTAGGATGGGTGACCATCTGCAGCTGAGTTGGAAAAGGTCATATATAAGTACTTTGTGATGATATGTGAAAGGTTTAGTTTGCGATTTGAGAGGTTAGCTTCTTTTGCTGTGGTCAGTTTGAGGATGGTTGACCAAAATTGTATATCCGAGTCATTTGTCTGGACTATATGTACAGTCTCACCCAAAGCGCTTCCCCGAATCTCTTCATTCCGTTTAGTTTGATCCTCTCTATTGACAAATAAAATCTCTGATTCTATATTATCTCTTTAAACTGAGGTTGCTAATCTTCAAAATGACAAAGTATGAAACAGTAACTTTTATAACTTTTTCTCAGTCTATATTAGAATCCTTTTCTTATTTCCCGTGTACGCACAAAAAAGTACGCTTCAAAGCCAGTAACTAATCCGTTACGTTTGTTCCACAGCCACCACTCCAGCTCCAATGGTTGAAAGATGGCAAGCCAGTCGACGAGACATCTACCAGATACAGATTCACTATGGAAGGCACCTCCCGCTATAGGTTTGAGATTGCCAAAGCGACTGGCGACGACAGCGGCCAATACCAAGCCCGCGCCGTCGGATCCAAAGGCGATTCCTTAGCTGCCTTCTATCTCAACGTCAGTGACGCATAAATAAACCAAAACAATGGACTGACATATAAAGGGGGCCCCAAGACTGAACCTTGGGTTAACCCTAAACGAATGATTACGAATATTGAGCATAATGATTTTTATACAATTCGGAGTCTAAGTGTGTAAAGGAGTTTAATTTTTTTATATTTAAATTATTATTATTATTTATTAATTTATTAAGTAATTCTTAAGTGTTACACCCTATCAAATGCCTATGAGAAGTCGCTTGGACGGAATCCTCGCTCTCTAGTCACTGTTAACGTTTAAATGTTATTTATTTATTGTCGAATTTATCTATTACGTTATTATTTTCTCTTTTCGTTTCTTAATTTTTATATATCGTCCTGGCCTAACAGATTTTAATTGCAGCTTCCTAAAAGTTTAAGCTTGAGTTTAATCAATGTTGCGATGGGTTTTGGTCTGATCTCAGTTGATCCTCTATTGGATATTTAAGCGCCACCTTGGAATATCCCGTAGACAGATCGACGCCGATTCCGGACCATTATCTATATTAATTATTTTTATATAATTGTATTATTTAATTGTACATAATTTAATTTATATCATGTGACCGCGTAATTTATAAATAAATATGTATACCTAAAATTAATGGTGGGTTTTATTTCAATAGTATTATCATTAAAAAATAACAGCTGGTCTATCATGAGATAGGAGGTTACGCAACTACCATAATAAGCTTCACAGTCTCAATACCTTGTTAAAGGACAATGTTAAAATTGGCCTAAGAACCAACACCAATTTGGCATTTATGATAATTCTTAGTATATTTTTTGCGATAATTATCAGTATTTAGATTGTGACGGACACTTCCAGTTAATTAAGCTAAATTAAAAAGTTAAAAAATAATCTGAGACAATAAATACCATTTTATGTGTATAATCTATGGCAGCGCTGCAAACAAAACACTCTTTCTTCCTAATGTCGGCACTTCACTTGGTTATTCGTATTTGCTATTTTAAAACATGACATCAGTCAGTCCTTTTCATTCCTTACTAAGCATGACAAGGACAAACTGTTGTCAAGAGAAGGGCCGGCATAAAATTCTTTACTCTGTGGTTGTAGTGCATGCAGTTTGCATTTGTAGTAATCTGTGGCATTCGTGCATTCCAAAGAGTAGTATATAATATACCGGAAAGTGCATTCTCGTTTCGGAGTACCTGTTGTGTGTGTTTATTTGCGATTTTTTTTCCTTTAATTTAACTATTACGGTTATCTAATATGCCATCGATGTTACCAAAGAGCAGAGCCCTTATTACCAAGTGCTAGTGAACCTGCGCCACATCCTGAGAGGATCATACTACCAAATTATTCAAGAACACCTGATACACATTCACGCTGCATATTTACACAATATAATGTGATACACAAATAAATACAATAAACAATATGATACAATTAAGTGAAAAATAGTCAATAAATAAGAAGCAAAACTACAGTTTTTATTTTATTCATGATTCCTACCTAACCAAGTTTTTCCTAATAGTTATTCTTTAAAATCGCATCGAATAAAATGAATTAGTTGTAATATTAATTCACTTCATACTGAATTCATACTAAATTCATAGGTTGACCTATGTTTCATTGAATATTAAACATAACCTCAAAAAAATTTTAGTTTTCCTAATAATTTAAGTTCTCAGAAGTGTCCGTCAATAATCTTTGTTTTTACAGTCATTTACTTACGATTTTGAACCTAGAAAATAATATTTCATGATTGTTGGTTCTTAGGCTAACTATGTATGGACGCTGAACAATGTCCTTTCCTATTCAAAATTTGCATCTTGTTGTAAATAGATCTGTACTGGCTGTACTTTGTGCTGGAGTTTGAGAAGGAAGATCCAGCGTAAATTCTCCAAAAAGAAAGGCCATCTATTAGTAACTCGTCGTATAGTGTTTTACTCATTACGGCAATAAAAATATGCAAGTTTGATAGCGTAACGGCTCAATTACACTTGGTCGTTAGAACGTATTCGGGTGCACGAAGCAATATTTACACTGGAATACGGGCTGGAAGATGGATTTGGGAAACCAAAACGAAAACTACCCGAATGAGGGCGTACTCGATTCCGTTCATTTACACTTAGTCGTTTACCCGAATTCCATTGGCACTCGTATTCGGGCCAAAGATCAAATGTAAGCACCATTACACTGGCATACGGGCTGGAAGACTGACGGGTAACGAAAACAATCCGAATACGCGACTCCGTTCATTTACACTTAGTCGTTTACCCGAATTCCATTGGCACTCGTATTCGGGCTAACGACCAAGTGTAATCACGTAATAATGATAGCTATTAAAAACTTACAGCGAAGTTTAAGTAGGATTGTAGTCCAGTAAATGCACGGTTTCTCTAGCATTTCTACTAAGCAGCACCTTTTAACACCAAACCAACCAACCTTTTTGGCTGTAGGTTTTATTTACTCTTTACTTCGTAGTTGACAATGTGCCGAGGGTTGCTTTAACCCTGCGGATTTCTTTTATCTTGGGGATGAAAAATAATTTATTAAATATAATATCTATAAAGTTTAGGCAATACTTTTCAACTTGTTCGAGAGTGTAAAAATGAATTTTTTCAAATAAAAATAACGTTTTCAGGCAGTTTTTCACTCCTACTATCCCTCTTCAGCAAAGTTGGTTGGTAGTACCTGTACATGGTAGTATTAATTCACTGTGAAATGGACGTTACTACTCCAGACCTAATACAGTACAGACTAGGTACCTAAAAAGTTATATAAACTTTCACCCGTGACTTTGTCTCGATTAATTATAGTTAGGTACCCGCAACTTTTTTACTAGCTAATTTTGTACGCATAAATTATGTTAACCACAGCCGTAGGTCGCAAAGAAACCCAATTTTATTTTACTACAAACTTACTTTATAGCAATTAAAATTTATTTTAATTGTTTTAAGTTCCGACGACGACAAGACCCGATCGATGTTAGAATCAAAGTGACTCTCCTCGTCCGGTCACGTAGCCCGCTGCGTTCGGTAGAGGCACGAGGCACCCAGTCAGCAGTTTACGCCAGTTGCGTCTATTACGGCACAAAATAGATATGTACAGAAGGTAAAGTTCATTTCACAAGCAAAAATTTAGTAATATTTACTTACAATGGGTACCTATCTCATATGACTGGTTTGATTACATTAATCGGTTACTCAGCTATTACGAAATGCACCATAATCATTATTGTTGGGACCACAACAAGCTTCATTAATAAAACACTAATCTGAAACGGTGATCGAATCTGCATTACGGTATCTTCTAATGCATGAAATATGAAACTTGTTTCTAATCATAATAAGAAAAGATATCATTCATGTATTTCACTTTTTATACGCTCGGCGATCGTGCTAGGATGGTCAACTTTGGCTTGTGCTCAAAAAATCGTGGTATTGCCACTTGTAAGCATCTAGTTGTTTAACTTATTATGAATGTGTGTGAAATAGGAAGAGTGAAAAAAAATCAAAATCTTTATTCAAGAAGGAAGTTTACAGTTTATTACAACTCTTTCGAATCGTCTACATTTCATCACCAGTTAAGCACAGCACAAGTACATTTTTTAGCAATGGAGATAAACAGACGAAAAAAAACTTTAAAATATAAACCAATAATAAGAAAAGTAATGAAATTTTAATGTTATACTAATATGTACCTAAGTACAAATTAAAAAACGACAATTCATCGTCTTATGCTGAATTCAAACAACCGACCACTGAACAGTTATTATAACTTGTTATCGTAACTCCAATTTTGCACAAAATCGTTTACAGACGCGTGTCTCAAACAGATGGAACGCGCGCGTTCTGGGATATCGTGTCAGTGAGTGCTGTCTATGTGTGCGTTGCTTGAGCGCACTTTGTATGTAGATTGCCTTCTGTCCTATCTATTTTGTGATTGCATCGGCTGGTGTACCGTCTTTCGCTGATTCAACTTTTAGGGTCGTGTGCACCGTTTTGCTTGTGAGCGACTGCTAACTTGGCGTATTCCCTTGTACGTGGAATCGTAACACATAATAAAAGAAACTTGAAAGAGATTAGAGCAAGTTTCTTTCTTCCCGTAAAAACCTTCTACAGAGTACCTAACAAGTAAACTTTAAATTACTGGATAAAACTAGTTTCTCTAAAGTTATGGCATGACCACGGGCAATAATATTAATTTTTATATAAAGAGATTATTCGAAGAGGATACTAAAAAAAAAATGGTTGCCTGTAAAGTCGGTTTTACGGGCGAAGATTTTACGTGACAACGTCTTTTTCTCGGTAGAATATTTATTGATATGAATATAATTAAATTGCACAATAGGAACAAGGAATTGAATGAAAATAAGAATTGCACAAATTTTAACTATAGAAATATATTTTGTTTACTAAAACATTGTACATGTAAACTTAAACTCATCGTAACGTTACCGAGCGTTACACTTTTTCATAAGTGACTCCCAGCCGCAACCTAATTTAAGACGTTGTCACGTCAAAAGTTGATGAGCTGAAGCCACACGTAAATTATTCTTCCTAGTACCTATTTTTTTTATTTGGAATACAAACAATACCTATTTGAACTATTATGAATTATTATGTGATGAATATTTGTTATTACTAATAGACAACGCAAAAACAGCTACACAGATTTTGCTGAAATTTGGCCCACCAATAGTTTATTAACTGGATGAAGACAAACTCCTTTAACGTTTTTTTTTGTCTTGTGGCATTAAAACTAAAACAAACTAATGACGTGTTCACAGGTACAGTAGCAGATTAATTTGAATGTTGTTTAATTGTTTTGCAAGATTTTTATAGACCATAGAGATTTCTTTAATACAAAATCACGAGGATGTAGTGAGTATTGTAGTTTAGTTTTGTTGAAATTAAGTTTGGAAGCTTTTCGAATTACTCACAAATATTTCCCTATATTTTTCTATACAAAAAAAAGGAACAGGCTTATAGACAAATCTCTAATCGTTTATTCATAAATAAAACACCGAGAGTTGTTTTTGATTAGTTCAGCCGTTTCTCGCGTCTCGTTGTACGACCGACAACACTAAAGTGGGATACAAAATCTCAAAATTTCAGAATTAATTGAGAATCATAGTTTGAGTAATATGAGGCCAAGTGACTTGGAGAAATTCGTTGTTTAGAATAGCCTGACTCGATGTTGGTTGTACCTATCCCAAGTTGGAATAATCAACGGAGCATCGTGCGAGTACGTGACGCAGCACAAACGCATACCTCTTATTCAAAACACACTTATTTTAAAATATGAAATCCCGAGAACGAGTCGAGATAGTGGTTTAAAAAAGTTTATTCTTTTTATTTTGTTTTTTTTTTCTTTTTTTAATACAATGCGATCGAACCGATGACTGACTGAGTTGCGGTGTGACCCGACATGTTTTATTTATAGACGCGTAGCTGGTACTGCTCTTATAATCTCAAATGGAGATTACACGAATTGTAATATTTAATTACTTATTGGGTTGTTTGTGAACCCCGCTGACCTTTTATGATTGTACTAGCATTTGTCGAAAGTTGGGTCAGGTTATTAGTACCGCCATATAGGTATTAGGTATGTATTCTATACGTTGTCCTAGTATCCTATAACACAAGCATTGCTGTGCTTTGGGGCTAAGGCTAATTAGTGTGAGTGTTAGAAATTTTTATTATTGATGTGTAACATCTTTCCTCTCGCTTTCCTGCAATTTGTGGGAGTGATTTCGTGACATGGGACGGAAGTGTGCAACAGGAAGTCGCGAAAGCGCGCGCTATTTGATTTGATTTGAAGTTCAAATGGCTTGTTCCTTTTGTAGTAGGTTTTATTTCTCTTTTTACTAATATAATTGTGAGGTTTCAAATGTTACACATCATACGCGACTAGTGTGTAAGGCTCGCTCGTTTTTTTATGATTTCATTGTTAATGAATTTGTGAAGCATTGAGTTTCTGACTGCGCTGTTTTAACTTAACACACATTGGTGTCGATTCTAGCGTGATTCTCTAAACTTAAACTTAAATTTGACAGCAGTATATCCTTGTCATTCTCCATACAGAATGAAAAGGAGAGACTGATGTTAAATTTAGTTTTAAGTTTAGAGAATGACGCCAGAATTGGCACCATTTTTTTTTATCTAAACAGTTCAATAAAAAATTCAGTAACTTTTCACTTGTTGCAACCTGATATATATACCGACTGTCATTAATTTTATTATAACAAGAAGTTTACAAAGAGTGGGCCGTTAATAAATTTTAATTTCTGATTTCGATTACCCTGTTGACAAATAGGATTATTCAGAGGTCTTTAGGTTAACTTCCAATATATCATGCGTGATCAACATTGTCTTCAACCTAAACTAAAATATCAACTTAAGGGATTTGTAATGCCGTAGAGTGGCTATTATTAAATAAAA